ATATATATATATATATATATATATATATATATATATATATATATATATATATATATATATATATATATATATATATATATATATATATATATATATATACACACACACACATTCAGCGTAGGGCAAGCCCCTCAGAGGATAGATAGCATTTAGCATCTCATGCTATCTGGCCAAGTCAGATGTGAAGGGAATATATGTTGGGTAGCTTGATTTGTACACTGGGTGAGGTAAGATGTAGCAGCTCTGGAAAGCTGACAGATTGCTTGTTTTGAGAAACCAGTTTGACATGAATTTCTCTAGTTGCAAGTTAGAAAGTGCAAGCAAACTTGTGGTAGCCATGTTTTGAACTGAAAATGGTATGGAGGTCCATGTACAAGTAATTATTCATAGACGCATATCATTCATGATGATGCATTATGTATGTTATTTTGGAAATCCACATTTTGACTAATTTATGCAAAAACATATGCTTTATCACTTTCTTACATTGTGCATTTTCTTATTAGTGTCAGTAAGACTTTGAGGTAGCGCTAACAGTCGCCTATATAGCCAAATGCTAAAACTGACCTCAATTGGCTAAACAAAGTAAGGTTGATTTGACTTCTTTTAGTCAAATTGAAACAGTTTTGCAAAAAAAAAAAAAAAAAAGTAATGAAAAAGAAGTGATTTGGCTAAGTGAAAAAATTGCTAGCGCTACCACAGAAGACAATAATGTATTACTCGCTGCTCATTAAAAGGAAGTGTTAAGAATTTGTGCACAAGATGTGTGCTTTGCTTGTTTGCTTGGCTTTTGCAACCTTTAGTCCTGGACAGGTATTGTGTGTTTGTTGTGCATGAGCAGGATTACAAGTTCTAGTAGATAAATTGACAACCAAATATGAGATATTGAATAGTGGTAAACCAAGCAAAATATCCATTTGACTTTTCTCTTTGTTGTTCACACTGTAAATGTAAATGGACCCTTTCTGTAGTTGTACCTATTTTCACCTACTTAGAAAGGCGTGTGCATATTTTGTAGACTAAGGAATATGAGCCCCCACTGGTGGTCGAAGACTAGTCTTTTTCTTACTTGACTATGAAACTTTCCTTAATCATAAGCTGAAATGATAGTTGAAATACATATATAATATGGAGACACCGATTAAGTGTACTGGTATTTGTTTTCTGTTGCTTTCAACTAATGTGATGAACAGGATTGGTGTTTATTATTGAACAGTTACTATTAGCTGTCTTTTCGTAAAACGAAATTTGGCCAAATGGCAACATTAAGTGTAGAGCACCCTAAGAAGCTGCTTGTAATACTTATTTTCTGTGACATATACTGTGACATAATTTCTTTTTTAATATATACAGAGATGAGAACATAAGGTGATGTTTAGGTAACTTCTACTGATCTTATTCTGTTGAAACGATTGTATGTAGTATTCAGTTTCATGTAGCATGTGAGTATATCACGCTGTGTTAAAAGTAGTATGCATATTGTCCCTATATATATGCATTCATTGCCTGTGATCTGTATGACTGTGCATTTGCAGCTGCACATGATTTTCTAGAAAGCAAGGTAATGTTCAATTTGGAACTCTCAAGAAGTGATACAAATGTAGTGAATGCAAGTTGAACCTGGCATTGAATAGCTACTCTGTGGTATCAGCATCTCTTGACCTCTAAAAGGTGTGTTTGTCCTTTATGCTACAACTGTGAGCTGTATTAATATGTGTTTAACATGGAAAGGGAGTCTTTAATCAGAGTTCAACTGTGTTTACATGTTAAAGTTGTTACCATAGGAATGACCCCTTTCGTCTGATTTGATACTGTAAGGGTAGTCCTGTCTCACTCCATGTACACAAAAAATACATGCATAGCTTCACAGTGTAATATTATATAGGTATGTATAAATATCAGAAAAATAAGTTGTGAGAATTATTTCATTTTGGTAGAAAGAATTTTAGATCCAACATGAGGAGAGATGTTTTTACAGGCTTCCCGGAGGATGGAAGAGTATTGGAAAATTGGTTGTTTGAAATGTCATTGTTTATTGGAAAAACAAATGCACTCAATCCACAGGTCTGTTTTTTAAACTGCATTGATTTGTTGCTAATTAAGATGATAGGAGAGCTAATGCTATAGAGAATATTATTAATGTGGAATAGTTTTATATTTTCTGATCCGATCTGTTGCCTAATACTTCGAGGAATACATATGTGGCGCTGAGTGTTGAACAGCAGCTGAGTTGTCAGCCCAGCAGCAGTCCACCTGATTGTTGCAAAGAGATGGACTTCAGCCAGATTGATTGTCTGATCACTGGGACAAGTAGAAATCAGCAGAGCTGGTTTTGCCTTTGCAGAATAACAGTGCATCAGAAGAAGTGCTTAATTTTATTCTTATTCCATGGTGCGAAGTTGCCATCTTATCAGGTACAGTTCATCTAATGAAAGAGTTGATGCAGTCAGTTATTTAATGCGTAGGAAGTGTTAGGAAGTAATTCCAATCAGATTCCTGACAGTGTGTGTTATTGTGTGTAGGATCAATATATAATTGCACTGACATAGGTTCACTCCTGGTATAGCTTGGCAGCAGTTGTCTGTTTGTTCTATTTGGTGGCCTGTTTAATATTTCTACCTTAATCAGCTGTGTGTACTTGTATCTGAAACCAGTTGCGAGACCTTTGGTGTCAGTTCTTGGTATGGGGAGCAGTATTAGTTAGGTACTTTACTAGACAACCATTGATTGTGGGTGAGTAAATAGGTGTAAAACTTTGGAAAGATTATATTAAAAATTATGTGAAGGGGAATATATGTTTTGCTGGTCTAAGAGAATTAAAAGATCTGGAAAGTTTTGTTTTCTTCTTGCAGCCTGCAATTAGTTTTGATTAACATTTTGTATCAAACTGAGAAAAGGATCATTATACACAATGTGGTGATAGGTGATTATTGAATTGTAAAAATTTAGTTTGATGTCTGGCTTGTTTACAATTAATATTAGAGAGAGAGAACTAAGAATGTCAAATATAGAAATATCTAAGAAGAAAATTATTTACAGTGTTTTGATAACTTATTGTATACTTTGCAAGAGTATGCCCAAGTATTGGTCTGTATAGTGACCTCATGGGTCATGTCAGCATTATATTAAAAGTTGACATTAATATTGGACAAGGTAGGGGCACATTGATGTATGTGTACATGAGTTTAGTTAAAAGCTCAAATTCCCAATGAGAGAAAGATAGAGAGCATTTTATTATGCCAGTCTGACCAAACAATCTGCAGCTGGCAATTCCTGTGTATGTGAACCTGCATTTTCTTTGTGTTGCATATGTTAACAGAGTCATAACTGTTAATCTCACCTGTCCGAGGATGTCTTTGTTTGAAATCGTGACAATAAGCCTGTCAATGTAGGCCACGTTTAATTGTGTTATTATTTCTTGCTGAGGTTTTATGCTCAAAGGATTAAGAATTTCTCTCTGTGTGTCGATTTACCTGTAAGACCGTGGAGAGAAATGGTAATGGAGCTGTTGTTATAGGGTTGTTAAGAATGGAATTAGGTTGACTGTGATAAACAGTCACACTTAGGTCAAAGGTAAACAATTCTGTTTTGCTTAAAGTCACGTTAGGTCATCATTAGTCTGGTGACTGAGTAATTCATGATTTTTTAGAGGTTTACTTATTTAATCGTCTTTAAAATGAGGAAGCCTTATCCAATTGATATAAAGAAACTACATTTATGTTAAGTCTTTAAAATCTTTAGAGCAGTATAGTAAAGGCAATATTTTTATATGGAATAAGGAAGTTAACACCTGTTTATATCCTTGAATCCTTGTATGGGATCCTAGCTCTATCCTAGTAAAAATTATATTTTAGTTAACAGTTAAACACTAACACTTCATAATATTTTTTTCTCTATTAACAACAACAACAACAAAAAAAAAACATATATATACATATATATGTATATAAATATATACTCTATATGCGTAATGTTAAACTGAGAAGACGGACTCATTGTTGTCCACCAAGGCTTGACAATTTCATTTCAATTATGTGTTTGATATTTGTACAGCACAGTGGCATATTCATAGAGAAGGTCATTGTCTTCATGCAGAGCATCTATTTTCATAGTTGGTGACCTAAGATCATCTTGTTCTCAAGATGTGTAGTTTGATGCAGTTTATACACATTTATAGCAAAAGAGGTATGCGTAAAGGAAAAATCTGTCTGGGTTGATATGACGAGGAAAGAAAATAATTAGACTTTCCAGTCTGTTAGCATTATTAGCAAGTTGAGTGTCTGCATTAGGCACTGGGTGCACTAGATAAAAACAAACTTGTTTAGCTGAGCATAAAGCAGACAATATCATGCATACAGAATAAACTTGGGGGGAAAAAACAATCCAGGAAGGTTATGCACATTTAAAGGGAGTGCATTTGATGGTTCCACCCTAAAGGAGGATGGTTGATATGAACTGTTATTCTGAAATAATTATCATGAGACAAATAACTATATATTATATATATTTATATAATGTAATTATCATCATATTTTTACTCATGATTTTGTTGAGTATTTCAGTGCATCTTTAGCTATTTTATAGGTATAAAACACATAGTAGCAACAGTGAAACCAAAACAACATGTTAGACTGCATCAATCACCATTTATACTGCAGATGTTTTGAGACCTCTGGCAGAAAGTAGATAAAGTGCAGTTATAAAGTCTGAATCATTTCTAGAAGCTGTGCTATCCCACAACCTACCTAATCACTCATTGCATCAAACAGTTAATTTTAGGTTTAGATGAAGTGTGGGTGCCAGGCAAAGCCATTGTTTGGAAGGGATTTTTTATTTGCTAAAACGGTACTGGATGTGACTTCACATGAGAAACTGCTTTGAAAACAACACCCTATGCTCCTTCTTCATTCACTGGTGCAATATGCTGAGGCTAAATTTTAATGGTGAATTTTTTCATCCAGGCACTTCAATCTATCTGTTTTTATAAAAGAAATGTCTTATTTGTGTTCTAGGTACTTGGATCTCTATGAAAAAGTACATTTCCAAGGAGAGGATCCAGATCAGCCCTATTATTTTGAGGAAGATGAAGCAGTGGCTGTTCAAAGGAGACCCAAGATACAGTCAGTTCACGGAGCCTTGTCTCTCAGATATAACTATAGGCAGCATGATGTGCCAGGTGAGTTTAGTAACAGAAAATCATTTTGTTTTTCTATAAAAATCATAATCTCCCCCCACATCCCATTTTTCTCTGTTTTTTAAATGTTGACGATATAAATGTTTAAATAAAATGATAATTCACACTTTTCTGTTGTGAAGTTTTAAACTTGACATTTTGGGTTAGGTAAGATTGCATTTTTTTTTTTTGTTAAAATAAAAACTTTTAAGGCTAATTGTGTTTTAATGCAGTAGAAAACCAGTTCAATGATGCCTTGTTATCACCAACATAAAGGATTAAATGTTTCACAAGATCTTGTGAGAATGTTAGCCTGCATCACTCATACATTACTCCAACATTGTGAAGGAGAGGAAATTACATTCCAATGGCATTAAGCAATGTATTGCCAACTCATTTCCATTTTTGTATGGCCAGATGCACAAGTTTAACACATTTGATTGTATGGGTTTCAGTTACTGTGGAACCCCTGTAGATGATGCATGTCTAAATAGGTTGATAAAATAAATGCATCCTGTGCATTAAATTTTAAGCTAATTCTTGTCAGAAATCTATATTGAAATAGACATTAATTATGGTCATAGAAAAAGAAAATCACCAATTGCCTCATTTTATTTCCTGACCTAGATTCAATCCGTACCAACGTGGGCATGTCAACAGAATTTGCTGCTATAAATAATTATGAAAAACTTGAGAAATCTCTCCTGTCTGGGTTGCCAAATGAAGTAGACTTTGCCGTCAATGTGTGCACGCTCCTTTCTAATGACAGTAAGAGGACACTTAGATTAGACAAGTCTCCAAAGTTGCTGGCCTTACTGCTGGCACACACAGGGATATTTGAAGATGGTATGTGATTAACTTGGAGGTGTAGTAAATATTGTAAAGAATAGATTTTACCATGTGATCTAGATTTCTTTACTTTAAGATTTCTTAAAGTTAAATTAGCTATGTCTTGGTTTAGCCATGGGATATTTAAGATAGTTGTCAATACTACCCAATGTAATGTGAATGTTTTAAACAAACATTTAAAATATGTTTTATAACTGGTTTACTCAAGTAGCCTGCATCCATATGCACCCTCATAATGTTGTGATGTCATTTTTTTATTTGCACCATGTATCGCCTGCAGTATTCTCACTAATTTGGACAGAAATTCAGACTATGTGGGCTATTTTATGTTTGCAGTAGTATCTTGCCCTATAATATATTTAACTGACTGTGTTATTTCCATCAGGTGAAGATTCCTTGCGGCCTCTCTATGAAGGAGGCTGGAGACCTGTTGTGAAGAGAAATTTCCTGAAGGTACGTATGTTTACATAAGGTTGTGTATGTTACAAAGGCAATCTTTTCCATCACTAGGATATTTTTAAAATTGTGAAATAAAAATACTTGTTTCATAAAGAATTAACATTTTGAAAATTTGTCTGTCTTTCAGCTCTAAAGCTTAAAAACTTTTTGTTTTCTTTCAGAAGATTCCCAATTTAAATTTGATCTTTTTTTCCAGTTTTGGTATGATGCTGTGCAAGAAAATGATATCAGGGAGCTGATCACTCTAAATAAAGAACAAAGAGAGAAAGGTAACACTGCTTTATTTAATACAAATTGTGCATATAAACCTTGTTAGAATTAGAAGAATGTATTGCTTTATCCAATGCCCCCCCAAATATGTTCTTATAACTAACTAGTACCTAATCCAAGAAGTAAAATTAATGGTTTTTATTTTTTCTACAGAAATGTACCTCCAGAAAGAGTTTGTTGGGGATATGGTGCTGCATTTAGGACGTGACCTTGGTGTCAAGGATATTGAAGGTCACAGGGTGCTTCAGGTAAGATGACTACTTGTAGATTCTCATATATTTGGAATGTCTTTCTTTAAGTACTTTCAAAATTACCTTTCCATTTATATAATTTAATATATTTTGTTAATTTATATTGCATCATCCTATGTTTTTTCTTTTACAGATTGCTGTTATATTAAGGAATTTGTCATTTGATGATGAAAATGCTGCATTTTTAGCCAAAAGCATTTTGGCATTTAGGTAGGTAATTAAGATCATCCCATTAGTTTGGTGCTGTATAAGATGTATTTCATGATGCGGTGGTAATGTGTCTCAGGATGCAGACAGCCGTTTTATTTTACTGTTGAGTCATAGTTGTAATTTTTAAATTTGTCACCTGTATGGTTTCACAATCTACCTGTTATAAGGGAGCAATGAAGTATATCAGCTACCTTGACACATGCAGTGGGATCAGTTTTATACGTTGCACTATAGTTGCTTGCAGCATATAGAGATAGTGTATTTGATCATTGTTTTCATTATGCTTATTGTAGGTTCCTGCTATTGTGTTCATACAGTAAATACTTCTCCATAAAACAGTTGGCACTGGACACACTGGGGAATATTGCTCCAAAGGTCAGTAGTCTGCTAATGTCACATAGTCATAGGAACATGTTCATTTGAAAATCATTTCTGGTCGACCACATATACCATTTTGTTTTTTATTTCCCATAGATAAAATGTTTGAGGCAGGACTGATAATTAGCGCTTGTCTGGTATCCTGTCTAGCCTTGGTAGTTAAGTCCAGTATATATTATTTGTGACATTGTATGGCATGATTGTTAGAGATTTGATCAGATTTTTGCTGGTATATTTTGCCCACACAAGCAGTGCTGTTGATAAGGCTACAGGAAACTGTAATTTGCCCACACAAACGGTGATCTGGTAGAGTTACAGGAAACTGATTCCCCTACTCAAAAGATATCAGTTTATACACAAATAAGCAAATGTTCTCAAGCATGACAATGTGACCCAGTTACTTAAAAAGTAAGAAAGAAATGAGATAGAATACACCAGTATTCTTAGGTTATTAAAAGAAGCAAATGTAAACATATGGGATTTGTTGTGTTTAATGCAGTGCCACAAATTATAGACACAAAGGCCATGCAGACAATGGAGATTGTGGGAATAAAACATTTCTTGTGTCAAATTGGTTGTCGTCAGTAATATAGCTTATGAAGATATATAGAAGTGTGTAAAAGACTTCAAATGTGCAATTTGGCAGTCAAACTGATATGGTTTGTGTTTTGTATTCAGATTTTTTGTTCCTTCCAGATGGTGCTAGATCCAATAGATTTTGTAAGCACTCAGTTGCTGTTCAAAACCATTCATAAATGTCTGACTTCACAAGATAGATTTGAAGTGGTGCGAGGTAAGAAAAATTATGCCAACATTGCAGTGTAATTAGTACCACCANTACATTTAAAATATGTTTTATAACTGGTTTACTCAAGTAGCCTGCATCCATATGCACCCTCATAATGTTGTGATGTCATTTTTTTTATTTGCACCATGTATCGCCTGCAGTATTCTCACTAATTTGGACAGAAATTCAGACTATGTGGGCTATTTTATGTTTGCAGTAGTATCTTGCCCTATAATATATTTAACTGACTGTGTTATTTCCAACAGGTGAAGATTCCTTGCGGCCTCTCTATGAAGGAGGCTGGAGACCTGTTGTGAAGAGAAATTTCCTGAAGGTACGTATGTTTACATAAGGTTGTGTATGTTACAAAGGCAATCTTTTCTATCACTAGGATATTTTTAAAATTGTGAAATAAAAATACTTGTTTCATAAAGAATTAACATTTTGAAAATTTGTCTGTCTTTCAGCTCTAAAGCTTAAAAACTTTTTGTTTTCTTTCAGAAGATTCCCAATTTAAATTTGATCTTTTTTTCCAGTTTTGGTATGATGCTGTGCAAGAAAATGATATCAGGGAGCTGATCACTCTAAATAAAGAACAAAGAGAGAAAGGTAACACTGCTTTATTTAATACAAATTGTGCATATAAACCTTGCTAGAATTAGTCGAATGTATTGCTTTATCCAATGCCCCCAAAATATGTTCTTATATCTAACTAGCACCTAATCCAAGTAAGTAAAATTGATGGTTTTTATTTTTTCTACAGAAATGTACCTCCAGAAAGAGTTTGTTGGGGATATGGTGCTGCATTTAGGACGTGACCTTGGTGTCAAGGATATTGAAGGTCACAGGGTGCTTCAGGTAAGATGACTACTTGTAGATTCTCATATATTTGGAATGTCTTTCTTTAAGTACTTTCAAAATTACCTTTCCATTTATATAATTGAATATATTTTGTTAATTTATATTGCATCATCCTGTGTTTTTTCTTTTACAGATTGCTGTTATATTAAGGAATTTGTCATTTGATGATGAAAATGCTGCATTTTTAGCCAAAAGCATTTTGGCATTTAGGTAGGTAATTAAGATCATCCCATTAGTTTGGTGCTGTATAAGATGTATTTCATGATGCGGTGGTAATGTGTCTCAGGATGCAGACAGCCGTTTTATTTTACTGTTGAGTCATAGTTGTAATTTTTAAATTTGTCACCTGTATGGTTTCACAATCTACCTGTTATAAGGGAGCAATGAAGTATATCAGCTACCTTGACACATGCAGTGGGATCAGTTTTATACGTTGCACTATAGTTGCTTGCAGCATATAGAGATAGTGTATTTGATCATTGTTTTCATTATGCTTATTGTAGGTTCCTGCTATTGTGTTCATACAGTAAATACTTCTCCATAAAACAGTTGGCACTGGACACACTGGGGAATATTGCTCCAAAGGTCAGTAGTCTGCTAATGTCACATAGTCATAGGAACATGTACATTTGAAAATCATTTCTATTTCCCATAGATAAAATGTTTGAGGCAGGACTGATAATTAGCGCTTGTCTGGTATCCTGTCTAGCCTTGGTAGTTAAGTCCAGTATATATTATTTGTGACATTGTATGGCATGATTGTTAGAGATTTGATCAGATTTTTGCTGGTATATTTTGCCCACACAAGCAGTGCTGTTGATAAGGCTACAGGAAACTGTAATTTGCCCACACAAACGGTGATCTGGTAGAGTTACAGGAAACTGATTCCCCTACTCAAAAGATATCAGTTTATACACAAATAAGCAAATGTTCCCAAGCATGACAATGTGACCCAGTTACTTAAAAAGTAAGAAAGAAATGAGATGGAATACACCAGTATTTTTAGGTTATTAAGAAGCAAATGTAAACATATGGGATTTGTTGTGTTTAATGCAGTGCCACAAATTTTAGACACAAAGGCCATGCAGACAATGGAGATTGTGGGAATAAAACATTTCCTGTGTCAAATTGGTTGTCGTCAGTAATATAGCTTATAAAGATAGATAGATGTGTGTAAGAGACTTCAAATGTGCAATTTGGCAGACCAACTGGTATGATTTGTGTTTTGTATTCAGATTTTTTGTTCCTTCCAGATGGTGCTAGATCCAATAGATTTTGTAAGCACTCAGTTGCTGTTCAAAACCATTCATAAATGTCTGACTTCACAAGATAGATTTGAAGTGGTGCGAGGTAAGAAAAATTATGCCAACATTGCAGTGTAATTGTAAATGACTCTATTTTGAGGAATGAGGGAAATTGTGAAGTTTTTATTCGCAAACAAAGGCTAATGTAAGTTGTATAAACTTGAGCAGAATAAAAAAGGGTGATATGCAATTTTGGATACCATGTTCTTTTTATTAGCAATTAAAAGGTAATGATAATGCTCAAAGTAAGTGACTATGAATGAACATTTTGCTTTATTTTAGGCATGGAGATATTGTCCAAATTGTGTCAGGTGGATGCCAATGAAGACATTCTCACTGAAGGGTTAGAGCTTCCTGTATATGAGCAGATTGTGTCCATGTTAACTGTACAAGACATAGAGCTGATAGTCTATACCCTGGATGCATTGTACGAGTTGAGTGAATTGGGAGAGATTCCCAGCACAAACATAGCAGATGTCAGGTACAGCGTAGGTAAGTTCAGCAGCCTAGGATCATTCATCAGCATACTTGGTGTCTGTCCTTCTAATTCAGTAAAATGACTTTGCCTACAATTTCACACCCACTGATTACAGGCAATTCTTTGATCACATTTTCTCTAATCTGTTAACTATATACTAAAGCTTGGCTGGGTTTTTCTGTAAAAGATTTGATAAAACTAACATGTACAGGTTCATATGTGTGTAATTATATGTGCATATAATGTTTTTTGTATTTTTGCCACTGTTTACATGCGTTAAATTGTTTTTATCCATATTGTTTACATGGGATATCTGGTCCATTATTTCAGACACCTTGGTAAGCTTGGTCACTATAGAGGCACAGACATTTGGTGCAGGGGCTCTCATAGGAATCAAGGTAGTTGAGCATCAGGAGGCAGTGCCCTTCTCCCCAACGCCCCTTTCCCCTCAGCCACAGATAAGAACACAGCACTTGCCAGCTGCACAGATGCAAGTACAAAGTAAGGATATATATATATTTCCTTTTAGTTGAGCTTTTATAAGATTGTCAGATCACATACAACAGTGATCAGATTTCTAGCTAAAAAGTTTGTTTATCCATTGGCATGTCACAATTTCTAAGTCCAGTGTCTTGAGAAAAGGTGAACTGGGGCCATTTAATTTGCTGCATGGTGGCATCAGCTTTGGCAATTGGATGAGCATTTCAGTTTCTCTTCACCTTATCTTCAGGTCCCAGATTTGTTGTCACCAGGCAGGAGCTCTGTGACCTGTCACCTGGTTTGATACAGAGAATATTTTCAAATGTAATAGTGATAAATATGAAGTAGTTGTATTTTTTTTTTAAATTGGACTACATAACAGTAATGAATTATGCAAGATATATGGGTATTGAATTGTTAATTTTTGTGGGGGTGGAAAAAATCAGTTTATATTTGAAGTGTTTTGTATTTTATTTTCTTGCTGTTATTCTTAAATAATTTCTTTTTAGTCGGTGCCAGATTTGTCAGGTCCTCATTTGATGGCCTTTTTTTGTGCATGAAACTATGACATTTGAATTTTACTTTGCCAGGGCCAATTCCTCAGGTGGCCGCTGCACAACAGACACAAGTAGCGCAGCCACAACTGCAGCAAGCTCAGCAACCAGCGCCTGTGGATAGGGAAGCTTTTGCTTGTAACTGGTGAGTCTAAATGATGGAAGTGATTTCAAATTAATTTAAAGGGTGGCTGCTTATACAACATTTGGCCAGTAGATAAATGATTGATAAAAATGAGGGGAAAAAACTGAGATTGGGGAAAATTGTTTTCAGTTAACTTTTAAAAAGGTTCTGGGCGTGATTCCATACTCTGATATGGATTATTTCTAAAGAGGATGCTTTTGCTGTATCTTTTAGTCCTACATAAAAAAAATCAAGAAAGATTATTTTGTCACTGTCTTTAATGGCCACTTAATATGCTGGAGAGAGTGTAACATGTGGTTCCACACTTCAGGCTCCAGTGTTACTATGAGTACAAAGCCAACACCAGTGTGTCCAGAGTGGAGCTGTATGCAGACTTTGTGAACACTTGTCAGAAACTCAGTGTTGGAAATGTACTCCCTGCGCTGAACTTCTGTAATTGTGTTAGGTGAGATTTGAAAAAGGACACTTTTCTTATAATTTTAGAAAATGATTAAAACAGAGGTCCAGAAGATTATATATTTTTAATGTGTAACTTTCTATATCTGAATTTGTTGATATTTTTGATTTAACATTTTACTTGTTTCAATTATGTTCAGAATCAAACTTAAATTTTATATATGATTATACAATTATAATAATGCACCAATATTATTGAATTGCAGAGTGGTGTTCCCAAAAGTGGAAGTGTTAAAGAAGGAACAGGATGGAATGGGGGAATTCCGCTATGGTGGAATTGGAAGAAAAATGGTGCCATTGCCTTTCCCTCCACCAGGTATTCATCTCAAAATTTGGCTTACAATTTTGAGGCTAATTTTGGTGTTCTTTTTCTGTATTTGGCTTACTCTGTTTGCATGCTAGGAGATGTGGGACTTGCTTTTTATTGAAAGAGATGTTAGTTGCACTTAAAAACACATTTGTATTGCACTATCTTTTACATATGTTGCTCTTGCTTATAAAACTATTTTGTATAAAATATGGCTTTTTGGTGTTTCAGTAGTGTTCGTTTCTACTTTGGTTCTATCTGAAGCTTTTAATGTACTTTTCAGTAACTCACATTTAAGTTTCTTTCTTAATGTTTTTTCTGTTTTGTTTGTTGATTCTGCTCTGTAAAATTTGATAGTTCAATTGGTATCTCTACATATTTGGACATGCTTGAAATATTATCAAGTTGGTTGAGATATTACCTACTTAAAATATTAACAATATTACCGTTTTATTTAAAAAGTTTTATAAAATGGTTTTCCTTTCTAAATGTTGAAAATGGAGCCATATGTGTTCCACAAGCATGCAAGATATCAATATAATATCAAATTGGACAGAGCAACTAGCACTTGGTGTCATTATCATGGATGAAGTGTTCACTCCACATGAACAGTCCAGCCATGGTGGAAACCTTGTAGTACACGAGTAGGGTAATATTGGAACTGTCTTTTATCTGTGGTTGCTTTCAGCTCATCTAACTCCACAATCATCATGTGCACTTTTTGCACCGTCTTCATCACACCACCACTCTGCAGGTCACATGGTAGCACCACCAAACCCACCACACCGCCTCTCTTCTCTTCCCATGCCTCAGGCGCAGTACCCGCCCAGGCCGCCATACATGGGACTACCGCCTGAGTACTCACAGTATCCAGGTTAGATTTTTAGTGGCTCTAAGTCACTTGAAAGGAAGGCAAAATATGGATGAAAACTGATCCCTGAGTTAGTAAAGTGGACAAAAAAAAAGGGATTTTTTTTTATTTATTTATTTATTTATTTATTTATTTATTTTTTTTTTTTTTGGGGGGGGGGGTCCACACAATGCAGATAGAAAAGAAAATGCTGCTGAAAATTTCTGATGCAATTTGTATATTAAGTTAAACTTCTGAAACTTGTGGCCGATGAACTGAGTCTTTTGTTGTTGTAGTTGTTGTTGCTGTGTTCCTTTGTAGATATTTTGTAAGAAGGGCCTGCTGTTCTTTCCTTGTTGCTTACCAACTGTTGTAATGTTCTGTTCATTTTAGTGAATAATACATTGTGTAGTATATTGAGGCAGGGCTTTGGAAAACCTGTCCGTGGGGCTTCAGTGTATATAAAATGGGTATTAATGGGTATTGACTTCCAAGTGATACATTTTTATTGTCCTAAGGCTCTAATTATCCCACATAATACTTTATTGAAACTAATGTCTCTCTGTCAAATTCTCAGGTATGAAGCAGCAGTCCAGCGTGGCACCAGGGATGGGTCCTCCTATTGGTCAGCCTGGGGTCAGCTGGTCATCACCAGGGGCAACAGCATCAAGTCCAGCAAGCAGCAAGCCCAAGTCTGCACTACAGCAGCAGCTGGCATCTCCTGTCCTGGCCAATCAAGGGGTGTGGCAGAGGCCAGGCCAGAATCATCAATATGCTTCCATCCAGCAGGCCTTAATGAACAGAGGCCCTACACCAAGTCCTACAGGGTCCCCAGCCCCACCTTCCCCAGGGCCCAACTCCCCACAGCTCTCCAGGACACCCACACCCCCTGCTGGACCTGGACGGCCTGGGGATTCTACATTAATCAAATCCCTGTTGGCCAATAAAGTGAAGATGCAGATGGCTGACAGGCACACTACAGTCTCGCCTACAGTGGTCACTGTCTCGAGTTCCCCCTCTGGTGCCCAGCCGCAGTCCATGCCACCCCCATATAATGCAAGGCACAATACAGCATCAGTTGGACAACAAGGTTACTATGGCAATCAGCAAAACTTCCAACAGTTTCATCCCATGTCAACTCAGGGTAGCAGTTCCTATGGTAACCAACCACCACCTCCACAAAACAGTCAGTATCCCTCTCCTTCCCAGTGGGGGCAACCTATGGCTAATACACAGGGTCAGAAAAATGGGGTCAAAAGTCAGAAAAAGTCCAGACCAAATTCTCCACGTAATTCATCACCATCACACTCTGCCTCTACGCCTCCAAGTAGAACTAAATCACCTCACAGTTCATCTGAGAAAATATCTCCATCTCATGCAGCATCGCCACATTCACCAAAGGGAAATAGTCTCGAGGTTTGTGGCAGAGTTGAGAGAGCCAGAGAGGTTGTTATGCACTCTGATATGATTGTAGAGGCTAGAATTGAACGTGTTGAAAATGAACATGCTAGGTCAGATCAAGTCACTCCTCTCAGTTCTAGAACAAGCAGCTGCTCTGAAGCTTCTTCTGTTACACAAGTGGTTGGGGATACTGGCATAGAAGAGGCCAGTCACTTTCATCACTCAAATAATTCAGAAAGTGGAAAAAATGGTCCTAGTAACATTTCACAAGTAAGTCCAGCTGATAGACATTCGAACAGTAGTGAAAGGACTACCTCTTCTTTAACTGATAATGTTTCTGATGTTCAGAATAGAGTGAGTTTGAGAGATGAAGCAGAGCAAGCATTTAGACAAAAAGAGAACGATGGAAAAGATTCTTCTGAGAGGACAGAAAAATTAATAGAAAAAGATGCAGAATCTCATCTGGTCAACCATATTGCAGCTAACAAAGAGAATTCTGAGTCCAAGTTTCATGAAAATATTCTAGTGAATGGAGAAGTGCCCAGTCCACCTTGTGAACCAAACCTACCTCAAAAGGACAATCACAAAGTCATGAATGGACTTCCAGAGGGTGTAATAGATACAGGAGGAAAAGGAGATGATATTAAGAAACACACAGAGGACAAAAGAGAAATGTTGGAGAAATACTGGTCAAAGGAGCATGTCAGATTGAATGGTATTGTGAACCACATTGGCAATGGAGATATTTCAGACAGTGAAAAGAGAATGTCATATGAGGAGAAAAAAGATTTACTGAGAATGAGTTGTGAAGATCAAGAGAAATTACATTTGGTTAATCATTCAAGTGGAAAAGGTGATTCTATTGTTCAGGAGGATTTTTCACCTGCTACTGCAAAACCAAAGCAAAATGGCTGTGTAGCTACTAAATCGGATATTGCAAATAAAGAGTTTATAAAATCTGAGCCAAAGCAAATAGAATCAGAGCAGCATTTATCTTCAGAATCTGAAAATGTTAATAGTGCCATCAAAGAGAATGACATTAAAGAAGGGGTGGAATTAAAAGAGAAATCAAAACACGGCAGTGTAAGTGACATTAATTCTGACAAGCCTTGTGTTGAAATTGCCATTCCACAGGAAACCTCACCGAAGGGAAAAGATGCTAATTCCTCTGTATGTTCAGACACTAGTTCTACCAAACAGCCTATGTGTGTGAATGATGCAAGTAACCCATGTACTAAGACTGAATCAGGTGAAGAAAAGGTGGTGGTTGAGGCATCTGAGACATCCACGCCAGATTCAAGAGTCTCACCAGAAAACATGGAAGTGGAACAATCATCAACTGAACAACAAACACAAAACAGTAATTCTGAAACTCAAACAAACGGTCCATCCAACCCAATATTGCCCTCTAATCCGTCTTCAACTGGAAATCCTGCAGCTACCACATCACCACCAGCAGATCTTTCATCAAGTAGCTCCCCTAACCCAGCTAAGAAACGACCAGCAACAGAAGAAGGAGGGAGGACCACACCAAAACCAAAGAAGAAAAACAGAAGCCGAGCCAGTAGCATTGAGTCCAGGCGGTCTTCCTCCACCAGTATTTCAAGTCTGAGTATGGGACCAGAGTATATGTGTGAATGGAAAGGATGTGGAAAGTAAGTATTCTGTCAATAATACATTAAAGTGAAAGTTTGGCAGAAATTGAAGGTGCAAACAAGGTTAATCTTGCATACACACATTTTCAAAAAGATGATCTACTTTAAAATGGGGATATGATATTTAGTTTAAAAACTGTATATTATTGTAGAATATTTGTAAAAATCATTTCTAGGTTCAATTAAAGATTTTCATTCGAGACATTCTTTATTCAGAGAAATTTGATCATAAAAATATAACCTAAATGTGCCCAATTTTGCTGTTACTAAACTTCTTTTATTTATAATTTCAGGGTGTTTGATTCTGCCAAGGCTGTTGGCCACCATGCTTACAAGTCTCACTGCCCTGCAGATGGCAAGTGCTTGTGGGAAAACTGTGATAACATACCAAGAAAGAAGTGGGCCCATGTGACACATGTGCAGGTATCAAATGAATTGAAAAAATATATGCCAGGGATATATTGTTATTGTCATATTTGATGAAGATTATCATAATTTATCTTTAAGGATACAAAAAGAGAAGTCAAATTTCATGGTTAACTAAAGTGTGAGAATTTTATTCTATCTGAAGGTTTTGTGTTGTATCATCTTCAGCTGCACTTAACTTTAATACTGCAGACTTAACCAGATTCTTTTTAACTTGAAGAATAAAGAAAAGAAGTCGTCTCAGATTTATGAGTAAACTTGGTAACATTTGTCTTTGGATTATGTCATCAAAAGGGGAAAATCTCATAAATTTTTTTACCATTTCCAGGAACGTCACTGCACTGAGCACGCCCTCAAAGCAGCGGCAATGCGGCGTCACCAGGTGGCTCTGACAGGAGCCAACCCACCCCAGCCTCCTCCACCCCCACCACCCGCCCACACATACCCAGAGGATGCTGCATGGCAAGCTATCAAGAGATTTGTCAGCAGAAGGCCTTATCCAGAGCTCACAGTAAGTATTATGATCATTCAAATCTGGTAGACAATCACACAAACAGATACTTAAGACCAAAAACATGTCATACATCTTCCAGTATCACTATAAAGATTCATTAAGCGTGCAATTTGAAAATTGCATCTTGTAATCGAGTTGATTGCAGTGTAAAGTGAACGACTGGGGTACTTTAAATTTTGTATTAGTTTATTCAGATTATGGTATTTATTAGATGAACATGACCAAATAACTGTTAAACTTAAAACGTAGAATATATAGTATTTATCCAAAGGTATCATTGATAATTTGTTTTTTGCAAAGATTCTGTTTCCTATTTGATATTTGAAATCACAAAATTTGTCTATTTTTCCAGGAACCCAAGGAAGGACCAGTAACCAAGCACATCCGTCTAACATCTGCATTGATTCTCAGAAACCTGTCCAGATATTCTGCTCATGGAAGAAGGTACTTATATTTATTTTTACAAAGTATTTCCTTATGCAATGAAGATTTTCTTTGCTTGGTTTATCAAAATTTCATCAATATTCACAGAATATTTTATACAGCCATTACTCTTGAACTTGTTAGATGTCTATAAAGAGTCTGCTTATTGTTCATTAAGTTTTAGTAAGAAAAATAGCTTACAATTGATGTGATTGCTGTAATATGAAATTCTTCACACATTTTATTTTCTACCTTTCTTAGTGTCCTGAAGAAGCATGAACACCTGTTGACTTATGTGGCAATGAGCAGTGTGGAGGCATCCACACCAATCTCTAACTGCTTATGGGAGATCATCACCAATCACTCCCCTTCAGTCTCCCAGGGGGGACAGATACCACACAGTCAGACCAATGCCACAGGACACACTGGAGTAATGAATCAGTGAACTCCATGAAGATGGGCATATATCTAGGTCTGGGTGGATAAGCTAAGATTTGATTATTGTGAAATCAGAAAGCACAAGGAGACTCTGATAGAGCCTTAGCAGGAACTTGGCTGTTGGTAATATCCATTGCGCTGGTCATTACTATATATCAAACTTGAAGGTAGAAAGGATACATTGGTGATGCTTATATAGCTAAGGACCTAGGAAGAAGAATGTCTTGGGATATCACAAGAAAGATCAACAATATAGGCTGCATTGCAGGAGCTAATTGTGTTTCAAAACTGTCATATCTTGCTACTCATGCATTAAAATGATCAGTGGAATTGTTGTTTCCTGGTTATAACAAGGTCATTTAATTAAAGCTTGAGATAAGAGTTTTCCTTTGGAAAGGACCATAAAGTCACTGTGTCAGAATAAACTCCGAACTGAAATATGGTAGGGGTGATGTAATACCTACAAACTACACTTGCTGCAATGCTTCTATCACCTTCTTACATTTTGATATTTGTGGGCATTGTGATACTGCCTTATAGATCTAAATATCAGCTCTTGGTATATTGGTGCAGATGTTTGAAGCCTCATAAAGACTGGTTACACTTTCAGTATGAGAAATTATGTTACCTTTTTTTTAGTCGGACATATTCAGTGAAAATTTTTGCTAATCTACAGGGTGACTGATTTTGTTTGGTGTTTGTTGCTTACTTTGATAGACTTAGGGCATAAGATAACTCTTTGATGGTCATATACTGGTTATGTTGGTATTGGTTCCCAGTTCAGTCTCGAATTTAGTTGCTGTTAATGGCTTGAGTATTATATTTTATTATTATTTTCTAATACATCAGCCATTTTGTTATGTTGTAAATGTTGAAATGTGTGAACCAGCATGATTTGGTAATTAGAAAGGTATTAACAGTGCAGTGTAGACAGTGGGGTATAGATTTGATACTCGTATTAAGGGTCTGAGTGAGAAATATGCCAGGCAAATGGAGTGTCCAATTCACAGATTTTTCTGAATAATATGGAATTATCCAGGTGCAGAGCAATATGGCTTTGTAAATTTCAAAAATTTAATATATTTTAGTATTTCAGAGAATTAGCTTTGATATGTTACATCGATGAATCCCATGTTATTATATTTGAATTGCATTCATTGCTGTATAAACAAATGTTGCTATTAAAATTGTATATACAGTATTTTTGCACATAATTTGGCATTCCAAGCTATTTTGATAGGGATGCAAGTGCATTTCTCTCTTTGGACCATTTAATAGCACACAGAGTTCTAAGGGGTTTGTATATTATTAATTGGTAGTTGTGGATAAATATTTATGTAGCTGCATTTGAAGTGAAACTAAGGGCTCATTCATCATTCAGGTTTCCAGTTTTCTATTTATTTATATTAAATAATTATGTTGTACTTTTTCCAAACTTACAACAGGAGTTATAGTGTTGCTGTGTATAATAGATTTATGAATAAATGTAAATTATTTGACATAAATAAATTCAAGCTTCCAATTCTTCCATTTATTATTTTTTTCAATGATTTGAATTGTACAATATGACCAACATTGTTAAAATGTTCTAAATATGTATATTGTAAAAAACTACAGACAGCAGAAACTGTCAGATTAATAGTTGGCAAATAATTAACACTGCAAACTCTTGAGAGATGAGATCTATATTTTCTTGTAAGGCATTATTCAGGCCATCACTACTTACCAGTAGGCATTTATTGCCAATTAAAGCCTTGCAACTGGGACATTAACAGCTAAACCTTCCAAATGCCACTTACTTCCATGGGACTTCATTGCAAGTTTTTTGTTTTTTTTTTAATAAATACCAATATGCATCTTTTCACAACCAGCTGCAGTTGCTTAAAGGCATGTCAAGCAGAGGAGGCTTTACGAGTTTCACGAGGAATATTACTTTCACAAAATGTACACAGTCTTAGGAAAAAAATACAGTTGTCATATTTACTGTTCTAAGTAATTTGCTTTCATTGGAAAAGTTTAAGAAAAAAATCTGAAATTTATTCTGCATTATTACCTATATAAAGTTGCCTTCTTGTTTACCTGATCTTTCTTTGAGAGGAGCATTACTTATGTTATTCAAATGACACTCCTGGATTAACCATTGAGCTAAATTTTAAGTTTTTAGAAAGTTTTATCTTATCCTGGAGGCCATCCCATCTGCCTTCCTCCCAGCACATGGATGTGAAGATGAAACACAGATTGGGCACCATCCTTTCCATCATTTATAACTGAAAAAAAAGCATAGGTATCTTCTTGCAAAATATTAAACCAATGTTAAACTTTTAAACAATTCCTGTTACTTTTGTAATAGCTACAAGATGCATTCTATTCTAGATTTAACCTGAAATTCACTGGCGCACATACTGTTAGCTCTTTCGTTGCTACTGAACCTTCTTATCTGTAACTTACCAATTCTATAACCATTGCTCAACCCTTCAGAGACTGCACATTTCCTGGCTGTGTTCAGCAAGTATCCCAGGAGCTTTTAATGAAAATAAAGTTACTATTATTTCTTGGTTGTGATTCCCCACTCTTCTTATTTTCAAAAATACAAACAAAGGCAGCATAAAAACACTGCACATTTTATTATTGTCATTGCATTATCAATAAAACATATCTGTCACAAAAACCCATGATCAAATTTTAGAAGAGAAACATTATTATAGATCAATAAAAGGTAACATAAATATCTAACAGATAAATAATGATTTTTAAAAATTGTCAACTCTGAGTAATACCTGTGTATCCTCATCTGTGGCTTTGCTGATGCCTATGATTGGTTCCTTGGGGATAACCAAAAAATGTACTGGTGCTTGAGGATTAACATCTCGAAATGCAAGCACCTGAAACCTCAAAATAAACTAAGAGCAATTATATGAATTCTGTGTTATAGATGTTGTTTGAATGTGATGTGCAGTGTATATGTGTAAATCATTATAACAATCAGTAAAATAAATATAAAAAATATTTAACAAAGTTTCACCTTATCATCTTCATATATGATATCAGCTGGGATCGTCTTGTCAATTATTTTACTGAATATAGTTGGCTCTTTTCCATATTTTTCCCTGGCTGCTGCTGCCAGTTTTGCCTTCTCTACTTCATCACTTCCTGAGCTGAAAGTTCTGGTGGCTGAACATACCTGTAAATTGATACAGAGAAGCTTCAGACATAGACATTATTACTGCCATGTTATGCCTAGAAGCTTTGATGTTCTCACAGCTTTATAATAAAATGAAAGGGCGTAAAAGCAGATTTGGGGGGGGGGGGGTAAAGCAGGGAGGCACAAACGAAGCGTCATTGTTTTTTGGCAGCAAAAAGGCTAAATTCATTACAGGACATGACTACAAACTTTCTGTCTGCTTATATGTAGAGTGTAACGTTTTAAAGTGTTTACGGGCTCTGTTACTTTTACTACTACAGCTAGTTCTAATAGTTCTATAGTAGTAATGTTGATTTTATCGCTTTTATTAAGTTCTAGTGTGGGAAATGTCAACTCAGTCTCTGCATAAATAAAAAGGTTAAATATCTTGACAGCTTCAACACATTTAAGATCATGTGCACTTTAATACCTGTGCGGAAGCAGCTATTCCTGGAGTGACGCTTAATGCTGCTAAACAACGAAACACTATGTTTTTCTGCAACAAGGACGTGCTCCTGGACAAAGCCATATCCTCCAGATGGGGGTGGTGCAATATGGGTTAACCAAGATAAGACAAAACGTATTTCTTGCTTGCTTTCTTGAGCAACGAGCTGTAAAGGTTGCATTTTCGGAATGATTCAATAGAAAATTATTTTTCTTGAATGGATAGATAGAAATTACTCGTTTTTTGAATACATTTCACTTCCTTGTATTTTGTCTTGAATACAGAGGCCTCTAACGGGAGGAAATCATGACGCATTTTTCGTCAGTTGTTTGCGCAAGTCATAAGACAAGGCAGCGTAAGGATGATGTCTTTGGAAACTAATTCACAGTTATTCCCATTCTAAGTGTGGAGAAAGTATAAGAATGTCCTCAAGTCCAGCAGGAGGGAGTCGGTTCGCCGATTACTTCGTAATAGCGGGGTTGGACCTTGCCTCTGGACTAGAGCCCGATCAGCTGTCAGGTAGGGAATTCCCGTTCCAAGTTTTGAACACAATCAAAGACAGACACCCTAATCTTTGCGCTAGATCTACATGCAGTCGTGTGTAGACGTGTGTACAATACTTACAGGGAAGATGGTTATTTTTAGACAGAATTTGTAGGGCTATCCCTTAGTCTGAACATGGTTTTTCATCTGTATAACACTGAATGTGATTGATATACCAGTGCATGTATCAGTGTAAAGATTTGTTCATTTTACTCTATCACGTTTTTGATGACATTAAGCACAGCCCAGATATTTCATAAGAGTTAGTAAAGGAGTAACAAGAAAGACTTGCTGTGAAACTTGGTATATGGCAAATACTTTTTAATGCGTTTTATACAGCATATTACATTATTATGGACAGCGTTTTTCCTGAACTCTTCAACAATTGTCATTTAAAATTTTGTTTCTTTGAGACATAAATTTACTTCCCAAAAATAAACAGAGTGGCCAGGCTTTATACCACTGAATAAGCGGGCAAATGCTATGTTTGAACCCTAGTCTATTTATTGACAAGGGCAACCTATCTTTATATATCAATAATAATGTCCTGTGGTTAAATCAATATGTAGGGTGGTATAACTAGCTAAGATAACAGTGAATATCCATAGTTGAATATCATAGCAAGAGAGCATTATATTTATTTTCTGAATTTATCATTATTTACTGTTTGTTAGTGCTTACAGAATACTGGTAGTAGTGTACGTATTACGTGTCTGTTTGTTTACAGGTATTGTTTTGTTTTTTTAGCATGAATACAAATTTGGGTTAATGGGGACAGGTAATGAGTGGCAGATATAGATCTACAGAGGTACTTAGTATAGCCTTTGTTAATGTATTATCTATATTTAGCATAGTTATTGATGGTTTTGGAAGGCATCCTGTTTTTATTCCAGGCGATAATCTGCACTGCTTGCCACTAGATAGACCTTACAAGTCCAAGGTGTTAGCACATTTCCCAGAAAATGTTCCTTGGAATCCATTTGATAAAGATGCAGTGGGTATGGTAAGTATGAAACAATTTCAGGTCAGGTTTTGAGTTTTTTTTTAATGATTAGTCTGCTTATTTGGCAGCAAAATTTACTCATACCTGACACATATGACATTTTCACAAATGAGAATCTTTCAGCAAATTATAAGACCAAAAAGGGTTTTCTGTCCTCATAACATGTGAATCAAATGGACATCCTTTTTTCTACAGGTTATATAATCACTTTAAAATGTTAAGCAAAGACCAAGAAAAAACAAAAAAAAAAACAGTGTTTAAAAATGTTGCTTCCTGTCAGTTAACATGTTATCTATGATAACAGTGTGGAGCATGGTAAACTGATTGACAGCTGTGGTTTGGTTTGATATAAGTAGGTATTTTTAGTGACGTCCAAAGTCATGAGGGGAGGGGGGGGAGAGAACATGTTTACTTCCTTTTCTAACTTCTTTAGATTAAACAATGTGTTTGGTTATGTAGTACCATAGTCCTTAAATAATTTTTATTGTCTTCATTAAGTTGACAACACCCTCACTGTCATTCTCAGCCTGAGAGACAGGCATGCAGATATACAGTGGGCACATAGAATAATATACCATTGTGAATTAACATATAGTAAATGAATTTGTGATGGATATCGGGATGTTGTTCATGGACTGGCATGTTGATTAGTGTGAGATATTTAAAATTGACCAATGAATTTTCGTCATGTAATGTTTTAAACATGTTCATGGTATATTGTTCCATTGTATTGATTAGCAGAATTGCCCTGGCCTTCATAATGTAAACCAACCAGCTTTTGTAATACATACATGATTGATGTTGCTTGAATTTGCACATACATATTCTGAAAAATACTTCACCAAAGAATTCAAAAATTATGTAAAAAATTACTTTATCCAGAAATAATAATGCAATGTCATGATCTTAACAATAATGTTGACAATAAGAATGATGATTATCATTGAAAAAAATAATAATGACAATAACTTTGTTTGACCAGTTAAAGCCTTACATATACTGTTATGTTTCAACTTACATGATATCCCACCCATGTTTTTGCTCCTAGGTATTATAGAGCAAAGTGAAAAATGATCTGCTAGTTAGGTATATAGTCATCTGACATATAGTTTCCAGTCTGTCACTTATTTTTCAACTCCTGCTGTTTTGAAACTTTAGCTGAATACACTTTCCTGGTTGAAACTTAATACACTTTTCGAAAGATTTGTTTACTATATACACTTTTTCGAAAGGTTTGTTTACTATATACACTTTTCGAAAGGTTTGTTTACTATTTTTATTTATGCTATTTCACTGAAAAAATGCCATAAAAATGTGTAGTTTGAGAAGGTAATTGTAAAATAAATCATACAAAGCTTGTTTCTTCTAAAGTTATTACTTGGCAAATCTGTAGTCCTATCTTTTGCTTATAGCAATTTAATTTATTGAAAAAAACTGTAATACTAATTCTTGATTTATTTATATAATGTTCTCTGCATATGAAAGATGTACACCAAATTATTTTACTGAAAGTTTTTGTGACTATAACTTACCACAGGAGGTATATGGTACCCAATTGTTTTAAACCTTAGGTGGTGAACAATTTGCATATGAGAATGATCTCATGAATATTTTGGTGAATTAAAATAGGAGGAGAAACATAGCATGTCATAGATAGATAGATAGATAGTTAATGTGTTTAGTAGCATTTAAAAAAGTAATTTGAACATCAGCTGAACAAATTTATTGTCCTATATGTTTTAATTAAAAATGGTTTCTTAAAAGTTACATGAACTAGAATTGCAGAATTTATAAAATTTATTATTTTCCCAATATTACCACAGTACATCTTGTGTACGTATTGTTGTTAAGTGTCTCTGTTTCTTGTCTTTTGAAATGTCTTTTGCCTGCAGTGTTTTTGTTTGAACATTGGTACAGCTGATATAAAAGTGCAAGCAGAGAAAAGCAGCTAGAGAAGTGTAGTGATAAACATAGGTCCAGAATAAAAACACAGCTGCAATCAGAAATCATTGTATTGTGTGAAGCATTTGTTTTCAATTATCAGTACCAAAGTTACATCCTGGAGTGCTTTATTTTAAGCACAGAATGCATTGCTTTGTTCAAGTGATTTCATCTGGTACTTCCTGATTCCCAGTTGCAGGATATTTTCTCAAAGAAAACATGTTAAAAAATATTTGTAAATGTTGCATAACAAGAATATGTAGAGGCAATTAACAAAAACTTATACTCCTATATTGTTTCTGAATATTCTCTCAGATGAGTTCATGTTCCAGTGCTTATATTTTTGGTGCAGTCTGATGTCAGTGGCTATTGCTCCATCACTGATAGCCAGACAGATTGTGGCAATGTAATTGGACATAGGCTCTAGTGGTGCTTGATGTTAGACATATCCATCTTTTTATTATTGGCCTCATTTAGTGCACCCTTTGGTCATTATAAACAACATAGGCCTTAATGTCTCTGCAAGATGCAAGGCGATGACGTTCATCATATTATTCTCTTGGCAGACATAGTTTAGAGATTTATTTGAAAATTTTGAAAAGAACAGGAGTTCTCATAAGGATAATCAGATTCCCTTAGTAGTAACTTTTTTTTTTCAAAATATATGTTTTTAATCAGAGAAATGAAATTTAGTGCCAATGATGCAATTTAATGATAGTTATTTAGTACAAGTACTGAGACCTGTCACATAAATATTACATATATATGCACATGAGCATTGTTTGACATCAAAAATTTGAAGATGATTTAAGTATTCTTTTATACCTTAAGTTTTAACATATCACAATGTATAGATATGACACCTCATGATACATAAAGGATATGAATAAACTTAGACATGTTTGCATGGATACCCTTACAGAGTATTTCTTTGACCCTGAGTATGGTCACCTGTCAAATCTCATACAGTGGTATTCATTGATATCCTTGCAGATTAGCCAGCTATAGTTATTGCTTTTGGTATATATTTATTGAATATTTGATATCAAGTTAGTTCCATGTCAGTAATTTCAGTTATTGCTATATCTTACTTTTCCTTGATGTGATTATCTATAGTAGTGGCTCCTATATAACCCACCCACCCATTGTCTTCCTGACATGGAACTTACTGGGAGTCCTTTTATATTTCATATTTATTGCTGTCTGCTTTTTATGCTTCTTTTTTAAAAGAATTTAAAAATGCAAGCAATATGTGTATTCTACTCTTCCGATGACATTTGATCAAGCAGAAGTTGTACAATTACAGCATTATTATTTTAAACCCACCAGAACTGAATATGTGTTGTTTCCTTTACCAGCACAGGGCATTTATCTCAGATAATACATATGATCTGTTTTCCGGTGAATATTTCACTGCCAACAATAGGTTTGTTTTAGATGTTTCCTCTCCATTGAAAATGATTGTAATGGACTTTGGTCTGAGCCCCCTGCCCCCCTCCGTCCCCCTGAGTTTAAAATATACAAAGAAAGTAAATTATCAACAGCATTGACTTTATGAATAGGCTTTGTTTGTTTTTGTCATGGTTGTGTTCAACTTATTTTTCATCTAAGTACATTTTGGCAGGTTGACTTGATTCTCATTGCTCATTAAATGAAAAATAATACCTGAAATTATGTACTTGGGAAGAAATATATTTTAGTACTGAAGATTATGAAAACCTTGCCAGTGAATATCTAGTTAATCATTGACACTACCCAGTTTACATGCATATTGATTATACATTAGAATGCCACTGTGGCTAGGGCTCTCATGTATGGTCTCACTTGAACTATTGATTCCAAGCTTACTTAGTAGTATGATTCTAAAACATCTGTTGCTGGAATGGTATTTTTGGAGTCTTATGGCCCATAAACATGAAAACTCTTTCAGGTTTTGAGAATCAGAAAGCTTTTAAAGAGATATCATGGCAGTCATAAAATTTAAAACCTGTCAGTAGGTGTGAGATGTATTAATTGGTGGCCATTATCATTTACCATCTTAAAAGCAATGTATTTAAAAATATTTGAGAAATGGATATATATACAGCATTGACAGCTGATGACAACTGGGCTTTCCTTATTATCCCTTAATTTTAAGACTTGTCCATCCGCTCATTAAGGGACGTTATTCGAGATTGATATGAAAATTATTTCTGGGATTTCAATAATTATCAGATTTTGATATTTTGCCTACAATTACCCAAATTTGATTTGCTATTTGCAGCTTTGTCTACCCAAAGGGCTGACATTTCGCACCCTGAAGCAGAAACGCCAGCCAAGCTTCCACACCTTTATCATCACCAGGGAAGATGGGTCACGAACATACGGGTCTGCATATCTTTTTTACGAAGAAGTAGTCAACCAACAAATATGTGCTGCCATGAAGACATTACATTCGATGCACTTGGCAGAGCTGAGCAACGACCAGTCAAGGACATTATATTCGCATTTGGGTTCAGTGTACGATCCCAGCACCCCTCGACCACAGCGCAAACAACATTTGCAAAATCCCGACAACTTGTATGATATGGAGAAAGACCATTTGTTTGTCACCAAATGCATTTGTCTTCTGACTCCTCTCCCTTTTGTAGCTGCCTGCAAGAAGTATCTGACATTACTCCACATGGCTATCGCTTCTAGAGAACCCCCAACATTGCCACTGGAGAGTTATGTGTATAATGTTCTGTATGAAGTGCCTCTGATGCCCCCAGGACGGAGCCTCAGATTTCATTGTTTAGACAGAGAAATTGTGTGCCAAAGACCAGGTAATGGGCTATCTACTGAAAAAAAAAGATATTATGATTATTAGAAGTGAAGGAGGGTGATACTCTATTCGTAGGGACGAAGAGAGAGAGAGAAAGAGAGAGAGAGAGATGCACTCTGTTGTGGAGTTCTATTATGAAATGTTGCTAACCAGAAATAAAGAGAATTTGTCTCAATTTGTATGCCATTTGCAGGTTCTATAAATACCATTCTATTCTTAATTCAGTCCTTAAAGCAACTGTTAATTGATTAGTTAATTATTTATTTATTTATTTATTTTAAGGTCCATTTAAGTATCAGTTTCTTGGATTCAAAGAGTGAAGAAGAGAGAAGAATGCTTAGACATGTGCTTCTGAACTTGCACATAATTTCCATTATCTTTAGATTAGCCTTTCAAACCCAATGTTATTGTCCAGTGACATTTGTCTAGTTCAACACCAAATAGAGAGCAAAAATAACCTTTTCCAGATAGCAACTGGGCACTTACAATTTGTTCTGTTACTGTAGACATTTGTAAAGTTTCTTTGAAGTGACACTGAGAGAAGTATATGTGGGTGTGCATGCGTGCTTCTGGATGATATGGTAGATTGTGTGTGGTATTTGCAAGTGTGGTGATTATATTTATAAAATTATATGTGATTGTAATTTCTACTTCATTGTCAAGTTAGATAAACTTTTATTATGACAATTTTATGAATCTTTACACAGTTATAGAACTATAATTAAAACTAGAGATTTATTGTTAAAAAGTACCAATTTACAAGAGGTGTTTTCTCACACTCATTAAGCAAAGGAATTCATCCTCGGTTTTTGAGCAGTATATATGTGCAGAAATAGAATATAGATTGAAAATGTGTGTTGCACATATTCAGTTTACTAACCAGATACTTTTCTTTTGCATTTCAGGTATTAATGAACTGCCACTGTTTGACTTTCCTCTAAAGGAGATGTTTGAATTACTTGGTGTAGAAAATGTGCTCCTTGTTTTCACCAGTATTCTTGTGGAAAATCAGATTTTACTGTATTCAAATGGTAAGTAGTGAATCAGTCTGCTCGTTACCTTTTCTATGAAAAGTTAAACTGACACCTTTGAATAGAAATGAATGTTCGAAGATCCTGGAAAAAGAATTCACCATTGTATTTATGAAATTCTGGATAATATTTCAGCAGCACATTCTGATTCATTAATAGAAACTAAAATTAGATTTACCATTATGAATCACTTCAAACCAAAGAATCAAGGACTAGGTATTGACAGGACTAGACATTCCCAGCAACCCATACCCTTCACACTAATTGTCAGCCTTATATTTCTTCTACCCATCATACACTCTATCACAAGTTCTATCTACTGGTAATACTCTCTGTCACAAGTCCAGGTAATACTTATGAGGACTGGTTATGGAGGAAAGTTTCCAATAGATTCTGAAACTTAAGGTGACAAGCTGACANGTGGTACAATATTCGGAGGCGGTATCGCCTCTCTGATCCTCTAGTTTATTTATTTATTCCTTTTTAAAGTCTATTTAAGTATCAGTTTCTTGGATTCAAAGAGTGAAGAAGAGAGAATAATGCTTAGACATGTGCTTCTGAACTTGCAGATAATTTCCATTATCTTTAGATTAGCCTTTCATACCCAGTGTTATTGTCCATTGACATTTGTCTAGTTCAGCATCAAATAGAGAGCAAAAATGACCTTTTCCAGATAGCAACTGGGCACTTGCAATTTGTTCTATTACTGTAGACATTTGTAAAGTTTCTTTGAAGTGACACTGAGAGAAGTATATGTGGGTGTGCATGCGTGCTTCTGGATGATATGGTAGATTGTGTGTGGTATTTGCAAGTGTGGTGATTATATTTATAAAATTATATGTGATTGTAATTTCTACTTCATTGTCAAGTTAGATAAACTTTTATTATGACAATTTTATGAATCTTTACACAGTTATAGAACTATAATTAAAACTAGAGATTTATTGTTAAAAAGTACCAATTTACAAGAGGTGTTTTCTCACACTCATTAAGCAAAGGAATTCATCCTCAGTTTTTGAGCAGTATATATGTGCAGAAATAGAATATAGATTGAAAATGTGTGTTGCACATATTCAGTTTACTAACCAGATACTTTTCTTTTGCATTTCAGGTATTAATGAACTGCCACTGTTTGACTTTCCTCTAAAGGAGATGTTTGAATTACTTGGTGTAGAAAATGTGCTCCTTGTTTTCACCAGTATTCTTGTGGAAAATCAGATTTTACTGTATTCAAATGGTAAGTAGTGAATCAGTCTGCTCGTTACCTTTTCTATGAAAAGTTAAACTGACACCTTTGAATAGAAATGAATGTTTGAAGATCCTGGAAAAAGAATTCACCATTGTATTTATGAAATTCTGGATAATATTTCAGCAGCACATTCTGATCCATTAATAGAAACTAAAATTAGATTTACCATTATGAATCACTTCAAACCAAAGAATCAAGGACTAGGTATGGACAGGACTAGACATTCCCAGCAACCCATACCCTTCACACTAATTGTCAGCCTTATATTTCTTCTACCCATCATACACTCTATCACAAGTTCCATCTACTGGTAGTACTCTGTCACAAATCCAGGTAATACTTACGAGGACTGGTTATGGAAGAAATTTTCCAATAGATCCTGAAACTTAAGGTGACAAGCTGACATTCTCAAAAGGAATTAGTATTTGAATGGTTGTTATTATTGACCGTGACTTTTCCTGGTAAAAGGACAGTTAAGGGAAATGATTACTCAGTTACAATTCAAAGGGCTCTTGTTGTTAAAGGGCATCGGATATATTTCTTGCTCTTTAACACGTACACAAAGCCTCACACAGGATATTGTGTCTACAACAATCTTTTCAGTAATTGTTCATCATGACATTGTAACTGGAAAAGTGATCACTTTCCAGAGCACTTTTTCAGAGAAGAAAATTGGCTGTTTTATCACAAAAGACCTGAATTCATGGAGCAAGAAAATTAAAAATTGATTCTCAGATATGTTACTCGTCCTCACATAAGCAAAGAATAGGAAGGAACAAAAAGAGTGATAATGAAAAATTATGACATAATCTCAGTGATAAATAGGGATGAATTTTTATGTAAATACCATAGGTTGATGAATCTTGGAAAAAAGGATTTGAATTGGTGAAATAACAGGATAATTGTGTATGCTTCGTGCTTTTGTCCTTAGATAACGTTATTCAGCAGCATTGATTGAAGGCTGTTTTCTTGCCCGTACATTGATTTTTTATGCTGCTCTTTCTATCCGGGGTAGTGCATTCTCTGTTTAAGCGCAGATCGCTCGTGGCCTCTTTACTTTCCACACCGATTACGCTCAGGAAATTTCAATAGCCATACTAAGATGACTTTGATTCTAGTTTAGTGGCTGTGCCAACAACACTGGAGACAGTTTTCCGTGGGTTATTGTATAGAGAAGAGAAATTCATAGAATAATTTCAGACACGCTGGCACCATGCCTCCTCCCTGAACCCTGTTTTCTTGGTGCATTCTATTCTTCTTCACACTAAGCTGAACAGCGATGCTATGATTTCCAGAATGTTTGTCGTTATGTCCACTTTACAAACATCATTTCTCTTTTTCCATTGCTTGATCAAATTCTCCCAGATGATGACTTGTCATAGATAGTACTAATATCCCCATAAATGACCATTTCTGCCATTGTCTGTGTGTTTTTTCTCTGCAAGCTGGGGTTATTCCAGTTCACTTCATCGGACATCAGGTCAATCATCAAAGAAGGGAGACTTAATGGGTGGGAGTTGTGATTTTTTTCTAAGTGGACCCCAGAAAAAATTATGAATTTACTTTTTGAAAAAATTATTGGTAGAGCTCTTTTCGCGTGAAAAGATGTATGAAAAAAAAACATAAAAAGCAGCAGTTATTGTTCACAATTAAACATGTTGCTTTTAAGTCCTTTTAAAGCAGAACTGGAGAAGTTCTTAGGACATATCTGCTGGGGCAGAGAAGTCCTGTGGGGCACCACACCTAAACTGCCTTTACTACTTGCTACTGCAAATTGTATGAAGTTGGTATATATATCATGCTGTATGGCACTTCTTCAACATGGGAACATATGTTCTGTCACTTTGGTTGTTGTGAGGCTTTCCACAAAAGTATAGCAGAAAGGGGTTGAAATGTTAATAGTAGTAGGTTGCTATATATATATGAGTGCATTATCTGTGGTATTAATGCATATATGCACTTTCTATACTGGGATTCAAGGTCACCACCCTGGATATTTCCATAATTTGATTTTCTTTATTTTTGTTTTACATCTGAGTCCTGGGCCAAGCTCAGTGTTTCCCAGACAGACAATAATTCTCTTGAGTATCTTTAACAGTGTACTAATATAGAAGAACAGCAGGGCTCCCTCAGACTGGAGGAAATAATTTTCGATCATCCAGAACTGCTTAGGCGGCTAGGCCTAAGGTGTTCTTGGATAAACTGAAACAGATATACCTTTGTTTCTTTCTCAGGCTTTTGTTGTCTCAGCTTACAAATGCTGCAACATCAATTCATTTTTTATCTTAGGACTATCAGTAATGCTTCAGGTTTTATGGTTGCACATTCATGCATTTTTTTAAAACACAAAGTGGTTGTTAAATTGCTTCTGCTACATACTGATTACAAATAAGATACCATGCATGAAATTGTTGCTTTAATGCTTTCAGTAACATTGGATATGGGAAGACACATTGTAATTATGGTTCTATGGTTGTATTTTTGCTGTTGATGGAATTTTAGAAATGAAGGAAAAGAATACAAATCAAAAGTTGATCTGTGGTAATAGATTTTAATATCTGAATAGAGTTGATACAAAGACATGGAAATTGAATCCACTGTTTAAAAAAAAATGGTCAAAATGCAAATGTTGAGCAGTAATTCTTGCTGGACAATGAAAAAATATGATGAAAAAAATAATTTAAACCTTATGTATTTGCCACAATTTAAACCTTATGTATTTGTTTTAAATATATGAATTTGAATATGTTATATGGGAAGATATTTGTTTCCTATTTCACTAGCTTTTTTCCTTATGTTGAAGTAGTTTGCTGGGTTGTTTAAGTTGTTGATTTATGGTATTATGGTCCAATAAAAAACTCATTAAATACGTTTGCAATAAATCATTTATTATGTTAACTGTCTATAATGCTGGGTTGTTGGTAATTTTCAAATAAATTTTATGCATGCATCTCTCTCTCTCTCTCTCTCTCTCTCTCTCTCTCTCTCTCTCTCTCTCTCTCTCTCTCTGCATTTCACTATAACATGCTTCTAAGTACAACCCCCTTAAGTACCACACAGTTGTCAAAGGAGCCTTTCTCATTTCATTGATTTGCAAACTCTGTTTTCTGGTGAAAGCGGTATTTGCAAAATTCCTAATTGTTCACTAATGACCTTCTTACAATAAAACTGTCTAGGTTGCAATTTCCCAGAAAATCAACACACATTGATCTAGTCTTGGATGTCTCACATTTTCTTCCTTAAAGAGCTTATGTTATTGGCATTAGAAGGAACTGCCTCCAGATATTTTTTTCTGCAATGTCAGTGTTGGTGTCAGATTTGCTACAGCTGTTTTCTTTCTGTTCATACTAAAATACTTGAAAAGTGATATGTCAATAAGAGGATTGGCGTGGATGTGATCAACAACCCTGAAGCTGGATTAAATTGCAAAATTGGTTGACTGTCAAATATTTTATAAAGAAACCAAAGAAAAAAGTGAATGGTTGATTAATTTGTAAAAATGTCCATTTTTACTCTGGAAGTATAGTATTGCTAGATCCTGATATTCAGTAGAGTAGGCATTATATTGATGGGCATGATTATGAGATGGCATGCAACACCAATAAAAATGGATCACTTTAGAGACAGTTTACTATGTTATGCACAGGGTGGGAGAAGGGGATGGTAGTCTGAAGCCTTGATTTAGTCCAAAATTGGTTTGAATTTACCTTAAGTTCACCAATAATTTTTATTGCCTTATCAATGAAGTGTTCTGTCTAGGCTGATTTCAATTGCATCTGGAATATTTCTGTTCAGAGTGGGATGCCAATATGAATGTCTGTTACTGGCACCAAGTCAATTTGATCCCCCGACGCTTGTATGATTTTTTTCCCCAGAATGATTATTTTACAACTCATATGATGGCTGTCTTTTAATATTCTGACTTTTCTTGGAAGCTGTCATTTGAAGTCTCTGTGTCTTGTAGTGTTGCAAAATGCCAAATTATGCAATCTTTTGTTCAAAAATAGCTCCTTCAGCCAGAAGGCTGTCATAATGCATATAGCCAGCCTAATATCATTGTAAAACCTTCTACAGAGCATTTCATAAATTTTTTCTAGCCTATCCCTAATAACTTCCACAAACTGCGGTAATTTTTTCAGCAAGGTAAAATCTTTAAGTAAATTTCAAAGACATTATGAATTGCCACCAATTAATTTATTGCAATGAAATAAATTCTTCACATTTTCATTGCAGACTATCAGCGGTTGATGCTGGTTGCGGAGGGGATGACAACCCTGATGTTTCCCTTCATGTGGCAACATGTGTACGTTCCAATCCTGCCTGCTTCTCTCATTCACTTCCTTGATGCTCCAGTCCCCTTCATCATGGGACTACATCGCGGGAATGAGAACAGGTCACAATTACAGTTACCAGGAGAGGTGAGCAGTTGACATCTTAGGTCTTTGGCTGTATTTGAAGTCTATTTGTGGTGGGATAATTTAGTACCCGGGATCTCAGTGATTTTATCTTATTGTCAAAGAGAGCCAGACTGATGGCATTTGACTTGCCTCAGTGACAGTGACTATAGGTGGGACAGCAGAGGGATTAGATGAAAAATCCAGATCACTTAAGTCAGCTGAGATAGTCTGCATTAATTGAAGCCATCACATCATGACCAGAAAAGCACCTTATAGCTGAGTTCAGACCAAGAATAGTTAAGACTAGAATGTTATATCTTGCATCATCCCAAGTTTTAGTGGAAGTTGAGTTCATTTCACATGAGTGAGTTCATAGAAATTTTTAACATGTGTTACACTTTACAGACAACATTTTACTTCTAATTTCAGGCAAACATGTGCTTTGTGGACATAGACGCTGGCACAGTGGATGCTCCAGAAGACCTCCCCCAATTTCCACAGAGACAAGAACTCACTGAGGAGATTAAATCTATACTTGCACAGTTTGGAGTCATGGATCGTAAAGAAAAAGATGCAAAAGAAAAGGAAAGACGTGAGAGGAGAAGAGCAGCATCTCGATCAAGATCGCGGTCACACAGTAAGACAAGACAAGGAAAGGGAAGTTTTGAAAATGACTCTGGAATGAGTAGTAACGATGAGTCAGTTTCTAGTCCTTTAATGGCAGCTAACATTCCAGGCAAATACAATAGCCTTGAAAAGAATGACACTTTGGCCAAAATAATGGCCATAGCACGGCGGACAGGTGTCCTAGGCGACACAGAGGATATTCATGATGTCCTGAGTGACCGAAGGAAGAAAAAAGACAAGAAGAAGCCTGAGGATGAAATTGAAAGTGAAGACAATCACTTAAAAGACCTCAAGTTTAATAATGCTGTGAGAGAAGTTTTCTTGAACAGATTTCTTCACATATTCAGCTCATACGAAGCATTCATCATTCTACCGTCACAAGAGCTTGGTCCAGAAGAGTGGCTGACCAATCGGGAGTCCATGCAGAACTATGACAAGGCTGCTTTCCTCAGTGACCAGCCAGATACTTTCTTGCCGTTTTTGTGTCGATTTATTGAAACCCAGATGTTCACGACGTTGATAGACAACAAAATTCTTGCAATCTGGGAAGACTGTGATTATAATCTGCGTGTGTATGAGGCAAGGCTCAAATTACTTAAAGAGAAATATGGCGAGGCCAGAACCCCTACTTGCTGTGATGCTTCAGTATACCAAGAGACAGGTTAGTCAGAAAAGGATACAGGACGCTACTGTTTGTATCTTTACTTGTCATGTGGGGTATATCTGAAATGGTGATATACTTGACATTAAAAAGACATGGTGGTTTAGTTATTACAATCTGTTTATGATCTTCAAAATGTCAAAGAAGTACAGTTTACATAAACAGTTGTTTTGGTTTTCATTCGGTCACAGATTTAAAGAAAGGTTTACTTCAAATTAAAAGATGACAAAATCAAATAATGGAAAACTGAGAAAGTTATTAAAAAGGCTTGCTGACAATTTTTTTTATAATATCTTGTTACTTAATCAAAATGAAGGTGAATATGACAGTATTTAGTCTATAAATGCAGTCTCAATGTGTCATTATCCCTTCATTTCAGAGGCAATAATAGAGAAACGTGGGATCCACATAGACCATTCTTCCCCCATTCCTCATTCTCTGGACGATGTCCAGCCTAGACCACATCACTGCGGCTACTTCCCTGACCTGGATGCTGTTGCCCTCAACAAACAGCCCATTGTACAAAGGTAACAAAATTCTGAAGGAAAAGCATTGCTTTAAGATAATAGGATTTAGTTGCAATAAAAATGTTTTAGTTTTAAATATTTGTAAATGAAGACATATTTAATATACTCCCGTGAGTTGACTAGATTACCCTGTGTTTGAAATGGTTTTATGAAACTGTCCTTAGACCACCTGTTTTACGGGCAAGCCTTTGTGTTTACTGGGATATATGATATATTGAATATGATATCTTTTGATATATTTAGCAAACCAAAGAAAGACAGTGCTAAATGGAGGAGAAAAGATCGCTATCTTCAACATTCTGAGCACCTGCAACTGAACTCGGATCAGAGAGAAGTAAGCACATCATTTCCCCATTTTCTATTACATTTTAATCAGTGATTATTTAGTTTTGGTGATAAATGCATATAATTAAGGGGACTTATCCAGACTATACATTCATAGAAAATTAAAGTAAACATTACATACCATGAACAGTGTCAATTTATTATATGTGCATTGTAGGTTATTACTGTTAGCTTCTATTTGATTGCTGTGTAGAAAAGGCAGATGGTATATATATACATTGGTTAACATTTCTTTTGGTTGATATAACAAAAAATGTTAATTGCTGGCATGGCTCAGTGCATTTAAAATTGATAACTGATGAAATAGAAGGCATAAGTATGATTTTTAACTTCTGACATCAAAGAGTTGATTCATTTAATGTCAGCTTAAATGCGCCCACTTAAATTCCAACCACAAATTAATTTATACTAGTGGCTTGCAGAAGTGGTAATCTCTTGGGATAATATCAGAAGTCATGATTTGTAACCTGAGAAAAATTGCGTGACTTTGTGCCAGAGAAGAAAATTGTTCAGTTTGAGGTTTATCATAAGTGCTCCTCACTGTGAAATGTCAGAATTCCAGTTGAACCCCCACATGACTATTATAGCTTTATGGAAAGGGTAAAATTGAAAGGAGATGACTTTGCATGCACAGCACTGAAACGTTCTTACATTGCACCATGATTGAAGACTTCTCAGTAAGATGCACATTCTTTGATGCACCTTCAAATAGTTCTAAATACCAGTAGAACAAGTAGAAAATTGCTCATTACTAACATGTAGTATCTTTTCATTGTACAAAGTTTGTCATAGCGGAGAAACACTTCAAAATGTGGAGAGTGAGTAAATATATTTTCCTGCATAGCTCTATAATGCTTCTTGTTCTATCCCCAACAATGTAGTTATCGTGCATATAGGCATCAATATCAAGTACTCTGTGCATGGTGGTATTTCACTTACTACTTAAATGTAGCAGCATCCTGTACATACTTGTATATTGTAGACTTCCCAAATTATCAACTTTTTATCTGAGATGAACTTGAAATTGGGGATGGTTTCTATTCTAATTATAGCTCTTAGTATCGTTTTCTTTCGCACCAGGCATTTTTTTTTTTTTTTTTGTGAAACTTTCATAGTAATAACTGTCATCAGTCAAGTTTTTGTAGTGCTCTTCTCACTGTCTACATTGTAAAATTATTTCTTGCCTCAATCACACATATATTTGTGACATTTATATGTGGACAGGTTTAAATGTATGAGAAAAAGTCAAAGTGTGTGTCTGTGTGTGTGTGCGTGTGTGTATGTGTGTGTTTAAGTTAAAATAAGCATGCATGTTATTTACATACGTGTTCAGGAGGTCTGGAAGCTTGCATGTTTCTATATTTACACACTAATGCCATCTGATGCGTGCCTCTTTATTCAGAACTCTACACACCACCAGCTTATACATAGGGCTTGGGATTTAACATTGAAATTATCAGCTGAACGTAGATCATCCTAATCATAGAAAAGGGCAGACACCTTGGCAAGGGCACAACATGGAATATAATTATGAAAAAAATATACCACAAGTATTCTTCCTTTAACACAATGTCAACAAAAATATAATTACCTATGCTTTTTTCTTAGAAATTTTCATTCAGCTTTTTCACACAATCACCCATATGAAGCACTAAGCCTTGGGGATTCCTGCTTTTGACATAGAGGGTCTAGATATAATCACATGATATTCTTGTCAAAATACAACCCAATGCCCAGGAGGAAGAAAGGGATACATTTATTGGGACAAATGCAGACAAATGTCATGTAATTAAAGATGAGGGGAGTCTAGGGTACTAAATAAAGGATAAGGGACAACGATGATATGATGGTGTTGCATATAATAGGGTTTGTATTTGATACAACTGCTGATGATAGCATAACCACATTGGTAGCATTACCAGAATATATTTATGGTATCATATATGCAGGGATATGGTCATGATCAATAACCAGGTTTGACTCTATCATAGAGTGTGATTGTAAATGGAAAACAGTTATGCCAGCTCTGCGTATTATTATATTCAATTCACCTGCATTTGAAGAGTGAGTGAGTTCAAAGTAAATAATGTATTTTACATCATATCTTACTGTTTGGGGCATAGTAACTGTGTTAGTTTATATTAGTCAGTATACTTCTTAAATTCATATAAACAACATGGCTGCATTGGTTTAACCTTCCACTACCGTGTAGTCCAAGCTATATACTTTTCTTATAGCCATTTCTTTTGTCTTGTGATATAGTAATGTTTCACTGAGTCCTCCAGTTTACACATTGCTAACACAACAAATTTGAAATAAACTCTTAGTATATTGAAGAAAGATTTTAAAAGATCTCAACAATGTAAGGATTATAAGACATGGACATTAATTAAATTTTTTTAACTGAGTGCCGAGAGAAAAAAATTAACTGCATGGTTTTAATGGTGTTATTTTTAAGTGGAGTATTCTTAAAAGAAGATGTTTTTCTCCATAATTTCAGAAATATATCCAAGAAGCCCGTGCCAAGATGGTTCGTCAGCCACGGCTGTCAGAGCTGGCCCAGACTGGGATGATGGCTACAAACTGGAAGTTTGTGGAAACACTGCTCAAAGAGGCAAAAGGAAAGGTATGTAATAGATCAAGTAATAGATGGAAATGCTGTTTGTTTCACTTATTGCCAAAGCCATTGAAAAAAAAAAGACAGTTAACGTTTTTAAAAGACTGGTTTGTTTTGAATATAAGAAATTTGGCTCAGACCCGGTATACATCGGGACAGTGCTAGAGAGCTTGGTTTGTCCCCAATGAGAGCTTTTATGCTTTAGATTAACTTTGTTTTTATTCATTTATTTTTCAAATGGTTAAAGTAAAGATGTAGATACACAAACATTACACAGGTCATCTTTTTCAAATTGCAGACCAAGAGGATGTTAGTGGAGAAGATGGGTCAAGAGGCTGTGGACCTTGGACATGGTGACCAGGTGACACTGACCGGCGTGGAGGAGAACACTCTGATAGCCAGCCTTTGTGATCTACTAGAGAGAATATGGAGCCATGGACTGCAGACTAAGCAGGTACATATGTATTAATTTAGGCCGTGCGGTTCAAATCGGGGGTCATTTAGTTATGTTGATGTAAGCAGAAATTGAAAGACACTCAGAGTTTTACTTAGCGAATGTTTTAGTCTTGTCATTTTGAAGACATAGTTCCAGAGTTTCATTAGAGATATAGTTACTATGATTTTGTTCAAATAATTTTATCTATTATTGCTTAAAAAGCAGTTACTGCAATGCATTGAATAAATTCTGTGTAAAATATTCCTACTAGCAATTGAACATTGATAAGTGATCACATGTTTCATTGTGTAAAGAACATTGATATTACTATTGTGTTGCCAATTTTGGAAAAAGTGGGGCATTTAGTATTATTTGTCAATTTTTTAAAATTGTTTTTACATTGTTTGCTATGCAAAGATATGTGATTCAGATGATTCAGAAAGGATATGTAACGTAACCTGTCTTTTGTTCTGTTCCAGCTTGGCATGCAATCTAGAACATGATAAAATCAAAACTTAAGATGTTTTTGTTGTCTTTTTTTTTTTTAGGTTTGTTGTATTTGCCATAGCATTTTCACTTGTTTATTTTTCTTATTCCTTGTTTTTCCAGGGCAAGTCTGCTTTGTGGTCTCACTTGCTCAACTTTCAAGAAATAGAAGAGTGCAATGACAACAGCAAGCCTATTGATCCAAACTTCCTTACTCCAGGTAATGGAAATCCCTCTCTGGCTTGGAATGTGTTCTTATTTATATGTTATCCCCTAGAGGTTAAGGTACTATAATGAAAATAGCGCCTGCCCATTCAGTACATTACTGACATATTGAATTATATTGGTGAAATTGTAGAAGTTATAGTATTGATTTGTTTGAAATAAAACCTGGAAGGTCTTAATTGCTTCAATTAGAGACAAATGAATGAATATGGAGGACGTTATCAAAGATACATTTTCAGAAGTTGATCATTGAATTTTCCTTACTAGTTGGTCTCAGAAAAGTACTCAACCAACTAAAAGAATGTAAAATGCTGCTGTATTTAAACGTCTATACTGGTTGTATAACAAGTGTTTTAGGACTACAATAACTTTCCAATACCCATTGCCATTGAAACCAAAATTCTTGTAAAGTTTGTCATAGAATGTCTTGTTAATATAATGTAATGTCTCATCTTGTCTTGTCTAATGTCATGTTTCCAGTCAAGCTGGGCTGAAGCGCCTTGTTACAGCCTGATCTCAACAAGTCATCTGATGATGATTAGCTCACCATAGGCAACTTAAATTAACTGATCTTGTTCCCACAGTTGTTGTAATTAAGGCAGGTGGCAGGCTGATAGATAAGTTTCCCTGGGTGGGTTTATCATTATCAGGTGGTGCGAGATGGGTTGTATTAAGTTGGGAAGACTCAGCTCTGCTGGAAACCTGACACAGAATATATAGAAAAAAATTTGTCTATCATTACGTCTATTTATCCTTCACCATTGTGCAGCACTAGCGTGGTGTATTTTACGCAAGAGATTTCAGCGTAGGTTTGATCTAGATGAGTGTTAACCAAGTGTAAACCCCCTCTCCCTGCACACTCAAGCAAACACACACATGTGCGTGCACACACACATACACACACACACACCTGTTCCATCCACCTCAGTGTCAAAGATGTTTGCCTTTTATTTATTGTATGCTGGAAGTTTTACCACAAACATACTGTGTCAAAGTCTGTGAAATGAGAGATTTCTGTTCTCCTTGTATTTTCAGCATGTGACAAAAAAAGTCTTGAATAAGCTGTTATATTATACGGTTTTTTTGCCATACATCGTCTCTCAAGAAAATGCACCTTAAGGATGTCCATGGTCAGTTGTGACTGATGGAAGCTATCCATGATATTACTGAAATAAAAGGATGACTCTCTCATTTCACAGTGCACCCCCTTATACATGGCTTATATTACATGTTATATAAAAATGCATTGCATGACTATAAGGTGTTGCTATTGCTTTTCAAATATTGTTCAAAAAGTTGGCTCTGGATTTTAAAACAACTTCTGTTATTGGCACCAGGGTTCATATCGACCATCGATGTACATATGTCACTTTTGATTTTGAGACTGGTATGCCTGTTGTGTCTCTAAGGAATGGATTTTACCTGCTTGATAACCCAACAACCTTTCAACATTTTGGGCAGTTTTTGTTTATTTGATTTCAAGATCCCTCTGTGTCAGTGAATAATCTTAAGCTTTTGTTAATCCTTGAATTTTTTTAGTTGTTTAGATAACTGGTATTGGAAGTTGAATCTTACTGCCAATTATGAATGAGGATACAGTAAAAATTATAAGATTAAGTATTTAAAGGAAAGACAAAAAATCAAATTAGTGTTTTGTACACTGGTGATAAAAGAATATAAGTTTGTGTAGGAAAATGGTTAATGTGCTTGCTGATAAAAATTAAAATCTTGTGCTTCAACTGCATTTGGGAATGTGCAAGGATCCCCATATTGCCGTTATCTGTGCAGTTTGCAAAAAAATGTGTTAAGATAAAATCTGCTTATTGTTTTGATTGTTTGTCACCCAGTTTAGGTTGCTTCTCATCCATGTTGGTATCACCACTGTTGAATATCTTTGTTTTGTGTATTTAGACTCATTGTCTTGGTCTCGCACTCAAACTGATAACTAAGAAAGCATTCCATCTGTGTATTAACAAAACACATTTTTGATAGAAAATTATATCACAAGGAGTGCTGTGCTATAATCACTGTTCGATGATTTGAATGAAAATATGAAGTCAATTGATAATCATAAAAAGAACAGTAATTCCCACATTACACTTGCAAGGTATAGATGGATTCATATACAAAGCTTGTGATACAACAAATGATATTTTTGAGTAATAATTACTTTATCAAAATTACATTACATGCAGGAAGAGGTCAATTGAAGAATGATTTTATATACTAAGGAATACAATACAGATGATTTGCGGCCTTGGGATGGTTCACATAGAGGACATCAATGTATTTAAAATCTATAGGCAAACAAAGCAATTTGACTATTAAATGAGCTGTTCAGTGTGAAGGAAAAATGGCCTTTGATCACACCCAGTGACTGAAGAATTCTGTTCTATTTCAGATATCTCCACTTTAGCTTTGGATGGGGATGGTAGTAGATCAGGTACCCCAGAGGCCACACCCCCAGGGACCCCTAAAAAACATAAGAGAAAGAACAGCAGGGGACCTGAACTCCCAACCCTCATCCCACTCAGAGAGTCTGTCACCTTTGATATGAAGTATGTGACATTGTTAAAAAACATTTTTCTCTAAACTTTAAAACTGCCCAATGGTAAATAGAAATTCTTGAAAGTGTCAGTAATATCTCATGGTGTCAGTTATCCTGAAAGAGGGCGTCGTTTGGTCACCAGGATGTATCAAATTCTATCCATTTGTATTTATATCAGTTGAATTGTGATAGGCTTATATCAAAATTCACCAATGACAAGCCTGAACTTCAGATATCTAAAGTGTGGTATGGGTGTGTTTAGATTAAAAAAAGCATTAAAAAGGCAAGTCATACCATAAACACATACTTATTTCATATTCGTGTTTCTTTTTAGAAATATATTAAAGATGAAGGACATCAAGACAGATGTAGGCTATGCCAGAGCTTGGGTAAGACTTGCACTGGAAAAGAAACTTCTCTCCAGACATCTGAAAGAGCTGCTGTCTGATACAGATTTACTGAGGTAAGCACTACATAACTTTCTGATCATTCAACATAAGAATGAACATCAGATTTAAGACAGGGAGATGTAAACTATATGTGTTAGTCCAAGAGTTGTTTATTGTCAGATTTTCAGGTAACTCAATTTGGAAACCAAATTTAACATTGCCCTAACACAAGAAAACCTTTGAAGCTGCTTTTTGGAAACTGAAAATTAAACAAATATATGCTGTATATTTACCAACTTGATCTTTCATCTTAGTTTTGAAAATTCACCTTTTTTTTACACTGTTGAAAATAATATATAAGTTTGACAAGGGATATGGTTAATGCTCTTGTAATAAACTGTAAATGATATGCTTAAAAATATCCATCAGACAATCAAAATTTTTTGTGCAGGAGCAGCTACAAGAGATATGCCTTCCTACGCTGTGAAGATGAAAGAGAACAGTTCCTCTGTCACCTCCTCTCCCTCAATGCTGTGGACTACTTCTGTTTCACAAACACATTTACAAGCACCAGTAAGAAGATTTTTATTTTTGACAATTGAGCACCAACTTCATTATAATGACTTGTTTGTTGACTTATTGTCAGGTTAGATAATTTGAATCCTTAAATACATGGCTGTTCATTAATGTTTAAATTCATTCATACTTTACAGAATGTACATGAAGAAATAGACCTTAACTATTGTATAGTAACATGCATAAGTATAACAAAATACCTCTATCACGTTAGACTGTGTACTGAGAGTTATCATATGTCTATTTCCTTCTAGTCATCCCATACAGAGTGTTGATCTTTCCAAGTAGAAAGTTTCAAGGTTATGCTACCTCAGCCAACCCTTACATCTGCCTGGCAGGCAACCTGGGAGACACGGGGGTTGTCCAGGTGGCCAGACACACCCTGGAGATCTTAGTGGAGGTAAGTAGTATCCTTCTTACTTAAGCTTTTTCTAAGTCTGACTGGCAGGCAACCTTGGAGTCGCAGGGGTGGTACATGTTGTCAAGCACACACTCCCTTTGAAGAACAGGTCATAGAATTTTACAATAAAGATAAATGCCATAAAGTATGTTTTTAATTGCCCACTGTAACTTTTGCCTAATTTAGCACAAGAACCTTGGCATGCTGACCACCCTGAGGATAGGCCATGATAACAGTGGAATAACACCTAAGTGGATGATAGAGCATGTCTTGGTCAGAAATGATATCACTGGACATACTTACAAGTGAGTTGTTTATGCTCTTTACAGAATTAATAGGACCACAGAATTAGAATTATTTGTGAGATACCTTTGTTTTGTATTAGTTTGAACATAAGGATGTTGTATGGTATAGGGAAGAAGTATGGTCAGAGATCTTGATCAGACTTACAGTAATACACAATATTCTGTTTAGTGTCTGTATATTTACCATCTGTGCAGACTAGATAATTAGTCTTTCTTCTTTTCTTCATTATCCAATACATGTTTCATAGAGTCAATTTGTGCATTTGTGTAATTTCAGGTTTCCATGTGGACGATGGCTAGGAAAAGGAATTGACGATGGCAGTATTGAGCGACTACTGGTTGGTGAGCTGGTTCCTCTCACAACTGATGGAGAAGGTAAGAATGTTTTCACTTATAGAAATATTACTTGGTTTATTGCTGTTTATTTTAAGTCATGTCAGTTTTATTTTAAGAGGTATATCTTTTCTCCACCTTGATATTTTAATGATGTAGACCTAAGTAGATAAATCTGAAAAAAAAAATAAATTAAAAGACAAGAAAGAAATCCACAAATTTGTTATCCTAGAATCTTAACAAACGCCTTTGTATACAGGTGCCTCACCTTAAAATATGTAAGATTACTTTGGAGTTTTTTTCCAGATCTATGCTATGCATGCAGCACTCCACCCAGGACAAGGTCACCTATTTTACCAAGGAAAGCACCAGAGACTAGTAAGTTGTTTTAGCCAGTCTCAGTGGATACATTATTTCAAAATTTGGAGACACATTCATGAAACTTATCACAGAATATTAAACACTTGTCAGATTGAATTTTATCTTTCATAAAGATTAATGTAATGAACAGGGTAATTCTATAGAAAGTATTCTATGTGTCTGTGATCTCAGTATCATTATTTAATTCTTGAAACAGCATTGAGTCAGATTGTTTTCGTAGAGTAGAATTTTGACAACATATAGTGTGTAGGATCAAGTAAAGCATCTTTTGTTGAGCAGCACATGGTATCCATACTCGAGTAAGTTTTAAAATGATGGTTTGTATATTGTGCATATGCCACTGGTATTAATTTTGATATCTTCTTCTCAGAGGTCAGACTGCCAGAAATACAGCAGATGTTGGGGGAATCTGTCAACAACTTGGTGAAACATTACTACAAACCAGAAAAGGAGGTAGGGAGAACTGCTAGGCATTTTGTAATTTTTATTTTCATTCAGTAGGAGATACAGAACAAAGTTTTGTGTGTGCTGTTCATAGGTTACCCCTGCAATGTCATTGTGACCCATATCATCTCTTGGGAAAATAAACAATTTGTGTTTTTCATTCATGTATACAAGTGAGCACTGAATTCAACTTCACCAGTTTCTGGTTTCTTTATGTCAAGTACTATTCATAGCATGCAATGCAGAATTTTCTTTTAGAAAAATACAGTCATTCCAGATGACCTAGTTTCATGTATGTCTCTTTGTACAATTTTTAAGTGCCTTCTTTAAAAAAGTGGATGTTTGCCAAACTTCAATGTACTTTGATAATAATAGTTTATTGATTCTTTTATTTAGCGAGGCAGCTTAACTTACCTGTTGTGTGGAGAAGGTGGGCTAGTGGAGTGTTTAGACAATGTGTTCCAGTATGGTTACAAATCTGCCAGGCTGTTCAGGAATAGACTATATGCATGGGACTACATAGGTCGGGTCTTTTTCCCTTAGGAAGTGATTGTGTCAAGGATTCCCCTTCGTTATTTTAGATAATACAATACAATATAATACCATACAATAAAAATGCAGTAACTTTCCATCATGTAAATGGACTTTGATTTTTTTATACATATTATAAATGTTTTATCAAGTTAATGCTGTGCTAAATATATTTGAAAAGTGAAATGTTATAATTGCTTTTAAATATTTGAACAAAGAGAGAGAGATACTTATAGGTGTTTAAAAAATGAGAATTTTATCCAGCTGTTCATGATTACAGAAAAATGCCAAGCTTACTTTGCCAGTGCATTGAAAGAGGATGTGAAAGTCTCCCAGATGAAGAGAGCAGCCTACATGTCTTATTGCAATGTGGTTGCCAGGATAAATGAAGCATCACAGAGTGTAGGGAAAGATGGGAAATTTCAGCTCTTTGTGTGCGTGGGTCTAAGGTGAGCATATTCTAGGATCCATGATTTATTGTACTCAAGCCATATCCAAAGCATATTTGTAATTGTAATACTAGTAGTACTTTCTGGTAAAAGTGAACACAAGATTGGAGTCCAGTCAGTCAATTTATGCAAAGATTAAAGATACATAGTGATTTCACATTCAAATATCTATGTTGTAATATTTTATTGGACTACATATGATATATATGAGTAGAAGTTTTGAAAAAATGCAAACAAGTGTTTGTATACAGTTGTATACACTGTAACAGTACATGATTTCACATAATTAATGATACGAAATACTAATTGTGATTTTGATGTTAAACATTTTTCAATCTTTCAGGGATCATGTTCTAGAGCGCTGGCTGCCTGTCATGGCTGAGGCACCAGTCACTGCCAGTATGTATGAGGAAAATTCCTTCATGAGAGAACCAACCTTGCTGAACTTTGTTGTTCATTTAATTCACTCACTCAGAGACTTCACAATAACATTGGAGGCATCTCTTGTCAAAGGCTTGGATGTTTAGAGCTTTTACTCCAATAAGGACATGGGTCAGTATGTGGACATCGAACTAGAGAAAGAAAATTATCCTGGTAGTGTAGAATGAAAAAGCACACTTCTCTTACAGTGGACTGCATGTCTAGACATTGCGGTGGTCAGTATGAGAGTGGACAATTGGCAAATTGCTAATTATAAGGCATTAGGGCCAGTGGTGAAGGAATTTTCTAGAATGATACTGAGTTATAGGATATGCTAACCCACCGTATAGTAATATTTTGAAGAACAGTGCATAAGTAGCAGTTTACAACTGGGCGGTTATTGGTATCTTGTTGAGGAATGGTGTCTTTGGTCTTGCCACATGTTGGACCACTGGTTAAGAAAGTACCAGGCAAATATAGCAGTAAAGGGTTTTACCCTAAAATGCATTATGGGTTTGAATTTTTTTAAGAAGATCGTTGCCCTTGTGTGATATTTAAATGTCTTCTTGTTTCATTTGATTTTTAATGGTGTTTAATCACAGAAGTGGACAAGATGTGATCCCACCTCCTAGTCCATGGTAAGATGACAGTGACTTAACTGATATTGAGATAGTTATGACATTGGGTTGGGTTTTTTATATGCTTTGAAGTGTTTGAATACTGATGATTACTTGTCTAATTAATTGAAAGGCCCACACTTTTTATGTGATTTTGTTTAGCAGTTTTCTATATCGTATGAACATCTGTTATATGTATAAATATAATTACAGACTGAACCAAAGCTGCATGGCACAGCTATGTTTAAGTTTAACAGCACAGTTAAGTTTATAGTCGAAGTCTTGAGGATGAGTATCCTTGCTCATATGATGTACATACTTTTTAAAGCCAGTATTACTGCCTCACAAGGGTGCTATTGAGATTACTTAGAAAATTGCCTTGAAAATGGTATTTCTCATTCATTCTGTCATTTTATTTGTGAATGAGTGGTTTAATGTGTTATTCTGTATAAGCATTTAAGTCTCATTTTATTAGATGCATTGGGTTGATGCAATATTGCAGTTTTATTTTTTCTTAGCATCAGTTTGATAGCAATTCTGCTGTGAATGATAAATTGTATACCATTCTCAGTTCTCTTTTAATTCAATATTAAAATGTCATGGATTAAACTTAAAAAGTGAAAATAATAAGGGCAAAAAAGCACACATCATCTTGTGCACTTGACGTTCCTTATTTTCTTGATATAAGTTATACCGCTTTTAACTTGCTTACATTAGGTGCTGTAAACAAAATCTTTTCCTCTCTGTTGAAGGTGAAGAAATATTTAATTTTGTCTTAAGACTTTTCTTGAGGATTTTATAAAATGATTGTTTTATTTATTATTAATGGTGATAACTATAAGTCTAAAATTACACTGCCAGAACAGTATAACACGATTCTAGTCATTGTGCTCTGTATTCAGTATGTTGATCTCTCATATTATCTCATCATCTGTATATAAGTGAAAACCATGACTGGCAATAAATTCATTTCTTAAAAGGCATTTTAAAATCTTGAAATTTTATTCACTACACCGTTTTCCTTCTAAAAAAGTTGAGTGATAATTTTTAATTCTATTTCGTATAAAAATATCGGTCAGTCTTAAATGAGATATGCTTGCGCATGCGTACTCAGTTAGCTTGTGACATGCGGCTGGGTAGTCAGCCTGAAAATAGGGACAGTCGGTCATCCGGGCACTTTACCTTAGCAACAGGCATCTGGGGTAAAACAAATCGGGCAANAAATTTGCAGTGAAGTTTACATTATCAACATAAGATATATATATCCAAGCATTATCAACAATAAATTACACCTATAAAAATCATGGAATTTAATTACTAGCAAGAGATATGGCACAAAGACCTGATGGTCCAAGTTTTTTTTTTTTTTTTTTACCTGAAGTCCATTCAAAATACTTAAATGCTGATGCTTTGACATTTAATTTAGTAATTAACAAGTCCTTGTAAATTATCTAAGACATTTTCCCTTCACTCCTGAAATGTTTGTACAGCAGAGGTTTCAAGTACATGATTAGGTAATGTGCACATTATAAAACTTTTAAATAATTAAACATTCAAAAATAAATCTCTGTACAATAACTATTTAAACTGTCTACAATTTTTTACAAATAAAATTGAAGCTACAGTATAATTATCACAGAAGCACTTGATTAAGAAGTATACAGTATTAAAGATTTGGGGCATCAAACTAAACTGGCCAAATTCGGCCTTTCCTATCTTACACTCTTTATACCTCAGTGGATATCAATTACACACAAAATCTGGTGACCATAGTATAAATGTTTCTTTTTTTCAGATGGATCACATTAGTAAGAATGATAAGCTGGTATTTAAATCCAGCCATATAAATCTATATCTGTAAACAAACATGTTGGATTCCATATCCTTTAGTGTGTAACAAGAACTTCATTCTGCTCCCATAGATTTCTGTAGGGATGTATTATGACATAAATATCAGCCTTAAACATCTTCACAGATTAGCTGCCTTCAATATTACAATACTGTACATGATATATATATATATATATATATATATACATATATACATAATTTTCTAATTCAAAATATGACAATTCTGACTTTAAAAGTGTAGTAACAGACACAATAATACATACACTATTATTTTATCTCAAAATAATAACTCATTTCAGCCACAACAGATAAAGAGATATGATTACAATGAAAGAAATTCAATTCATTTTCATATATCTAAAAATAATCCAACCTAATTAAAATCCCAGCTGGACATTTAATCCCATATAAGACATCACTGCGACAAAAAGAACAAGTGACAAACACTTGGTAGAGCTTCTAGATCCAGTAATACCAGTACTTTTACTGTTAATCCGACCACCAAACGACTGAATAAATAGGTCTTCCTGATTCCTAACCTGGTAATCTGCCGACTGGACTACTACCATTGAAGTCAGTGGTGTCACAAAGTTGTACTCCAAAGACATGTTTAAAGCCTTGGCTTCAACTTCTTTTTTAAGCACATCATTATCACTGAGTGCATTCATCTGGTCAAGTAAGGAATTAATCTTTTTGTACGCCCATAGACGCTCCAGGAAGGCTTCATTGGTGCACGTTGCAGCGCTGCTGTAAAGATCAATGTTGGTCGTTTTTCCCTGCCCTGTTACACGGCTCTGCCAACTGCTGGGGCATGTTGGACTCTGAAGTTTCCCAACCACTACCATCTCACTGCCACTGAAATGGAGGCACTTGGTGGTGTTGCTAAGGCTGGTCTGGTCCACCAAATTATTGGAATACTCAACCTGGACACCTTTAATAAGAGGCGATCCCAATTGCCTGAAGAAGTTTTCCAATTCTTTGCTTGCCTCTGCGTCATCTGCTATGAACTGATATCTGCCACAATTTTCATAGGACACTGCCCTCATGAAGTCACTGTTCACTCCGGTCCCAAAACCAATGGAAAAAATCCCGATGCCTGTGCCACTGGTTTCTTGCAGGATGTTCTGTCGAATTACCTTTGTGTCGTAAACACCAGAAGTTGGTTGTCCATCAGTCAGGAAGACGATGATTGATGCTCTGCTACTGGGTTGGTTTTTCAAAGCCTGGGATGCTGCAACTAAACCACTGTTGATGTCTGTGCCTCCACGAGCCTTTATTTTTTCATTAGCAAATGACTTGGCACTGCTGATTCTCTCTGAAGTGGCCTGAACTAAAGACTTAGTATCAGGCCAGTATTCCAAAGTGTCATCAAACAACACAATACCAAAGTAATCCATAGAAGTGTCCAGCTGATCTAGTATGGCTAGCATGGCATTCTTTGCTTGTTCAATTTTCTGCCCACTCATGGACCCGCTAACATCGACCACAAAATATACCGATTTGGGAAGGGCATTAAGTCCTGTGGGAGCAATGTATTGGACAAAGTATCCACCATTTCCAACCAAAATTACACCACCATTATTGGTGTCTTGAAGCACGTATGTCACGATGAAATCACCATCGATCCCTTTGACAGCATTCTGAGCTTGTTGTTGAGCCACTGTAGGGCTGTACTGAATCTTCTTCACCATGCTGCTCACTGACTGTACTGATGCCTGGGGAAGAGAGGGCTCATCAACTTCCAGACTCGTAAGTCCCTGGGGTTCATCAATGTCCACTGCTATGGTCAAGTTGGCTACTGTCTGATTAGGGCGAACACTAATGATATGATCATACTTCCCAAGTTTGCGCTCCAAAAGTTCCTCATAGGTTAACACAAAGGTTACTCGGCTTCCAGGGGCAATGTTGGTGTTGACATTGAATTTTTTCCGATACTTAACAGTTTCTTGAGAGGAACCGGAGGGGCCTGCGCTGCTCACCATTCCTGCATTCTGACTTTGATTTCTCGCAGCGTCATAAATCTTCTTTGCCTCTGCTTTGGACAGGACAGATGATGCATACCATGTGCCGTTGATTTCCATGTTAAAGGAAGAGATAAATGCCTCTTCGGGGATCTGAACCATGAAGGATGTCTCAGTCCCGTTTCCACTGGTAGCCCCGTTTTCCATGACACTGGTTATGATTGTCTTGGCGTAGTGAGACTGGATGGTTGAAACGACCTGGAGGTTGGTCATCGTCACTGCACCTGAGTTAGAGGTGTCCCTCTTACTTCTACTTCCTATAACATGGTTGTCAGTGTCACCATTTCCAACACGCAAAACCAAACTCACGTCATCATTAAAACGTTTAGAAGCAGCACACGTTACAAACCCACTTTTAATGATGAAGAAGAGCACGAGCACCTGTTTCGCTGTTAATGACATTGTTGGACACTGAAATGGCTCTGCTTTTTACGTCGACCTGTTGAATTTCTAGACCCGTTTTCAGGTCATTTTATGACTCGCTGCACCTTTTCATCCACTTTTGTTAACATNCCTGTTCCATCCACCTCAGTGTCAAAGATGTTTGCCTTTTATTTATTGTATGCTGGAAGTTTTACCACAAACATACTGTGTCAAAGTCTGTGAAATGAGAGATTTCTGTTCTCCTTGTATTTTCAGCATGTGACAAAATAGTCTTGAATAAGCTGTTTTATTATACGTTTTTTTTTTTTTTTTTTTTTGCCATACATTGTCTCTCAAGAAAATGCACCTTAAGGATGTCCGTGGTCAGTTGTGACTGATGGAAGCTATCCATGATATTACTGAAATAAAAGGATGACTCTCTCATTTCACAGTGCACCTCCTTATACATGGCTTATATTACATGTTATATAAAAATGCATTGCATGACTATAAAGTGTTGCTATTGCTTTTCAAATATTGTTCAAAAAGTTGGCTCTGGATTTTAAAACAACTTCTGTTATTGGCACCAGGGTTCATATCGACCATCGATGTACATATGTCACTTTTGATTTTGAGACTGGTATGCCTGTTGTGTCTCTAAGGAATGGATTTTACCTGCTTGATAACCCAACAACCTTTCAACATTTTGGGCAGTTTTTGTTTATTTGATTTCAAGATCCCTCTGTGTCAGTGAATAATCTTAAGCTTTTGTTAATCCTTGAATTTTTTTATTTGTTTAGATAACTGGTATTGGAAATTGAATCTTACTGCCAATTATGAATGAGGATACCGTAAAAATTGTAAGATTAAGTATTTAAAGGAAAGACAAAAAATCAAATGAGTGTTTTGTACACTGGTGATAAAAGTATATAAGTTTGAGAAGAAAAATGGTCAATGTGCTTGCTGATAAAAATTAAAATCTTGTGCTTCAACTGCATCTGGCAATGTGCAAGGACCCCCATATTGCCGTTATCTGTGCAATTTGCAAAAAAATGTGTTAAGATAAAATCTGCTTATTGTTTTGATTGTTTGTCACCCAGTTTAGGTTGCTTCTCATCCATGTTGGTATCACCACTGTTGAATATCTTTGTTTTGTGTATTTAGACTCATTGTCTTGGTCTCGCACTAAAACTGATAACTAAGAAAGCATTCCATCTGTGTATTAACAAAACACATTTTTGATAGAAAATGATATCACAAGGAGTGCTGTGCTATAATCACTGTTCGATGATTTGAATGAAAATATGAAGTCAATTGATAATCATAAAAAGAACAGTAATTCCCACATTACACTTGCAAGGTATAGATGGATTCATATACAAAGCTTGTGATACAACAAATGATATTTTGAGTAATAATTACATTATCAAAATTACATTACATGCAGGAAGAGGTCAATTGAAGAATGATTTTATATACTAATGAATACAATACAGATGACTTGCAGCCTTTGGATGGTTCACATAGAGGACATCAATGTATTTAAAATTTATAGGCAAACAAAGCAATTTGACTATTAAATAAGCTGTTCAGTGTGAAGGAAAAATGGCCCTTGTTGCACTCAGTGACTGAAAATTCTGTTCTGTTTCAGATATCTCCACTTTAGCCTTGGATGGGGATGGTAGCAGATCAGGTACCCCAGAGGCCACACCCCCAGGGACCCCTAAGAAACACAAGAGAAAGAACAGCAGGGGGCCTGAACTCCCCACCCTCATCCCACTCAGAGAGTCTGTCACCTTTGATATGAAGTATGTGACATTGTTAAAAAACATTTTTTCTCTAAACTTTAAAACTGCCCAATGGTAAATAGAAATTCTTGACAGTGTCAGTAATATCGCATGGTGTCAATTAACCTGAAAGAGGTCGTCGTTTGGTCACCAGGATGTATCAAATTCTATCCATTTGTATTTATATCAGTTGAATTGTGATAGGCTTATATCAAAATTCACCAATGACAAGCCTGAACTTCAGATATCTAAAGTGTGATATGGGTGTGTTTAGATTAAAAAAAGCATTAAAAAAGGCAAGTCATACCATAAACACATACTTATTTCATATTCATGTTTCTTTTTAGAAATATATTAAAGATGAAGGACATCAAGACAGATGTAGGCTATGCCAGAGCTTGGGTAAGACTTGCACTGGAAAAGAAACTTCTCTCCAGACATCTGAAAGAGCTGCTGTCTGATACAGATTTACTGAGGTAAGCACTACATTGCTCTCTGATCATTCAACATAAGAATGAACATCAGATTTAAGACAGGGAGATGTAAACTATATGTGTTAGTCCAAGAGTTGTTTATTATCAGATTTTCAGGTAAGTCAATTTGGAAACCAAATTTAACATTGCCCTAACACAAGAAAACCTTTGAAGCTGCTTTTTGGAAACTGAAAATTAAACAAATATATGCAGTATATGTAACAAAATTGATCTTTTGTCTTAGTTTTGAAAATTCACCTTTTTCCTTTTTTTACACTGGTGAAAATAATATATAAGTTTGACAAGGGACATGGTTAATGCTCTTGTAATAAACAGTAAATGGTATGTGTATAGATAACCATCAAACAATCATATATTTTTCTAATGCAGGAGCAGCTACAAGAGATATGCCTTTCTACGCTGTGAAGATGAAAGAGAACAGTTCCTCTGCCACCTCCTCTCCCTCAATGCTGTGGACTACTTCTGTTTCACAAACACATTCACTAGCACAAGTAAGAAAAGTCTTATATTTGACAATGGAGCATCAACTTCATTACATTGACTTGCTTGTTGACTTATTGTCAGGTTAGGTAATTTGAATCCTTTAACACATGGCTGTCCATTAATGTTAAATTCTTCATGCTTTATAGAATAAACATGAATAAATAGACCTTGTCTGTTTTATAGTAGCATTTATAACAAAATACATCTGTCAGTTAGACCGTGTACTGAGAGTTATATGTCCATTTCCTTCTAGTCATCCCATACAGAGTGTTGATCTTTCCAAGTAGAAAGTTTCAAGGTTATGCTACCTCAGCCAACCCTTACATCTGCCTGGCAGGCAACCTGGGAGACACGGGGGTTGTCCAGGTGGCCAGACACACCCTGGAGATCTTAGTAGAGGTAAGTAGTATCCTTCTTACTTAAGCTTTTTCTAAGTCTGACTGGCAGGCAACCTTGGAGTCGCAGGGGTGGTACATGTTGTCAAGCACACACTCCCTTTGAAGAACAGGTCATAGAATTTTACAATAAAGATAAATGCCATAAAGTATGTTTTTAATTGCCCACTGTATCTTTTGCCTAATTTAGCACAAGAACCTTGGCATGCTGACCACCCTGAGGATAGGCCATGATAACAGTGGAATAACACCTAAGTGGATGATAGAGCATGTCTTGGTCAGAAATGATATCACTGGACATACTTACAAGTGAGTTGTTTATGCTCTTTACAGAATTAATAGGAGCACAGAATTAGAATTATTTGTGAGATACCTTTGTTTTGTATTAGTTTGAACATAAGGATGTTGTATGGTATAGGGAAGAAGTATGGTCAGAGATCTTGATCAGACTTACAGTAATACACAGTGTTCTGTTTAGTGTCTGTATATTTACCATCTGTGCAGACTAGATAATTAGTCTTTCTTCTTTTCTTCATTATCCAATACATGTTTCATAGAGTCAATTTGTGCATTTATGTAATTTCAGGTTTCCATGTGGACGGTGGCTAGGAAAAGGAATTGACGATGGCAGTATTGAGCGACTACTGGTTGGTGAGCTGGTTCCTCTCACAACTGATGGAGAAGGTAAGAATGTTTTCACTCATAGAAATATTACTTGGTTTATTGCTGTTTATTTTAAGTCATGTCAGTTTTATTTTAAGAGGTATATCTTTTCTCCACCTTGATATTTTAATGATGTAGACCTAAGTAGATAAATCTGAAAAAAAAAAAATTAAAAGACAAGAAAGAAATCCACAAATTTGTTATCCTAGAACCTTAACAAATGCCTTTGTATACAGGTGCCTCACCTTAAAATATGTTAAATAATTTTGGAGTTTTTTTTCCAGATCTTTGCTATGCATGCAGCACCCCACCCAGGACAAGGTCACCTATTTTACCAAGGAAGGCACCAGAGACTAGTAAGTTGTTTTGGTCAGTCTCAGTAGATATATTATTTCAAAATTTGGAGACACATTCATGAAACTTATCACAGAATATTAAACACTTGTCAGATTGAATTTTATCTTTCATAAAGATAAATGCAATAAACAGGGTAATTCTGTAGAAAGTATTCTATGTGTCTGTGATCTCAGTATCATTATTTAATTTTTGAAACAGCATTGAGTCAGATTATTTTCGTAGAGTAGAATTTTGGCAACATATAGTGTGTAGGATCAAGTAAAGCATCTTTTGTTGAGCACATGGTATCCATACTCGAGTAAGTTTTAAAATGATGGTTTGTATATTGTGCATATGCCACTGGAATTAATTTTAATATCTTCTTCTCAGAGGTCAGACTGCCAGAAATACAGCAGATGTTGGGGGAATCTGTCAACAACTTGGTGAAACATTACTACAAACCAGAAAAAGAGGTAAGGAGAACAGCTAGGCATTGTGTAATTTTTATTTTCATTCAGTAGGAGATACAGAACAAAGTTTTGTGTGTACCGTTCATAGGTTACCCCTGCAATGTCATTGTGACCCATTTCATCTCTAGGGAAAATAAACAATTTGTTTTTCATTCAATTTATACAAGTGAGCACTGAATTCAACTAAACCAGTTTCTGATTTCTTTATGTCAAGTACTATTCATAGCATGCAGAATTTTCTTTTAGAAAAATACAAAGTCATTCCAGATGACCTAGTTTCATGTATGTCTCTTTGTACAAGAGAATTTTTAAGTGCCTTTTTTGAAAAAGTGGATGTTTGCCAAACTTCAATGTACTTTGATAATAATAGTTCATTGATTCTTTTATTTAGCGAGGCAGCTTAACTTACCTGTTGTGTGGAGAAGGTGGGCTAGTGGAGTGTTTAGACAATGTGTTCCAGTATGGTTACAAATCTGCCAGGCTGTTCAGGAATAGACTATATGCATGGGACTACATAGGTCGGGTCAATTTCCCTTAGGAAGTGATTGTGTCAAGGATTCTCTCTTGGTTATTTTAAATAATACAATACAATATAATACCATACAATAAAAATGCAGTAACTTTCCATCATATAAATGGACTTTGATTTTTTTATACATATTATAAATGTATTATTAAGTTATGCTGTGCTAAATATATTTGAAGGGTGAAATGTTATAAATGCTTTTAAATATTTGAACAAAGAGAGAGAGAGATACTTACAGTGTATAGCTGTTTAAAAAATGAGAATTTTATCCAGCTGTTCATGATTACAGAAAAATGCCAAGCTTACTTTGCCAGTGCATTGAAAGAGGATGTAAAAGTCTCCCAGATGAAAAGAGCAGCCTACATGTCTTATTGCAATGTGGTTGCCAGGATTAATGAAGCATCACAGAGTGTAGGGAAAGATGGGAAATTTCAGCTCTTTGTGTGTGTGGGTCTAAGGTGCGCATATTTTAGCTTCCATGATATATTGTGCTCAGGTCATGTCCAAAGCATATTTGTAATTACTATCTGATAAAAGTGAACACAAGATTGGAATCCAGTCAGTCAATTTATGCAAAGATTAAAGATACATAGTGATTTCACATTCAAATATCTATTTTGTAATATTTTATTGGACTTTTGACTAGATATGATATATATGAGTAGAAGTTTCGAAAAAATGCAAACAAGTGTTTGTATACAGTTGTATACACTGTAACAGTTCATGATTTCACATAATTAATGATACGAAATACTAATTATGATTTTGACTAATTTGATGTTGAACATTTTTCAATCTTTCAGGGATCATGTTCTAGAGCGCTGGCTGCCTGTCATGGCTGAGGCACCAGTCACTGCCAGTATGTATGAGGAAAATTCCTTCATGAGAGAACCAACCTTGCTGAACTTTGTTGTTCATTTAATTCACTCACTCAGAGACTTCACAATAACATTGGAGGCATCTCTTGTCAAAGGCTTGGATGTTTAGAGCTTTTACTCCAATAAGGACATGGGTCAGTAAGTGGACATCGAACTAGAGAAAGAAAATTATACTGATAGTGTAGAATGAAAAAGCACACTTCTCTTACAGTGGACTGCATGTCTAGACATTGCGGTGGTCAGTATGAGAGTGGACAATTGGCAAATTGCTAATTATAAGGCATTAAGGCCAGAGGTTAAGGAATTTTCTAGAATGATACTGAGTTATAGGATATGCTAACCCACCGTATAGTAATATTTTGAAGAACAGTGCATTAGTAGCAGTTTACATCTGGGCGGTTATCGGTATCTTGTTGAGGAATGGTGTCTTTGGTCTTGCCACATGTTGGACCACTAGTTAAGAAAGTACCAGGCAAATATAGCAGTAAAGGGTTTTACCCTAAAATGCATTATGGGTTTGAATTTTTTTAAGAAGATCGTTGCCCTTGTGTGATATTTAAATGTCTTCTTGTTTCATTTGATTTTTAATGGTGTTTAATCACAGAAGTGGACAAGATGTGATCCCACCTCAGTCCATGGTAAGATGACAGTGACTTAACTGATATTGAGATAGTTATGACGTTGGGTTGGGTTTTTTATATGCTTTGAAGTGTTTGAATACTGATGAATTACTTGTCTAATTAATTGAAAGGCCCACACTTTTTATGATTTTGTTTAGCAGTTTTAGGTATCGTATGAACATCTGTTATGTGTATAAATATAATTACAAACTGAACTGAAGCTGCATGGCACAGCTATGTTTATGTTTAACAGCACAGTTAAGTTTATAGTTGAAGTCTTGAAGATGAGTATCCTTGCTCATATGATGTACATACTTTTTAAAGCCAGTATTACTGCCTCACAAGGGTGCTATTGAGATTACTTTGAAAATTGCCTTGAAAATGGGATTTCTCATTCATTTTGTCATTTTATTTGTGAATGAGTGGTTTAATGTGCTATTCTGTATAAGCATTTAAGTCTCATTTTATTAGATGCATTGGGTTGATGCAATATTGCAGTTTTATTTTTTTCTTAGCGTCAGTTTGATAGCAATTCTGCTGTGAATGATAAATTGTATACCATTCTCAGTTCTCTTTTAATTCAATATTAAAATGTCATGGATTAAACTTAAAAAGTGAAAATAATAAGGGCAGAAAAGCACACATCATCTTGTGCACTTGACGTTCCTTATTTTCTTGTTTTAAGTTATACCGCTTTTAACTTGCTTACATTAGGTGCTGTAAACAAAATCTTTTCCTCTCTGTTGAAGGTGAAGAAATATTTAATTTTGTCTTAAGACTTTTCTTGAGGATTTTATAAAATGATTGTTTTATTTATTATTAATGGTGATAACTATAAGTCTAAAATTACACTGCCAGAACAGTATAACATGATTCTAGTCATTGTGCTCTGTATTCAGTATGTTGATCTCTCATATTATCTCATCATCTGTATATAAGTGAAAACCATGACTGGCAATAAATTCATTTTCTTAAAAGGCATTTTAAAATCTTGAAATTTTATTCACTACACAGTTTTCCTTCTAAAAAAGTTGAGTGATAATTTTTAATTTGCAGTGAAGTTTACATTATCAACATAAGATATATATCCAAGCATTATCAACAATAAATTACACCTATAAAAATCATGGAATTTAATTACTAGCAAGAGATATGGCACAAAGACCTGATGATCCAAGTTTTTTTTTTTTACCTGAAGTCCATTCAAAATACTTAAATGCTGATGCTTTGACATTTAATTTAGTAATTTTAATAAGTCCTTGTAAATTATCTAAGACATTTTCCCTTCACTCCTGAAATGTTTGTACAGCAGAGGTTTCAAGTACATGATTAGGTAATGTGCACATTATAAAAATTTTAAATAATTAAACATTCAAAAATAAATCTCTGTACAATAACTATTTAAACTGTCTACAATTTTTTACAAATAAAATTGAAGCTACAGTATAATTATCACAGAAGCACTTGATTAAGAAGTATACAGTATTAAAGATTTGGGGCATCAAACTAAACTGGCCAAATTCGGCCTTTCCTATCTTACACTCTTTATACCTCGGTGGATATCAATTACACACAAAATCTGGTGACCATATTATAAATGTTTCTTTTTTTCAGATGGATCACATTAGTAAGAATGATAAGCTGGTATTTAAATCCAGCCATATAAATCTATATCTGTAAACAAACATGTTGGATTTCATATCCTTTAGTGTGTAACAAGAACTTCATTCTGCTCCCAAAGATTTCTGTAGGGAGGTATTATGACATAAATATCCCTAAACATCTTCACAGATTAGCTGCCTTCAATATTACAATGCTGTACATGGTATATATATATATACATAATTTTCTAATTCAAAATATGACAATTCTGACTTTAAAAGTCCAGTAACCGACACAATAATACATACACTATTATTTTATCTCAAAATAATAACTCATTTCAGCCACAACAGATAAAGAGATATGATTACAATGAAAGAAATTCAATTCACTTTCATATATCTAAAAATAATCCAACCTAATTAAAATCCCAGCTGGACATTTATTCCCATATAAGACATCACTGCGACAAAAAGAACAAGTGACAAACACTTGGTAGAGCTTCCAGATCCAGTAATACCAGTACCTTTACTGTTCATCCCACCACCAAGTGACTGAATAAATAGGTCTTCTTGATTCCTAACCTGGTAATCTGCAGACTGGACTACTACCATTGAAGTCAGTGGTGTCACAAAGTTGTACTCCAAAGACATGTTTAATGCCTTGGCTTCAACTTCTTTTTTAAGCACATCATTATCACTGAGTGCATTCATCTGGTCAAGTAAGGAATTAATCTTTTTGTACGCCCATAGACGCTCCAGGAAGGCTTCATTGGTGCATGTTGCAGCGCTGCTGTAAAGATCAATGTTGGTCGTTTTTCCCTGCCCTGTTACACGGCTCTGCCAACTGCTGGGGCATGTTGGACTCTGAAGTTTCCCAACCACTACCATCTCACTGCCACTGAAATGGAGGCACTTGGTCGTGTTGCTTAGGCTGGTCTGGTCCACCAAATTATTTGAATACTCAACCTGGACACCTTTAATAAGAGGCGATCCCAATTGCCTGAAGAAGTTTTCCAATTCTTTGCTTGCCTCTGCGTCATCTGCTATGAACTGATATCTGCCACAATTTTCATAGGACACTGCCCTCATGAAGTCACTGTTCACTCCGGTCCCAAAACCAATGGAAAAAATCCCGATGCCTGTGCCACTGGTTTCTTGCAGGATGTTCTGTCGAATTACCTTTGTGTCGTAAACACCAGAAGTTGGTTGTCCATCAGTCAGGAAGACGATGATTGATGCTCTGCTACTGGGTTGGTTTTTCAAAGCCTGGGATGCTGCAACTAAACCACTGTTGATGTCTGTGCCTCCACGAGCCTTTATTTTTTCATTAGCAAATGACTTGGCACTGCTGATTCTCTCTGAAGTGGCCTGAACTAAAGACTTAGTATCAGGCCAGTATTCCAAAGTGTCATCAAACAACACAATACCAAAGTAATCCATAGAAGTGTCCAGCTGATCTAGTATGGCAAGCATGGCATTCTTTGCTTGTTCAATTTTCTGCCCACTCATGGACCCGCTAATATCGACCACAAAATATACCGATTTGGGAAGGGCACTAAGTCCTGTGGGAGCAATGTATTGGACAAAGTATCCGCCATTTCCAACCAAAATTACACCACCATTATTGGTGTCTTGAAGCACGTATGTCACGATGAAATCACCATCGATCCCTTTGACAGCATTCTGAGCTTGTTGTTGAGCCACTGTAGGGCTGTACTGAATCTTCTTCACCATGCTGCTCACTGACTGTACTGATGCCTGGGGAAGAGAGGGCTCATCAACTTCCAGACTCGTGAGCCCCTGGGGTTCATCAATGTCCACTGCTATGGTCAAGTTGGCTACTGTCTGATTAGGGCGAACACTAATGATATGATCATACTTCCCAAGTTTGCGCTCCAAAAGTTCCTCATAGGTTAACACAAAGGTTACTTGGCTTCCAGGGGCAATGTTGGTGTTGACATTAAATTTTTTCCGATACTTAACAGTTTCTTGAGAGGAACCGGAGGGGCCTGCACTGCTCACCATTCCTGCATTCTGACTTTGATTTCTCGCAGCATCATAAATCTTCTGTGCCTCTGCTTTGGACAGGACAGCTGATGCATACCATGTGCCGTTGATTTCCATGTTAAAAGAAGAGATAAATGCCTCTTCGGGGATCTGAACCATGAAGGATGTCTCAGTCCCGTTTCCACTGGTAGCCCCGTTTTCCATGACACTGGTTATTATCGTCTTGGCGTAGTGAGACTGGATGGTTGAAACGACCTGGAGGTTGGTCATCGTCACCGCACCTGAGCTGGAGGTGTCCCTCTTACTTCTACTTCCTATAACATGGTTGTCAGTGTCACCATTTCCAACACGCAGAACCAAACTCACGTCATCATTAAAACGTTTAGAAGCAGCACACGTTACAAACCCGCTTTTAATGATGAAGAAGAGCACGAGCACCTGTTTCGCTGTTAATGACATTGTTGGACACTGAAATGGCTCTGCTTTTTACGTCGACCTGTTGAATTTCTAGACCCGTTTTCAGGTCATTTTATGACTCGCTGCACCTTTTCATCCACATTTCCTTTCAAAGTTACATGTAGAACGTTAGGTGGCACTGAAGAAAATCCAAAATACCAATATGAAACAAATCAGAAAGCGCAGGAATGCTACAGCTGGGTTGATAAGAAATCATCCAACCATCACATAACAGATACATAAATGGGCAAAAATGACAAATCATAATTCCACGGGCAATGTAACATTAACAACTCGCTTTCATACCCGAAGAACGGATTTGGCTTTTCTTGGGTTGCCAAGCACGTGGCTATGCGTATCTAACTTATGGCTAAAGCTAAACACGCCTGAAAGCCAAAGGCACCCAGCACCTGTGCTATTTCCCTCCAGTTTGTACCACCAGGGCGTTTTCATCTCGGTAGCATCATGCTGGCATCTGCACGTCCAGAGCAGAGCGTAAACCACGCTTTGTTGGGTTCTGTGCACACTCTAAAACATGATGTCAATGACGTTTTGAGGAGCGGACAGTACTATGTCACCGACGAGCTCGCGCGGAAAGCATATGATATAGACAACAGTCTCAACCACCTGAAGTTCGACCAAAATTTATTAGCTACATCCAAAGAATGGAAACAAGGGTTTGATCAGGACAAGCTTATGCAGGAGCACATGGGTATGCCCCCTAATTAATATTTAATATTATATTAATGTCTGTAATTGCAAGGCAATTAAGGCAACAGGTGCTTGGTTTGAAACCACATTAATTATTATTATTACCATTAAGTAACTGACTGGATTTTGCAGGTTTTGAATTTTTTACAGCGTAATACAACACCATGCTGGTTGAGCAGAATTGCAGTGCACAAATAATTTAGGTTTATATATATAAGTCAGCCCAGAGTAGTTAAATCAATATTAGGTCATATGCATTGTAAATTGAATTATTGATGATAAATAGGATATGCGGTGAGTCAGTTATGTCCTTTTGGTTTTGATTGTAGTGGTTATTGAATAAACATTCCACCAGAAAACCTTATAGCAATTAATCTGTGTAATGCAAAGTGTCAGTATCACTTGCTTCCAAAGTGTTTGATCAATGGATGGATAGAGAGAAACGTTTTCCAATATGTTTCAATCCACACATTTAATTGTCACATTTTCTCCTTATGTAGGGGCAACCCATGCTGGCCAGCATGTTCAACAAGCTTTCTTTGACCTCAAGAACTCCATGAGTGGAAAGGCTTTGGATGGGAAGCAGGAAAATGAGATCCGCGAAGCACATCACTGGGCAGATAAAACTTTAGAAGCAAGTCAGGAAGTGAGTGTTGGAGTAGTTTTGCCATTTGCTTTATAACTAAATGTAATTTTCCAATTAAAAATGATTCAATAAATTTACAAATATGCATGGAATNACTCACGTCATCATTAAAACGTTTAGAAGCAGCACACGTTACAAACCCACTTTTAATGATGAAGAAGAGCACGAGCACCTGTTTCGCTGTTAATGACATTGTTGGACACTGAAATGGCTCTGCTTTTTACGTCGACCTGTTGAATTTCTAGACCCGTTTTCAGGTCATTTTATGACTCGCTGCACCTTTTCATCCACTTTTGTTAACATTTCCTTTCAAAGTTACATGTAGAACGTTAGGTGGCACTGAAGAAAATCCAAAATACCAATATGAAACAAATCAGAAAGCGCAGGAATGCTACAGCTGGGTTGATAAGAAATCATCCAACCATCACATAACAGATACATAAATGGGCAAAAATGACAAATCATAATTCCACGGGCAATGTAACATTAACAACTCGCTTTCATACCCGAAGAACGGATTTGGCTTTTCTTGGGTTGCCAAGCACGTGGCTATGCGTATCTAACTTATGGCTAAAGCTAAACACGCCTGAAAGCCAAAGGCACCCAGCACCTGTGCTATTTCCCTCCAGTTTGTACCACCAGGGCGTTTTCATCTCGGTAGCATCATGCTGGCATCTGCACGTCCAGAGCAGAGCGTAAACCACGCTTTGTTGGGTTCTGTGCACACTCTAAAACATGATGTCAATGACGTTTTGAGGAGCGGACAGTACTATGTCACCGACGAGCTCGCGCGGAAAGCATATGATATAGACAACAGTCTCAACCACCTGAAGTTCGACCAAAATTTATTAGCTACATCCAAAGAATGGAAACAAGGGTTTGATCAGGACAAGCTTATGCAGGAGCACATGGGTATGCCCCCTAATTAATATTTAATATTATATTAATGTCTGTAATTGCAAGGCAATTAAGGCAACAGGTGCTTGGTTTGAAACCACATTAATTATTATTATTACCATTAAGTAACTGACTGGATTTTGCAGGTTTTGAATTTTTTACAGCGTAATACAACACCATGCTGGTTGAGCAGAATTGCAGTGCACAAATAATTTAGGTTTATATATATAAGTCAGCCCAGAGTAGTTAAATCAATATTAGGTCATATGCATTGTAAATTGAATTATTGATGATAAATAGGATATGCGGTGAGTCAGTTATGTCCTTTTGGTTTTGATTGTAGTGGTTATTGAATAAACATTCCACCAGAAAACCTTATAGCAATTAATCTGTGTAATGCAAAGTGTCAGTATCACTTGCTTCCAAAGTGTTTGATCAATGGATGGATAGAGAGAAACGTTTTCCAATATGTTTCAATCCACACATTTAATTGTCACATTTTCTCCTTATGTAGGGGCAACCCATGCTGGCCAGCATGTTCAACAAGCTTTCTTTGACCTCAAGAACTCCATGAGTGGAAAGGCTTTGGATGGGAAGCAGGAAAATGAGATCCGCGAAGCACATCACTGGGCAGATAAAACTTTAGAAGCAAGTCAGGAAGTGAGTGTTGGAGTAGTTTTGCCATTTGCTTTATAACTAAATGTAATTTTCCAATTAAAAATGATTCAATAAATTTACAAATATGCATGGAATGTAGACATATTTCCACCACTGATTAACATTTTATGAGTAATTTTTCTAATTAAGCAGTGTTTTTCATTTGGATCAATAACTATATTTTCCAAATCTCTCATGTTCCAGGCACTGAGTCCATATGCATTGAATGCCCACAACCGCATCCAGCAATTTTCGGACCACATAGGTGTCACTGACCGTTTCAATGGGTACCGCCACATGCTGACCAGAGGTTCTCGGGACCCAGTGGTACTGGGCATGAGCTGGCTGGACACCAAGAGAAATGCTTATAACAGCAGTTTGAATGTTGGCTGGAGAGCAAACCATCCTAGCAGTGGGCAGCAGATGTCTTATGGAGCTGTCCCAGGTTACTTTTAATATTATTCTTATTAATTAAGATATATTCAATATTATATATACATGTACATTTATTTCAATATTATTATCTCAAAGAAATTATTTATCAATGGCCTATATTAACAAGGATAATTTGAATTGACAAAGGTGAACGCGTGCACAGACCTGCCATGTAATAATCAACTTAATAAAACGTATGGAGAAATTAAACATTATTTAAACCTGTAGCCAAGAGGCAAGCAATTTTGACCATTCACCAAAGAGTAATTAAAAAAGAAACTGTTAATTTCTAATTGTAATATACAGAGAATTACTGTATGGGGACTGTAGTTTTGAGCATTTTGTCAGTATGAAATCAAGATCATTATTGCTTCATTTCGGCAGGAAATCAAAGAGGTTACTCAACAGACAAGGGTCACATAGGCGCTAGAGAACTTCATCAAACATATATGGGCACAAACAAAAGCCTGCAGAGAAGAGTAGGATCCACTGGCGGAGAAAGGCAAACTTCAGGTATACATATCCCACATATTATCATATATGTAAATGTTATTTTAAAATTTGTCATGAACTGCTTTATATTATGCCAACATGTCAGCAGTTATATTGAAACAAAATACATATTTATGGATACTTAATTCAAAGAATAAAAACAAGGTACACATTTAGAAAATGTAGTTGGCAAAGTAAAATGCAACACAACAATATAAAGCTGTCATCACTGTTTTCCAAAGAAGATAGAATAGACAAGTACAGGAAGACATTCAAAAATTATCAATTCTCAAAGTTTAACATCATGGAATGATATTGAAATGTAATTTTTTTTAAAACCAATACCATGAAAATGTCAACATCAACATGTTTTTTTTTATTTTCAGGTACCATGGATCACCTTCAAGCCTATAACACCACAATGATCACAGCAAATGGCCCCAAGACACAGAGCGTCCAAGAATCCTGTGGTATCAACATGACATTCCCAGGGAAGACGGAGTATATGGTCAGGTACAAGCGTCCACCTCTTGACCCAAAGACCAGTGACTTTCTTATCAACCCAACACCAAATTTCATGGCCAGTGGACGTCCACTCATGAAGGGGCAGTACGAGTCAAGTTTCACAGAATACCAGACACGCTTTGAATGGCCTGATTCAAGGAAAATAGTGAAATTGCCATGGTTACGCAAATAATAAGGATCTCATTTGAAAAACTTATGATGATAATCTGCACATAGTGTAAAGATATTTTTTTACTCTACTACATTCCTTAATTTAAATGCTATTGCAGGTATAAGTGAAAGATGTTTTTGCACACTGTTGTTCTTTTCAAATCTTTAAGATGCTTTTTTTAATTACCAGTATCATGATATCCCTTTTCTCAGAAATGTATGTAGAATAAGCTTCTTCTTCTTGCAAATTCATTTCATACAAAAATGTTTATTTATTGAACAATTAATTTCTGGTTACTTTCTCCTTAGACCCATGGGTCCCAAGTTTCATCACATCTGCTAGTGCTCATATTCTTTAAAAGAGAGGACAACTTTGTGCCAATGCACCAATTTGATTATACATATTGGACTATAATGTTAAGAAGTGTACTGTACATACAATTTGCTTTATTTTAAGAGAATTTGTTCTAAGTCCCCCTGTGTCACATGTAGATATATACCAGTAGGAAATGTGCCTGTATCTTTATATTGCATAGGTCCACTAAACTTCATGGTCAAATGTGTCGATTTGCTTTAGCAAAACTTAAACATCATGAAGCATGGTGAAATTTCTTGCTCATAGATAACAAGCCAAGCTTAATAACTTGCCTTTGAAGGTAGACAGTTTGTACTAAAGTTAGTGCCACTGATACTTTATCCAACATGCATACAACAGTCTTTTTGAGCCAGGCTTTTAGCCTCCAGATAGTTTTTTGTTACATGTTATTGCCAATGCTGTGAATTGTGCTTAACAAAACGATGCCAAATTTTTAAAATTTTTTTCTATTATAATATGGTTAACATTTTTTGTGTGACAAAAGTGATGCCTTATGGACTTCATGTCCATAATGAAAAAAAGCATGCTATATTTTTTAGTGTTTACTCAGGTACAATGAGGATGGTTTGGAATGACAAAGTATTTTATTTCCAATTAAAATTTCTTCACTAGGGTTGAGTGATTAAATTGCATTTTAGAAAGACAAATGCATTAAATTGGTAATCAAATTTTTTTCTTTTGTATCCTCAGACACCAACATCATTTTTATAATATTTTGTCTGATGTCCAAACTAGTTCCTCTTAACAAAAATACATTTGTGATATAGTGATAACTAACATTTATACAAAGTATACAATAAATCAAATCCTGAAAACTCTTTGCTTGTTCTCACCTTTATTGTAAATTCATATCCTTGAAGAAATGCAAGTTGCATAATTGTTTTTCATCTCTTACAATTTTTACATTATTTCCATCACACGATACTAAACAAGAATAAAATTATCAAATATACTCCTAATACATAATGCTTTGGTCATCTAAGAATAGGATATAATTTCCACATGATTACCTCTCTTCAAATTGCATAAAAACTACCCCGAACAATCTTTGCAATTAAGGCTAGAAGACAAATGCCTGAAAGAGCAAAAATCGCAACTGTTAACTATGAATAATTCACCAGGCTCGGGACTATAGACAACAGAAAAAAGAAAAGTACCAGCTGGAACTATTCCTGCTCTTTTTAGGTAATCGTCCATTCAAAGCAGGAACAGTTATGTTAAAATTCTTAACATGTGCACACTGTTGATTGGAAAAAAGCACAGGTGTGCATGGATTAAGAAACACCCCACTAAACACATTTTAGAAGCACAGCAAAATATTTCAACTTTGCTATCTACTGAGACCCTGGGAAGAGGATTCACAATCCTCACTGGGGAAAATGGGAGGATGCAACCTCATGCATATGGTTTTACATGCAATTCACCCATAAACAGCATCAACAAGGTCATTTTATGAACCTGTTATCCCAACTCTAAACAAGACACATTTTTGATATGCTCTGCTATCAGAAACAGTCTTTCTTAATAGTGGCATTTTCCACAAATTATACAAGTAGATCTCCATTTCATGAAAATTTCATCATCTTGGTACTTCAGCTGCTTGTGTACATGAAACTTTGGGAAATTCTAACTTTTCAAATCTATATTCTTTCAAGTCCAAAAAATTACTGACTTCTGCAGGATCTATAATAATATGAAGTGGTGCCTGGAAAAAATTAATCAAAATCATCATTTTAAAATAAGAAAATAATATTCAGGCATCATTTTCCATGATGTCTATATCGTAATAGTAATATATCTTAATAGTAATTTTCCTTTATACAGATAACTAATTCCTTGTTCTCTTTTAAGAGAATTAAAATTTAATTAAAATTTCAAATGATAACAATTAAATATGTTAATTTATACCAGATCTTAAGTTAGAAGCATGTTTTATTTCAAATTAGGCTCACACATGTAAATATGTTTTTTAGCTCTTTTAGCACTCTGAACATATAACTTGTTTCAGATTTAACATACCTTTATTTCTGTGAAGGGTTTCTCTTTGCAAGTGAATTCTCGTAGGATGTAGTTTTTGCCTCCCTTAAGAAAATAAACAGATGGATGTATTTACTGAAGTGCCCATTCCTACATTTTCAGTACTTACATCATAACACTTGGGTAAAAGATTGAGAAAAGGGCTTGGGAAGGGGGCAGCCGCTAAAGGCCTAATATACAAACAGGTTATTTGCAGGCCTTCCACCTGTACCAGTCTACAAGCAGATTCTTAAACCCCCTTTACACTGGAAGGTATCCTTTCTGCTTCCTTTGTGCAACCATGAAACTGGCATCACTGTGGTTGTAGAAAGGAGGCAAAAGCATGGCTTTAGTTGCAGAATGAATGCTCAACAATTGGCCAGTTGTTGACACATAAAGTATTTTTTTTAATTCTCAAATGGGACCACACTACAGGATGAAGAGAGGACAGTGTCTAGTAGAAAGGGAACTTTACAGAAAGAAAAATAAGATACTCCTATGCCAAATTTTATAAAGGGATGGACTGGAAGAATGGCAAGGGGCATGTTATATCACTGAAGTAGAGAACTTCTGTGGTTTTATGAAGAGCCCACAGAAAATTATCTTTCAAAAATCTCTGGGAGGTCAGCAATTGTCTCTCCTAGCCCTAAGCAAATTTTAATCTCTTTAAACCACAAAATATGTCACAGATGCATGTTTAGTTTTATCACACACACTATTATAATGAGAGCTTAAATAAAATATTTTAGAATTATACTTCTTCTTTATTAAATTTCTCACCTCATGGTAAATCCTGGTATCATTCTCTCTTATGAGTAAGTTGTCCACCCTCAAGTAAAACCTTTGAAGGATGAAAAAACTAGAAGGCATCACCCTCTGAAATAAAAGAGAAGGGAATAACACAGTTATGGGAATACATTTCATTCTTTTCTATAGTACTGTTTTTCTGTAAGTTGGTGGGTTTTTTGCTGTTTTAAACTGCAGAAATTTTGATTAATAATTTAAATTTTATGGCTACAAAATTAAAATATACACACTGTATCTCCCAAAGGATACAATTTTCCACCTCTACTTACAATTTTCACACTTAACATAGAGCTTCCATTGTCTGACAGTTCATCTTCAAATAATAATAGATCTTCATAAAAATATATCTTTTCTTTAACTTTTAACTTTTCAAGGTCTATTCTTTCAGTTGTTTCAGTAACCTGAAAAACATTATCATCATCATCATAGCATTATTAATTCAAGCAGGTGGCTACATATCATTTTTCACAAAAGGTCATTTCTTGTGTTGTACTCTCTAAATTACAAAAAAAAAATACCCTGCTTTTTATTTATTTACTTATTTGTTTACTTCTATATATTTTTTTTTAATTTGTGATTATTTTGTCATATTTGTAATTACAATATGTTTTGATATGAGAACTTAAACCTGTCTTACTTGTAATTTTGAATCTTCTTCCCCTAACAGAGTCCCTGTATAATTTGATGAATATGTCCAGTCATAAGGTTTGGCAATGTGGTTAATGTGTTCACAATCTGCCCTAAAAACCAAAAAATAAAACATATCAAAGTAGTATACTAGTATGTGCTTAGTAAGTCATTCGATCTTTTACAATAATAATAATAATAATAATAATAATAATAATAATAATAATAATAATAATAATAATAAAAACTCATTCATTTTAACTGTAGGCAAAATGGGAAAACAATTTAACTTTCTGTCAATTATTTTGGTTAAAAAAACTTAATACAAAAGTGAAATACAAAAAATATGTATGACATTTAATGTGAATGGTGTTTTATTTCTAGTATCTTTGGACTGCTTTGTCAAAAATTGCACAACAAATGTTACAAGCCATGCAATGAACATGGTGTCTAAGAAATTTATTGACAACACCTGTCACTGGTTGCCCTTTTGTTTATTCAACTGATGCAAGTCCAAGCATGACAACAAACCCCAACCAATCAAATTGCATTAAATGTAGGTCATACACACTTGTATTGTATATGCGTACTCCAGCAGCATAGTATGACTCACAGCAATCTACCCTGTAGACAGACGGCATTTAATCAGTATCATGTCCTAATTTCAAAGGTAAGTGTACTACCAATGATGTTTTTGCAATGGCTGTGTGTTCAGGCATGTTTTTTGGATGAAATTCATGCCCTGTATGGTATATATCTCCTGGCATATCATGTGAGCCTTAACTTGTGGGTGAATTAGAATCACGGCAGTACAGTATCACAAGATATCCTGCACTGTACACATTTGTATTGACAAAGTTCAAAATAACTTAATCTCATAATGTAATTAAACATAACTTATGTTACAAATTTGACCTTCCAGCCAGTGGCGTGATTTAACTGATGTGATCACCATCCTTAGTACTTAATAGTACTTAAGTATAAAAACACTATTATGTTTGACGAGTTCATTAACTCAATGATTAAGCCTATATTTACTCTCTTAGAATTGGGTGAACTCAATATATGATATGTTATTGTTACGCCTATGACCCACCCATAGTGGCTATATCAAAGTGTTGTACATCAAAACTAAAATATTTTTCACAGCTGACCAGATAGCAATGGGGGATTCAGTAAAGGGCATGCTGGTCCTTCTTAAAACAGGATAGCTAGCTGTATTAAACAAATCCATGTGGCTTTTCCATCCAGATACCCTACATATTAAATTTTTTACATAGTAAATTTTTCCTCCTCCACTATTTTTAATATGCCTTCTTTTGCCCAGAAAAACCTTATGCCCCCCCCCCACTTACAAAATCCTGGATTTGCCAGTGGAGTGTATAAATATCTCATTAACTTTGATAACTTTGTAATCATTTGCACGTAGTGAGTATGTTATTCATACTAACGTATAACTCAATTACTCAATTCTTATTCCAATTTCATCAAGTATTATAGAAAATCCAAATACTACTAATAGTAGGCTTCCATGAGTCACATAATGTAACGTCAAATGATTTAAAAAGAGTAAGTAGCAACAAAGGTCATACTTTGCACTAAATGCCTTTTTCTTAAACCAACTTCCATTTGATGATTTGTCAGGAGAATTTTCTAAATAATTTTTTTCTTTGCCATTATAATATGTACACTGCCATGGAGATCTAACTAGTGTATGAGGATGTTACTTATTTCTCAGATTTTTAATTATGATAAAGTATAATTTATAAGGACGCAATTATTCAAAATGGTTATTTATCTATTTTCAGAATGAACAGTTTTAACATGAACTGGTACAAATTTTCAGTAATCTTAATCAATTTTAATTCTTTTCATTTACAGAGTTCTTTCATGTAAGGCAGAGCACATAGAAAATGGATTCAAGTCCCGAAAGAGACACCTCTGCCAATTTAGAACTATGGCGTGGTTTCCTGAAGCCTCTCCACATCACCAAGTATGTGGCCAAAATGCCAGAGCTCAAGATAAAGCCAGGGGAGATCAAGAGCCACTGCCTTGCTTCTGAAGTAGCCCTGAAATTAGCTCTGGAGGGAAAAAGAGAGATGGCACTTGAGAGAACCTTGTCCTCTGAGACAAACTCTCCAAGTTGTTCTCCACCAGAAAATTTAAGTCAAAATTCAAACAATAGTGGCGGAGGTGTGGGCACCAGTGGTGGACTGTTTACCAGGAGCCATAGTTTCAACAGAATGGGATTCAATTCACCAGATTCGGGTTATACCAGTGAGACTTCTGGGGAATATGTGTATGAACCTGTTACTTATTTCTTTAACAAAAGTCCAATAAAACGAAATGGACAGTCTCAAGGTAACACACCTGTGACAAAAGAAAAGACAACTTGTTCATTTTTTCATCCAAAGCAGGAATTGAAAACTGACAGTAAATGTGGTCTTACTTTTGAAGCAAACAGTACAAAACAAGGCGTGGATAGGACAGATTGTAGTAGCCACATATCAAACACACAGTCCTACTTCACCATCAAGCCAGAAGCTATGGCAGATGGAGAAAATTCTGATATTCAGATTGTGGAAGAAAAAATTGGTTATTCCCCTCACCAATTCCAACAAATGTACAGCACTGGTAAAGGGGACATAATCATTGAAGGCCATGATGGAAGAATCTCAAGAAGTTGTAGGCTTATCAGCAATGAAAATGAGAAGGTAAATCTGATGAGACAAAATGGACAGCCTGCAGAAATCACACCTCCAATGAAAAGAGCCCACTCAGATCCCTCCCCTGTCCAAAACAGAGTGAAAAGGGCTAGAACTGATTTAAGTGTTAGACTTCGAACTCAAAACCAGATGGAGGTAGTTGAGGAGGAGAGTGGAGAAGAAGATGATATTGCAGAATTGGTCACAGAAACAGCCAACCTCTCAGCTTCCTCTCAGCCTTATGATGATCATGAGGAATTCAACTACTCCTCAGCTCTCTCTGCGCTAAAAGAGGGAAAAGCTGTAAAGATCAGTGCTGATAAAACACCAAAGCCAACCCGACAAAAAAGACCAAAAAGGACAGACCAAAATACCCCAGGAAGTGAGTGGGGGTTGGACATGTTAGCTAAATACATCAGCTTCAAACACACAGTACGGGAGCTCATCATGCCGTTTGGTATCAGTGTCAATGAAGAAGCCATCAAGTCAATTAGAAGAGAAATCAAGGCAAAACAATCAGTTTTGCAAATGGCTCCTCTGGATGGGTTTCAAACACAAACCCACTTGGAGCAGTTTAGTGCATCAGAAAATGATGCCAGGATCATTTTAGATACTATTCTCATGCAGCTCTGCCTCAATGTGGGTCTCAAGATGACCACAGAACAAACAGTGGACAGCACATGTATGCCAACAAACAAATACGACTACAGATTTTACAAGGATGAGATCTGCATTGGCTGTCTTGAAGCTAAGGGTAAGACTAACTTCAATGAAAAAGGTGCAGTGCAGGCCATCATGCAGCTATTATTACTTCAGCTTGAGAACCAATCCAAAGACCTCAACGTCAAAAGGATGCCATTTTTTAACATTCTCTCAGATGGATTTCATTTCATGTTTGTGCGACTAGAGGGAAAGAAGTTGTGTTTTGAAACTGATCAAAGTTCTCCCGACTCCTATGGTGGGGTGTTGTTAAGAAAGGCAGACACGTGGCGCTCCCTGGAGGATATTATGAGAAGCATTGCATGGTGTATGGACGAGTCGGCCAAAGCATCAGTGTTTGCTGTAGAATCAGCCCAACGCAAACAGATGGCAGCCCAGGCTTCACCATCAAGCAGTCAACAACTGACATCATAAAGCAAACCTGATGCACTAACTTCAAGTGTATTTCAATATGAAAACCCAATCCAAAAAAAAATTATTTCATGTTCAAATAAAAGGGAAGATTCACAAAATCTATGGCATTATCGCACACAGTGGGGAATAAAAATGAATGTAAAAGCCCCCCCCCCCCCCCCAATCAAATAGCAACAGTACACCTGTCAAATCCTGTAATAGACTTGTTAAGGAGACTTAGTGACATGGCCTGTTAGTCCCATAAAGTCAGTCCATTAGCTGGGTTGACAAATTAATTGTGAACAGTCCCTGACAGTAATACAAAAAATTATTCAACACCCTGAAGACGACATCAGCAATATTGAATTTCATTTATCTGTCCAATAATTTTAAAAAGTTGATGGGAGAACTTTTGATACCATGGAAGTCTGACCTGTACGTTTTACCTCATTTTGTATAATTCTCATATTATATATTTTATCAACTCAATGAATATGTTGTACATACAATGGCATGCATATTGTCAATTCTTGGTGTTACTGAGATCCAAAGACAGCAGGTAGCTATAAACCATCGAACATACCTGTTACTATAACATGTTTCTGTAATTTATATTATTTATTTTCATAAAAAATTAAGACTTACTTGCAAATAGCAGGTGTATGTGTGTATCTGAGAATGCTTAGCTGTTAATAAATGACTGAATAAATACATGAAAATACATAATTAAATCTCAGTCAGTTTTCCATACAACCAAGCTACTTCTTAATACTTTCAAGTCAAGAAAGTAGAGTTTTCTTGCCACCAGCCAACTTTAATGGCAAACAAAAATTACTTGAATTCCTAATTGACATGATTAACTTTTCCAAGACTATAGAGATTAATACTGGCACGCCTCAGGGCTGCGTCATCTCGCCTCTTTTATATTCACTGTTTATATCCAACTGTGTTGCTTCGTATCCCGATTGTTTGATTGGTAAGTTTGCGGATGATACCACGCTGGCCTTATAAGCACTTCCGAATTTGATTATCGAAATCAAGTTTCGGCCCTCATTTCATGTTGCTCTGAAAACGACCTCGAGCTTAATGTTGAAAAGACAAAAGAAATTATTGTAGATTTTAGGAAAAAATCCAACAGAAATTAGCCATCTTATACTGAATGGTTCTGAGGTTGAAATAGTCAGACATTTCAAATTTCTTGGCATACATATATCTGATGATCTTAAATGGCACATTAACATAGATGAAATTGTCTGTAAAGCTCAGCAAAGACTTTACTTTCTATGGCGATTGAGGTCGTTCTATGTCAACCAAGAACTGCTGGCAAAATTTTACTGGGCAGTGATTGAGAGTGTACTAACACAATTTTTCACCATTTGGTAAGGTAGTGCTACAGCAGAGGACAAGAATCGCCTCAATTGTGTAGTAAAAACTGCCAGGCGCATTGTAGGTAGAGACTTGCTGTCAATTGAATGTTTGTATATGATACGAGTGCTTAAGAAACTCTGAAAGTGAAGTCAATCACGGGTGACCCTGGTCACCCAGCGAATAGCCTACTTATGCATATGTCATCAAGCCGACTATGGTCATTAAAAGCAACCTAAAAATAGTTTTTATCCATCAGCAGTACGTATTTTTAATGAACAAAATGTATTTTAATAATTCCATTGTATTACATTTTATCGATGGATCATACCAATTTTCATTTTATACTTGTATAAATATGACAATAAATTATCATTATTATTATTATAAGTGCTTTAGCTTTAAGGTTTGAACAAATTGGCAAAAATGACATAAATGTTGTTATCATAAGTTACACAGCTGACCTTGCCTCTCTCCATGCATCTGCCACAGCCACTTTCATCAGATCATGTTCAGCATCTACAAGTCTCAGTGCATCCAGGGCATTGAACTCTATCCCAAACCCATCTGTGTGTACCAGGCGTAGCTTGTTGTTGGCAAAGATCATTTCTGGAAGCTGTGGTAGTTTGAGCTCTGTTTCAAATCTGAAATAAAGTAATGCAAAATACATCAGTCTTTTCTATAACAACAGAAGCACAAACTGTTGAATATTACAGTAACTTGTCGTTGACAAAGATCATTTCTGGAAGCTGTGGTAGTTATGCAAAATACATCAGTCTTTTCTATAACAACAGAAGCACAAACTGTTGAATATTTCATTTGAATATAAAAACCATAAAACTAAAAGATAATGGCAAACATTACAGATTTATGGGAGTGTCAGATATGAGTTTCCCCCTCTTCAATTTACAATATTCTACCTTAAAACTTCACCATCATAAAAAAGGGGACAGCACCCACCTCTGTCTCTCTGGTCCATCAGATTCCAGAATATGATCCTTGGTGGAAGTCACACACCATTGACCAAACTGAAACTCTTGCTTCAGAGGACCAGCTTTTGCTGTCACTGACATGATGATCAATTTTATGTATACTCTGAAATAACATGACTTTCTATAAATTACATTTTCATGATATATACTATGCTAACATATGAAAAAATGAAAATAGGAATGTCAACACCTGAATTTTCAAGCTATTGGTAGTTGAATCAGGGCTTTGATTTGCCTCAGTTTTCAGCCTAACATGCTTTACAGATAAGGCGTCATTCAAACCTATGTATGTATTCAAACTAAATAAAAATATAATAAACTCTCAGTGTTTTATGTGACTTCATTTTCAATTGGTAGCACTGGTGTGCTTAACTGCATGGACATCTTATTCATCCAAGTTAGCTAGAATAAAAAGACTGAAACATCATCAAAGTGGTTCATAAATGGATACAAAAGAACTTTTAATCCAGATCTTATACTACAGGGTGTGTCAGAGACTGGACGGGGACATTTATAGCCTCAAGAGTTTATACCACAGAGTGGTATTTAGCTGTGGCAAGTATGTATCTACTCCGTTCATGAAGCATGTACATGTAACCTGGGGGGTGTAGTATGGTGATAACTGAGACATGGCTTTGACTGAACACACTGCCCGACCTTTAAAGTGTACAACCTCCCATGAAATAATATCTACTTCCTTCTTTCGGTCTGATGTATTAATGATATTTAGTGCAAATTTTGCAAAGACAATGTACAGTGTGGCGATATAATCTAAAATAACAAAAAATTAATAAATGAAAACAAGAAGAAACATCTCCAGTGGCAGTGGCGCACAAAATATAACCGAGCTCAAATAATTTTCTCTTGAGCAAGAATCGTTCGCATTCCACAAGGTATTGGGTTTGCTTTTGAAAAAGAATTTTATACTGCCTAAAATCAAAATCATTAGCTCGGGAACGAGAATTTATTGATATTGTGCTAATATATCACATTTTCCATTACTCACCGTGCATTACAAATTAGGTCAAACTTACTGAGTTATAACATAAATGACCTATAGTTTTTTAATACTGTGTGGCCGTCTACAAAATTTCTTTTTTTCCTTACTTTTTATAATTTCATGAGATATAATGTAACCGTCATCAAAACAAAAACAAAAACAAAAAATGTTAAAAGAATATTGATGAAATGAATAAAAACATTTACCTTGAAAACTGTTCTTTATCTTTTCCTGCTAGCTCCATTCTCATCTCGCAGGTTGTCGTCGGGTACGAGATCTGCCAAAATTGTAACCGATGAATGAAGCGTACTTCGTTACATGTTACACCTGTGACAGAATTATGTGATCACTGAATTATTTTTTCGGTCAAATTATGGCCACTGCGGGCGTATTAGATGCTGAGATTCGAGATGCGGGTTTGTATCTTATCAAAATTCCTTGAAAATATTTTTGTAAATGCTTTCAGTGCAGTTACTAAAGAAGCGGAATATCGTGTACTGTAATTTGTAAACATTGATTGCACCAGTATTGATATTGACGTTTAATTAATGGTGTTGTTGCCAAAGAACGTCTGATAAATTTGTTGGAGTGAAAACAGCAGGTGTAATATTTGGAATGATTACTTTGAAAATAGTAAAGTTGCCAAGAAAATTAACAAATGTTTCAATCAGGCAATCATTATACTTCATGCTACTGGGGCCCCATCCTCCTGTGCCAGGGGAAATGTAGACATGTCCAACTATAATCATGTCATATTTTCTAATTTTTTATTTGCGTATTATAGCTTTGTTTTTATAGCATACTTTCTCCCTGATAATATGACAGATTGATTGTGCTTAGATCCTATTTTCCCTAGTTTTACATGTTGAACTTACTGACAATATTTTCGTTCCCAAGCAGAAGGTTTTGCTGTGCCCTTTGGTAAACCACCTGCAGCTCGAAGAGGTTCGCTGCCAAATGTGGCAAGGAAAAGAAAAGAAAAAATTTCAAGGTAAATTTATTGACTCCAACCTTGTTTATTCATATTTTATACAATAACATGTATTACATTTAACTTTCAGGTTAATTTCAAACAGTACCAGTTGTGGGTACATATTTGACATATCTCAAATAGTTTATTTGTGACAGAGGGTTTTTGTCATATATTTATGTTTAAAATATATATTATTATCCAGGGCTCATCTGAAACTTCCTTTGAGTAATTCTATGACCAATCTTACTCCAACTAAGAAAAAGGAAGGTGCAGTTTTGGAAACGCTGAAAACCAGGTAATTTTTACTAAAATTAGGTTGTAAAAATCTGATTATGATACCCTATTTAAGCACAGTATGTGTATGTTTGGTCTGAGATAAGATGTCATTAATGTCTTATTAAAATCTAAATAGTAATTTTTTTATTTATTTATTTATTATTATTATTTTTTCTTTGATAAACATACAGATCTAGTTTTCTTTATATATGACCTCATAGTATTTTCACAGTTACACATTTGTCCTTTCAGAGCTGTGAGTGCCAGTAACTTAGCTGCTCTATCAGATAGCAACTTGTCTATAAAGGTAAAGGAATGTAAAAGTCTTACAGAAAGTTTGTGTCTGTTCATAAGATATTTGTTAATATTATATACTCGTGATGATGTTGTCATTACAAATTATGGATTTTATATATTACATGTAGTTGCACATACTTATCCAACAGACAATTGCTGTGTGACTTGTTAGACTCAATTGTCACGGCTTTTCTCTTGTCTTCCTTGCAGGAAGCTTTACCTCCTAGAAGTTATGACAAGCCAAACACAGAAGGAAATGTTGCAAAGGTTTGTTATTATCTTGTGTCGAGGAGTACATGTGAGATAATTTAGTATACTATAATATTGATTTTATTAACCATCTTATTGTCAATGAATTATTTTGCTTCTGAACTGTTGCTGTATATCAAAAACATATTTTGTTTCCTTCACAATGTTCATTTTTAAGCTTAGTCTTCATGAACTTATGATAGATCCTGAAATTTTTATTTACCTGTTGACTGTTTGGTCTGTTCACTCTGACAGACTAAGATCCAATGCAACTATTTTCACATCTTCATGAACTGTTTACCTGCCAGATTTTTTATTTTTGTTTTTATTTATTTATTTATTATTATTATTTTTTTTTGCTGATTTGAATATTTCAGATGTTTGATACAAAATTCTTTTCAGTGTATATATTAAAAGGAATGTATTCAATCGTTAGAAGCAATAATGTTTTACAGCCCCAGTTTTAATAAGGGTTTAGATAATGTTCTTTTGTTACTCCTTTCAGATAATATTTGAAGAGTCTGTCAAAACTTACTTTTATCAAATGACTGAAGGATGTGGAAATGATAATTGTAAAAACAAGTTTTGCAAAAGTTCTAAAGGTAAGTTTGCCACTTTTTTCTTCCTTGTTCGTCAAAAATCTCAGGTGATGCAAGTTTGAGTAATAGTCAGTTATTTCCTAAGTAATTTCATAAAGAAGCATTCACATTTTCTTAAATGTTCGGTTCAGTTGAATTCACATTATGTATTGTAAACGTTTCAAATAAATTTTGAGGGACAACGTTAAATTAATTGTGGTAATGTTGGAAGACTACTCAGAATAATAATCACAGGGATGCTAGTCTTCCGGTTTTTACCGGAATTCTGTTTTTTTTGCGTCCAGTTATAAAATTTTCTGGTACTATATTTTGTTCTGGAATTCTCGTTTTTAACGTGGTCGCGGACTGGACGAACGATGCGTCAGAGGAACGTCGCATTTCAACCATTGCGACAGAGCTGCGTTTCAACACAATATCTAGTCACAACCGTAGCACGTGATTTATTTATGGCGCTTGATTGGTTGGAAATGTAGGCTTTAATGTCGGCACCCATGTGGAAAGTTTTGACACCGCGTGCGCGGAATTTTGAACTAAACCAAACTAAATGGATTTCGCGGAGAGGGGAACAGACGATATTAGAAACATCGACATTACTGTCAAAAATAGATTTAGTTGGAGTTTTAGAAACTTTGATTAATGAGACTGCAGTTGGAGCCCCATTGTTGCTTGGGCATTACCACGAAAGCCATTACCAATCTTTGAAAATGATAAATGAAAGGGATTAACATTTAGTGACTATCATTATCATGCTGGTGATTATCAAGCTTACGTGAGGGATCATTACTGTCTACTATGGGTGGTAGGTGTTTATGTACTGATGGCACTTCCATCTTGTCAATGTCAAGATTATCCTTGGAAACAACTGTTGAAAATTACCATGAAGTTGTGATGACATATATTGCAATATATTTATTAAATAAAATTTGAAATATAGTAATTGTTTCATAATCAATTTGTACCCCCCCCCCCACCCCCCCCGGTCTTTGCCAAAAAAAAGTTCAGGTTTTCTTTCCGGACCCCACTAGCATCCCTGTAATCAGAAACACTTAAACAAGGCTATAAATTGATTTATTTTATTTGATTATTTTCATTTATTTATTTATTAATTCAGATGGGAAGAAGTTTGACCCAGCTACAGCTCTTGTGTACAGTGTGGAGCTGGCCTCCACCAACAGACCATTCATGTGTGCCAAAGACAGATTTAAAGGAAGAATTATTCCAGATAGTGTAAGTTTTCACACAATATTTTTGAACAATTTAACTTTTATATTGATGATAAATGTTTTTTTTTATTTGAATTATTGTATTATATAGTGGACAGCATGTTGACTGCACAAAGATGAGTGGAATCTTCTCTGATGGGGTTAAATGAAAATGCAAATTTTACATAAAAAATAGTAATAATTGCTTCAGTAAATGTTTTTTTCTGTGGCTGCGTGAAAGTGTGTATTCTCAAGATAACTGATACTTGCTTGATAGTAAGCCACAGAGATAAAGGTGGATAAACCGGCAGGATGCTAAGTTAAACCAGCATACTGTGTGAATAACCACAACATTTGAATAATTTGGATAGAAACTGCCTGCTTTAAATTTTCTTATGATTTTAAGAATATTGTAACACCAGTAAAAATGGAGCATCATGACTCATGAGTTAGGTCACATTTCCACTTTCAAACTTTTTTGTGTAATATCATGGTTTATCTTATATTATTTTTATTTTCTGTATTTAGATTTTAAAGGGAGATGATACACAGGAACAAAAACCTTTCATGCAAGTATTATTGAGCACAACACCATTTGACTCCTTGTTCAAGACACCCAAGCAGCTGGAAAGTGGGAAACCAACAGTTCAGTCATATGACTTGCCCAAATTTGATGCCTCTACCTTATATCAGACCAGTTCAAATGTGCGTTACCAAGACTTACTTCCAAGGGATATGATCAAACAAAGAGCAAAAGACTCTGTGCTGCTGAATAGTTACAGCTTAACCAACTTGTCTAATGCTGGAAAGACAATTGTAAGCAAGACAGGAAAGCTGATAAAACAGAGTATTAGTTCAAGCTTTGGGAATGTGTTCAGAGGAGAGAAAGAGGATCTTTCTAACCAAACCAGGTAACTTTAAAGTTCATGAAGTGTTTCTGTGCTATTTATCCTTTTCTCAAAACATTGTTAAAATGGTGCATTGTATTAGACAACACACTTGGACATGCCTAAGAAAGTGTAATCAAGTAAGAAATGTGCTTAGAAGCTTGATGTATAGTTTTTATTTTTTTATTATTATTTCATTAAATTTTTTTATTGAACATTTTTTCTCTAGTCTGGACAGCTTAGGAAGTGGTGACTTTGGACTCCCAGGTTCTCCATGCAGTAATCTAGGTAGCTTATCTCCCAAGAACTCTAGCCCAATGCAGGTGTTTGGCTCCAATGAAGATCTTGCTCATGCTCATGCTCAACTTGATGAATTTGAAAGACAGCTCAGTTTGGAGATGACAGTTGGGGACTCAAATGAGTTCTCTCTCACCCACCTGACATTGCCTATGCTAGAGGTATTCCTGAGACTCTCAAGACTTTTTAATAAAACTCTATTAAGAATTGGGTCATCAAAAAAAATTTAACAGCTTGGCAAAGACAATGTTAGTCTGATCCTAGCATTTATTTTATTTTATTTATTTATTTTTTTATTTTATTTTTTTTTTTATTTTTTTTTTGGGGGGGGGGGTGATACTTGTGATTTAAGACAAAGAGCAACCTTTCAGTTGAAGGTTAATTTGTGAAAATATTATCTTTAAGTCTTTGATGTAAAATCATTGTGGTAGTATAAGTTTAAAGTTGATGCATACCAAACATGTGACTGACTCTATGGGTGTGTATTCTGAGAACACTAATACACTCCCTGTTGGTCACAGAGAGTAAAATGTGGATTTGCCGACAGGCCATGTGAAAGAACCTGTGTACTGTGCGATTGTCCACAACATTTCACTTTAAATATTGCTAATCTATTGAACAATGTTATAGTGTTATATTGTTTTTATGAATTTTTACACCCAAATACTTTTTTTTTTGTCTCTTTGTAGGCTGCTGCTCAAAAATATGAAGAAACTTCAGATTCCTCATTTTTGCTCAACACTGTGAGAACTGTCTGCACATCTCCAGCATCTGTGAATAAAAGTTTTCTAGTAAGTAACTGTGCTTTTACATTGTAGATCTATGGACCAAATACTAAAAATAACCATAGGCTTCGCCCTATAATTATTTTTTAAGAATAAAAGGAGGGCCCAGGTGGTAGAGTAGTCTGAATTGAGTTATGATGCAGTGCATCATCTTGCATATTACACTTCGTCAGCCAGCCATGAACCTTTCCAACTAAGAGCACAGACATATGGCATCAACTGCCCACAGGGGTGGAACAGTATCTTTTGCCCAAATGCCTCACCCAGCCAGTTTCTAGTGGGTGCACCTGTCCTTTTAGACAGCCCCCTGCGAGAGGGTCCCCTTCAAATACAGTAGGGGTTGGTGACTCTAGTCTCAGACCTTCCCAAGGGTGATGGGTACACCCCTAAAGCAAGCATTACCACCCAAGACATCATGAGATGTGGATTTGGGGGGTTTATAAAGCATGATAGTGAATGAATATTTCATGAAAGATGTGAAAGATCAGAATTTATTTTCTTGGTTTCATGTTTCAAAATTTCAATTGAAGAACATTTGCAACTGGAATAGTGTATGGGTATGCTGAATGTTTATCAAATAATTTTGATATATAGTTTTAAATTCTTTACTTGTATTTTCAACAAAAAATCTTACTTTTGACAAATAATTATATGTGCAGTGTATTTATTTGTATACATTATGTAGATTAATTGAAAGCAAAACAGCAATGGATTTCATAAGTCACAAATGTAAGAGCATGAAATTTTGCATTTTTTTTTTTTTCACAAATTTCTCCTGTTATGTTACATTTATGAATTATGGGCTTTTTCAGATAAATGATCAGAAAGAGGCCAGTCCTACTAATTTGAACTTGAAAGCAGTAAGAGAGGCATTCACTTTGTTAATGACTTTAGCACCATTTGTAAGTAGCAACGCTTTTTTAAAATACTAACTTTAGGTGTAATTTAATGTTAACTATGTTTTATTATTCAATATTGTTCAAAAACAGAAACTGCGTCTTCCTTTTTATTAGGTGAATAAAAGATCTAGCTCAAAGTTTCTGCTGTGTTCCTTTCACATGTTGAGAAGATAATTAGATGGAATCATAATTTTTTGGTTGGTTTTATTTTCAGGATCAATTCCACTCAGTATTATCCAACTCCATAGACATATTGTTGACCACACTAGTCCAGCAGGGGATGGGATATATAGGGATCAATCCAGTGAGTCTGAATATTGGTTTTCTTCAAAGTTTCTTAAATTGAATAATGTATGAGATATGTCTTGTACTGTATTATAATTTTTAAACCATTGTGAGTTTGGTCTTCTTGCTTTCACTACATGTATTTATTTCAAGATCATTTAAATTGTCTTTTAATACAAGAATAGTGTAATAAAAATGCTTTTTCACATAGCCAGATATTTAGCTACACTCTTTAACTTTTTTCAGTAAAAATTGGCAGTTTCTCTTTTTTTTAACAATTAAGTAGGCAATTTTGTGCTTTATTATTGTTTTATTTTGTTTACTCATTTTTCTTAAAGATTTTAATCCTGTTGGAGTGCCCTCTCTTCAGAAAGAGAAGGAACCATGAGCTGAGACAAAAGTTATGTAAAGTAATAGCCAACCTTGGTGAGATGGGCAGGGTATCTCTGGTCAGAGCTCTGTCCACATATGACAGCGAGATCTTTGAGAGGAGAATCATGGGGATATACAAGGACCATTTCATGTTGTCACTGAAACCAAACCAAAGGTATTTTTTTCCATCTTAGCATTGTGCTGAGTTAATAATATGTCTTACTGCCATTGAATTCAATTAAACGAAAGGCATTTGATAGTGCTATTACTCTTCTTGGCTGTATACGAATCACATCATATTGAATTCCCTGTTATTATTATTATTATTTTTTGTTGTTGTTGTTGTTGTTTAGGCTTTGGAAATTCAAAATTTGGGCTTTCAAGTTGGTTTACCACTGACATTGTGAAATTTCCCACTATTAATTAAGTATCCATTTTATATCATAGGACCAATGCTGACCTTATTGATATTGCTCAAACCCTTGCTGTGTTCTTTGAGGCCAACCTATTTGCAGCTGAGACATGTGGGAAGCCTCTAATACCATCCAAGTTATTTTATGTCACAGAGTTATCAAGGTATGCAACATGTTATTTCAATTTTTTTCCTTTGTTTTACATATTTTCTTGACTCAGGAAATGCATGTGAGTCTCTTCATACATATTATGTAAGTTATCCATGTAAGAATCAGTCTTGCTGATATTTTTTAAGATGTTACAAGGAATCAGATTGTCCTTAGCTCACTGTATTATATTTGTTTTTAGCAAAATGAAAACTAAAACAGAGTGGTTGTTTCTAAAATTGATTATTAATTCATTTATTTGACTTTTGACCATTGAGTAAAATGCAATTGCATACAAACAAAATACCTCTATAAATGTTGGGGTGAACCTTCCATTCTACAAAGTGGTTTAAAATATTTTAATTTTTTAGGAAACTAGACTACAGAGCCGAATATGAGCTCTGGTACTCTAGAGGAGAGGGATCAGACCAGACACCAACAAAGCTGTGTCTTCTTGACTTTCCCTTCATCATGGACCCATCGGTAAGAATGTGCTTTAAAATGAGGGCAAGGAATCAAATAACATATTTTAAATTTTGCATCTTAATTGGCCTTAATAGCTTGGTTATCACAGCAAAAACGAATCTTTGGATTATAAAACCCGTGTAATTGAGAGATTGGTTTCCACTTAAATGCTGTTATTTGAATGTTTAAAGAGTGTTAAAAGTGAGTTGTTGCTTGATTTTAGTCCAAGGTCCATGTGTTACACTTGGATGCTGTGGTACAGATGAGGAAGGAGTACCAGGAGGCTATATTACACCAAGCTGTAAGCATGCAGAATGACTCCATGTTTAGTCAGTACAAAATATCATACCAGAGCTCTAATTGAAAGTAGTTGTTTTTATCTCTGTCTAGTGAAATTAGGCGTGATTTTTAACTTAACAGAATTGAAGTTTTAATGTGAGGCTACATTTCCACATCTCTCAGTGATCTCTATCAGTTGTGGTCATATTTTTTAAAGGTTTATTATTATTTTTATTGTAGAGAGTGAACCAGGTGTTGAAGTATTTGAGAGAAGTGAACAGGTGAGAATTTTTTATTAATACTGAATTATATAAAGAAAATCAATCATTAAATTATTTAGAAGATCAGACTTGTATTTAACACTTTTATATTAGTTATTATTTTTACTATTATATATCCAAATACTCTATTCAGCAAATATTCCCTTGCAAAATGTGCCATTCAGGACACTTATTCTTATAGCTTCAACTTATGTGAAAAGATTTTTTCTTCCAGGAAGCCCAACCTTACAGACTCGGTGAAGTCTGCAATGTGTCCATATCTTGTACTGAATGTGAGAAGAGAGAATCTCCTGGAAGATGCTATCAATGAAATAAAACTGAAAGCCGTGGATCTGAAGAAACCATTGAAGATTAAATATGTCGGAGGGGGTGAGCAGGTAATTGTGGAGAAGCTGTGAAGAAATTAATTGCAAAACAGGCTGTAGAAATAATGTAATAATTCTAAGAATTTAATAAAGTTTAAAATGTCTTTTTTTTTATTCAGCTTTTATAGACCTTTCTTTCTGATCCTCTTCCAAACAAGTTGAGGAAGATTCTGACTCTTTGTTTTCATCAAAATGAAGTTAAGTGATCTGAGCCTGTGGCCCTTAACGAACATTTTTAAATGCAGTACACCCTATTTAAAAATATATGTTTCAAAAACTAAATTAAAATGTTATAATTTTCATTGTATATTCATATATTAATACTTGTTATACTTATCCTTTAGGGACTAGACATGGGAGGTCTTCAGAAGGAGTTCTTCCATTTGATCTGCCAGAAAGTCTTTGATCCTGCTTATGGAATGTTTGCTTACTCAGAGGAAACAAGGAGCTTGTGGTTTAAGAGTAAGTTGTTTTCAAGTGATTGGACTTTTATCACAGTTTGAGATCAAGCTTATGCCAGAGTAGACTTAGAATTAGATGTATTCTTACTATGATTTGGACAGGTAGATTAGGCCAAGTCATGTACGACACACAAGAAATCCTTAATGTTGCATATTATATTTAATGCATCCTGAACAATTGAAAGTCAAAATTCCGTCTTTTAACAGGTTCTGAGACTGACAATGAAGATGAATTTGAGATGGTTGGTATTGTTTTGGGTAAGTAATAGCTTTTATGGATCCACTTTGACTTAAGATTTAAATAGCCATATATTGAATGTATCTATATATTCTAAGTACTGTCTGCATGTCTTTGCTGTCTGTTGTTCACTCTATATAATTTTGATTTACTTACATTGGCTCTGTTTGATATAAGAGGCAGGTTCCTGTCAAAAATCAGCATGATCTGATTACTTTTGAAGAAGTTATTCTTTACTGGAATGTGCCTTTTTATGTTAAAATGGATTAACATGAATTACTTTCTTTTAAGTTTCTGTATATTTGCCAACTTAACTGTCTATTTTTTCCTTTATATGGTGCGTTTTATCAAGTCATTGGAATGTTAGAAAAATTAGTGTGTTGTTTGTCAAACAGTCAGGTGTTGGAAAGGTTATTTTTTTAAAAATCCAGATAAGTTTTCTCTTACTCTTCCTCTCTAGGCCTTGCTCTGTACAATGGTGTGATACTGGATGTCAGGTTTCCCAATGCCTTGTATAAAAAACTGCAGGCCCTGCCACTGAGCTTGGCTGACCTGATGGATGCAGACCCTGCTCTTGGCCATGGTTTAATGGAGCTGCTGAACTACGAGGGAGACGATATAGAAGACGTGTTCTGTCAATCATTCCAGGTATGTTATCTCTATGGAATTTTCTGGTTGGTCATGATTTTTTTTCCCAACTGCTTCGGATTTTGAGTTGTTGCTTTGGATGATGCAAATTAATTCATGATTTAGTTGTTTGTACTTGTATTTTGTGTAATTAAACCATGTATTGATATCTTGTTAAATATTGCTGCAGGTATCCGTCCAGTCTTATGACCTCACCACAGAAGTAGACTTAGTTCCCAATGGAGCTGACATTCCAGTTACACAGAAGGTATTTATGACATTATATAAAATTTATGCACCCATTAACTGAGAAAATATTTGACCTGGGGAAAACCATTTGTTGACACAAATTTGCATAGGTGGGAAATACAGTTGACATTGGTCTTTGTGCAGAAAGAGTATTCACAATGTTTAAAATCTTACTGTTTTCGTAGAGTAATGTTTCTCACCTTAACAAAAGCTGTTTTATACAAAACCTGACATTGATTCTTGAATTAGAACCTAATGTAATTCAATATTTCAGAATAAACACCACTTTGTGAGAAGATATGTGGATTATTTACTCACTGAGAGCATTGCCAAACAATTTGAAGTAAGTTTATATGTCCATCTAAACTAGCTGCTGCATTGAATTGTTTCTTCCATTCTTTGGATAAAAAACAAACCAAGTAAATAAAAAATTGGAACCATTTCAATGGTAACATTATCAAAATAACTTTCTGTTTGTTTTACTATCTCTAGCCAAAATAAATCGTAATTAGAATAAGGTAATAGTTAATATGGTATAGAAGGACATCAAAATTTCAAAATACAGGAGCAAGATAGTCACTTCAAGAAAATGCTTTCATGCAAAAGTTCCCACCACCCCAACCCTGGTCACAGGATCCTCTTTGTGTGTGTGGTTATTTTATGATATCTTACAGGCTTTTAGCAGGGGTTTCCACTCTGTGTGTAGGAAGGAGTCCCTAGCACTGTTCAGTCCTGATGAAATAGAGTTGCTTGTGTGTGGAAGTACAGAGCTTGTAAGTACTGCATGAGTTTTTTAAGATGTTAAATGAAGATGTCAGAAAAAATGCAGCCTAATTCTGTGATTGTATAATAAGGGGAAGATGAATTTGCAGTTTTTTGTCCCAGGTTTTTGTTAAGCTTGCATTCAACCTTGAGATGTTGTTGACTGCAGCATGAATAAGTTACCTTATAAATCACATTTTGCCTTCATTCTTCAGGATTTTGAAGCATTGGAGAAATCTGCAGCATATGATGACGGATACTATGTGAGTCACAGGACAGTCAGGGCATTCTGGGAAGTAGTGCACCAGATGACCCAGGATCAGAAAAGGCAGCTATTACACTTTATCACAGGGAGTGATAGAGTCCCACTCAAGGGACTGTCCCATTTGCCAATAGTCATACAGCGTAATGGCGGAGACTGTGACAGGTAATGGTGGCGTAACACCCAGTTATAGATTCTAAAGATTTGCATCCAGTTTCTTACAGTGACAATGACAGTGTTAGGTAGAATTAACAATAATCAGTATAGATAAAACAGGTTTTTGTTCCGATATTTTCAAAGGTATTACATAAAATGATAAATTGATCTGATCAAGCAAACATCAGTGATTGCATCACCAAACCAGAGGGATAATGATAAATACAACTATGGTATTTCAATTTTAGTATATCTCAGTTTTATAACTATATAATATTATGTATAATATTATGTGAATAAATTAAATACTTACCAGGGGCGGATTTAGGCCGTCTTCTGGGTCTTCCGGAAGATGGTCAGATTTTTAAGTTTACATTGACGGGTGTATGATGTTTTCTGTCAGAAGACGGTCAAAAATGGAGGATGGATTAACAAAGATAATTTAGAAGACTGTCAGAAAATATCTCTGGATCCGCCCCTGCTTACAGTAACTTAGACTTGGCCTTGATCCCCCTGGCATGACCTTGTTCTAATTTATTTTTCTAGGTTGCCCACTGCAATGACTTGTTTCAATCGTCTTCTGCTTCCATCTTACGCCACCAAAGAGAAACTACAAAGTAAACTGATGGTTGCCATAGAGCACGGAAAGGGGTTTGGATTGACTTGATTGACAACTTACGGGTCTCTTTTTATCAGGCAGCAACATTTCGTCTCAGATGCAGCTGACTTTGTGATCAGGGGAAACAATTGTGTGTTTTATAGTGCATGTACTTGTTGCCTGCTTGTATAAATAACTATGGAACAAGACAAGAATGACATTTTTTCATTGGTTTGTTTGTTTTAATAGTTATTATTAATTACTGTGTGCAAGGTTCTCTTGCCAGTGTGAAGTGTAGGGACAGGGGTGAGATTAATTATACATTACTCATTATATCATTATAAATATGTTGTTTTTATTCAAATGTACACAAAGCAAAAGTTATGCATATGTATATATATTATTTATGCACTTGGTCACCAGCTTATGGTTGATGTGAATCTCACAAAAGAGCTTGACTTTGTTATTTAATTTATTTATTGCAGTGTTAAGGTTTAAGTCATTTTTGTTTAAAAAAAAGCTTGTTAAAAAGTGATTTTATATGAAATTTGCAACAGTTTATTTTATTTTTTCATTTTTATATACAGACACTGTGTGCGTTTGTATTTTTTCTGACCATAAACCCCAGTGACATGTCTGTAGGTTGTTCACCATATAAGTGCCAAACTGTATTTTTTTTTTTTTTTTTTTTTTTTTTTTTTTTTTTTTACTTTCAATTTACAGAGTGGCTTTGTTTGGCAAAAAATAGGTTCATTTCAAAAATCATGATTTTTTTTCCAGCTGTTTACCCTATTTTAAAAGTGCCAAACTTTACTCTAAATTCATGAGGAAATTTAGTGCAGCTTGAAAATCTGCACAAACAGAATATTCTGTAAGTTACCCTTTTTTGGCAACATTTGCCCCATAAATTCCAACTTTAGTTTTACCTCAAATTTGCTAGATCTGAACCTTTCAGCTAGGACTTTTTTTTGCCATTAGTGTCTGTGTATTTTCCAGCTTTGCTGTCTTGTTAAATGAAGCCATCATTTGAATCAGCTGAATGTTTTTAATTGTACTTTTTTATATGATATAAATCATTGATGAAAATATTGTTCACAATGTGACAACCAGAACAAATTAAACAGTTCCGAAGTTTCTTAAGGCCAGACAAATGTGATAAGTTGTTTGAGGAATGTAGTCATTGTAAGTGAGGTTGGAACACCAAATCCATTTGAAAGATATGATTTTGAACAGGTGTAGCAGTTAAATTTTAAGGTCAGTTGGTATTATTTGTTATATGTATATATATTTTTGGAGGAGGATGTTAAGTCCACAGTATGGGATATTTTTTAACATAAAAACGACTGGATAAAGTTTTTTCCTAGGTTATTAAAAATTTTGCCATTAGCCAAACGAATGGCAGATGAATTTTTTTCTTAATTTTCAAAGTTAAATTTGTGTAATAGAAAAATGATCATTTCCTCAAAATCTAGGGCAGCTACATACTTTAATTAACTTATCGCTTTTTCTTGCCTTAATTTTTGTTGACCTTCATTGTAATTGAAAAAATGCACTTAAATTAACTTGCCAAACATTTTTCTCTTTAATAAGAATGAAAGTAGTGTGTAGTAATTGAAGAATTATGCATAATGAATATTATGAACAATACTTAATATTATTCTATATAAAGATGATTAAATACAAAATTGCACTATTTTTATACATAAATATTACGTCAAACTTCAGTCTGGAATCTCACAAGAAATAATACTGTTTTTATTTAGAATTGCTTTAAAGTGTTTTTTTAATGCAAATCACGCATGTTTTATATTCTGCGTGTTGACAAAAGAACCACACTGTACGCATTATGTCATCATAAAACAGAAAAATGTACTAAATCCTTATTTTGTTTTTGTTTATACGCTTACGTTGGTAAAACACTGCACGTGTGCCTACATATTTCAATTAAGTAGTTTTTATCCACATTTTCGGAGGCGAATAGAAAGGGTGGCCCCATATCGCGACATTTTTCTTTGTTCGAATAGTCTGCAGCGATTATGCCCTCCTGTAAATGTGTTGTATCCAATGCAGCGTTCTCTGTCAAAGCATCGCGTTGCACAAGTACTGTTATCCAAGGAGTACTGGACTGTGTAGTATATGCCAAGATTTTGACCCACTTCTTCTAAGTAACAGGAACCTGAAAAATATATGGCATAATCAAATGTACAATATACAAAATCATTTCAGCAGTAATAAACGAAATATCATCATGAAAACATCGTCACTGATTACAACATACGTGTGTACGTGATTCACGAAAGATGATCTATTGAAGCAAAAATATTTGAATCCATTGAGCGAAAAGAAAAAAAGCAAAGCTGCGTGTGAAATACGTTTTACTTGAGGGTTGTCTTCTAATTTTAAAAATGTAAAAATAATCTCCTAACTTATGAAAACGATATACTCTCTCACGACGTACTCAGGGCCTCATCCGTGCAGTATCTTCTGTAGGATATTGCAGAGGGCTCAACGTAGGGACTAAAGCCAAAGTGAAGGCAGTACCCATGGCCATAACCGTAGTCGCTATAATGTATTGTTGCGGTGCAGTGGAACGTGTTCTCCGCAAGACAAAATGCCTGACAGTCCGCCACGGTATACCCTTTGAAAGACAACAAACGAGTCATTGCGTAAAATATTTTCCTTTAAAAGACTGACTATGTTCTTTCTGTGACCTGCTTGTCTAGATTATCCAGTATCAACACAAGTTATCAACAGTTTTAGGTGTAATGAAATAATTAAAACGACTAGAGAATATGGCAAGATGGAAGACTGAAGATAGAGAAAATTACTTTTTTCTTACCAGTGCCACTATTATCATATTTAGCAAGGGAATTAGAACCATCGGTTGTGACCATATGATCATATGTATCGAAGGCAGAACAGTTCCCAGCAGCGGCACCAGCTGCATTGGTGGCAGTAGTGGAATAAGCTGAAGTGGTTGTAGTATCTGGTTGAGCACTGGTTGTGGTAACAACTGCTTCAGACCCGGATGTTGTGACATCAACTGGTTGAGCGCCGGCTGTTGTGGCAATAACCGGCTGAACCCCGCCTGTTGTTGCTACCACTGGTTCAGCCCCGGCTGTTGTGGCAACAACTGGTTGAGCCCTGGCTGTTGTGGCTACCACTGGTTGAGCCCCAGCTGTTGTGGAAATATCTAGAGTGAAAGGGTAAGTTATTGCCCAAGGATTGTTTGCTTATGCAAAAAAATATAAACTACATTGTTTTGGCCTACAAAGACATACTGACAGTAGCTTGTTTAACTTATCCTAAATCATAAGGAAGGGGTTGCATGCATTTAAATGTTAAATCAACAGGTTCTTTTAATTTCAGAAATACGGAATAAACTCGGCCTATACCAAAAGCACATATACTATGCTATACACTTTACTTTTTGCCATTTCATATCATTTGCTTTGGTTGGGGTGAGGGACACTTGAAAAAATATCCTGTTTTTGAAAATAATAAAATGTCAATCATCTAGTTTACGGTATTCAATATAAAAGTTACCTTGTGCCGCGTACCCTACGGTGACTGGAGATACTGCGGAGATTTTGCAAGCCGCCGTGGAATAAATTGCATATTTTCTATGATATTTTCTGCAAGCACCTCCCGCAAGCACATCGACGCTGTAAAGTTTGCACTTGCTGCCTGACTCTTTGTATGAGAACGACTGACAGCTAAAAAAAATGGAAAAGCAAAATGATAACGACAAATTATGTGAAAGGCATACAATATGTTACAGGCCAACTATATTAAAAGAAAAAAAAATCGAAATTTCAGAAATATTTTCTGTAGATCTATTAGCACCCTATTTAAATTCGTTCAAAAGGATCTATAAATGCGCTTGTAAGTATTGAATTTCTCATTTTTGCCGTCTATAGTAAAACTCATTTGCCCCCATTTCCATTACAAAAGTGACTTGAAAGCTAAAAATTTGAACTTAAAAATTTATTAATAGAAACCTGTGGATAGTTTTGGTATTTCTTTAGCTTGGTGGTAATAGGCTTATGGTATTTCTTTTACAAATAACAAATATGTAAAAAAAAATGCAATTACAACATAATGCATTTTCTTTTTTGGAAGTCGCACTAGTAAAATAAATTAGCAAGATTATCAAGTGAAGAAACAACAGTCAACTGGTCAAAGTTCACAGACACACCTTAATTCTAACGCCAAGTAAACCTAGAAATTTGGTGAGTGCTTTCATTTCCCTTTCTCAGTGACATTATTCAGGGGCCATTCCACGATAGATGAGGTAAAAAACACACGTTCCTTTATGCAATCAGAAACATCATATCTAAATTCTATTTTTGTGTTGATCTGCCAAATGAATGAAAGACGTGCAAATCTGTCGATAGGGATGAAAGGATGCAAGGTACCCGTGAAGCGTTTGTTGTGAGTGAACAAATTTATCCACCGCATCACTGAAATAAGCTATAATTAAGACTATCGATCGCTGCAAAACGTGGATAAAAGTCATCACCAAAGGCTTAATGGTAAGTTATTGTCTGTTTATTATGTTTATGTTAAATTATTTCCTTCTCACTTCACTGTGCTATGGTCTCTGCAACGTCAATGTCCCACTTTAGTCCCTGTAACTTATATGGTAAATTGCCAACATAAACAGATCAACTGAATACGATAAAATGATGTATAAGCGCGTTTTACATACATAAACACAATGAGTAAGTTATGATGTACCAGTTCACATAAGTAGACCTAAAGGCATAGAAGATAGTGAATTATTCAAGCAATATGTATAAGCAATATTAAAGCACCATGAAACTGATTCAAGTTGCATTTTTGACACCTCTTAATTTAATGCTCAGTTAACTTTTTTAAAATCTATTCATTCAAAAATCAGCAAAAACTTTTAAGATGACAACTTGATATGAGCTAAGAATGAAAGAGTATTTCATTTTGACTTAATTCATTCTCATTTTTTTCGATGTCAACAATATGTCATTATGGTGATAAAAGATTGACGGGGTGCCATCCATCCACGAGTGGTAGACTACGGGGAGAGTTGTTTTTTAACGTTTATTTACCCATCATTCCAAATGAGATGCATTCTCTTGAAAAACTGAAGGATCTTTTCCAGAAAAGTTATCGTTTAGCGCCAGAAGTTTTCCGTTACGGCAAACCTACCATTCATATGGATGTGTTTGTATAGCTTAGGCCAGGTCTTACACGATTTTAATGCTAGATTTTAATGAATAGCTTCTCAATGTGTAGCAGAGGATCCTTCGGCTTCGAAATTTGAATTATATAGCACACGAGTTGCATGAGCTTAGCACTCAAGAGTAACTGCAAAATGTGATGCTCTTTCAGTGAATCTTCTACTGCTTGTATCTGCGATTGGATGCATGTATAAAGAAGTTACCAAACAATAAAATCATCTAAATGTCTAATACAATATAAGCAGCATCGTCGTTTCGCTTTTGATTTCGCTTATATGATTATCTTTACTTTACATGTTTTTAATATTTTTCATATTTAGGGTTGTTTTTATTGGATCTTAAAACTCATTTTAGAATAAGTATGAATTAAGTCAAATCCTTTAAAGGGATAACAACCGTTCGTACGATATCCATATTTCACAATAAATACATTGTAAATAACTCATAGAAATACAATGAATTCTATTTTACCCCCAAAACGGCGGTTAACACAATTGTTTTCTAATTTCTGCTTGCCATCACATCACGCGACCTCCATAGATGGCTACACTCTGTAATAATCTCTTTAGAGATTATAACAAAAAATCCAAACATTTTAGTAAAAAAATCAGACTTATTTTGAATGTGGGAATGGATTCATTTACCATTGGTAAGTATGGGAAAAATTGTTCTTTACCCCAGGAAAATTCATTTTTTGGCCAAAATGNACTATTTAAAAATATATGTTTCAAAAACTAAATTAAAATGTTATAATTTTCATTGTATATTCATAAATTAATACTTGTTATACTTATCCTTTAGGGACTAGACATGGGAGGTCTTCAGAAGGAGTTCTTCCATTTGATCTGCCAGAAAGTCTTTGATCCTGCTTATGGAATGTTTGCTTACTCAGAGGAAACAAGGAGCTTGTGGTTTAAGAGTAAGTTGTTTTCAAGTGATTGGACTTTTATCACAGTTTGAGATTAAGCTTATGCCAGAGTAGACTTAGAATTAGATGTATTCTTACTATGATTTGGACCGGTAGATTAGGCCAAGTCATGTACGACACACAAGAAATCCTTAATGTTGCATATTATATTTAATGCATCCTGTAACAACCCCAGATTGTGTTAGTTGGGCTCAACCGGAAAAGGTCAGATTGTGTGGGTTGGGTTCAACCGGAAAAGAAAAAGAGAGTGGAGGCCGGGAAGGAGAAAGGAAGGGAGTCACTGTGGAAAGCTAATGTTTCCAGGAATTTATAGACTAAAACATATATAGCCTGGAAATAGAGCAACCCAGCATGGTGACCTTTATGAAATGATTACAAAGATAATGACATTTCAGTGATGGTGAGCTTTATGAAATGATAACAAAGACCGTGACATATCAGTGACATTTGTAACACCGGCGCCGGTGTCCACGTCAGTGACCGGTTTATCATTCATGATAAATTTCATGACGAATTATTCAACCTCCTTGGTATATAAGGAGAATGATGTCGACATGCCGCCTCCTCCACCGTCGCTTTCATCGTTTCTAGTACCAGTGCCACCATGAAGATGTTTAAACAAGAAGGACAGCTGGTGTTCCGGATAACTGTGTCAACATGTCGCCTCCTCCATCATCGTCTTCACCGCTTTTAGTACCAATGCTTCCATGAAGACGTGTGAACGGGAATTAAGTAGGATTGTTACATAGTTTATTTTGTCAAATGACTATGCATTTAGAGACATTGTTGATTTATATTAATAAATTATATTTGAGAATACATATAAAACTTTATTTTGTCATAACAATCCTGAACAATTGAAAGTCAAAATTCCGTTTTTTAACAGGTTCTGAGACTGACAATGAAGATGAGTTTGAGATGGTTGGTATTGTTTTGGGTAAGTAATAGCTTTTATGGATCCACTTTGACTTAAGATTTAAATTGCCATATATTGAATGTGTCTATATATTCTAAGTACTGTCTTCATGTCTTTGCTGTCTGTTGTTCACTATATAATTTTGATTTACTTACATTGGCTCTGTTTGATATAAGAGGCAGGTTCCTGTCAAAAATCAGCATGATCTGATTACTTTTGAAGAAGTTATTCTTTACTGGAATGTGCCTTTTTATGTTAAAATGGATTAACATGAATTACTTTCTTTTAAGTTTCTGGGGCCGGTTTCACAAAGCAGTAGTTAGTTAGCGATCGGTAGTTAGCCTCTCGCTAGTTATAGTGCCGTTTCACGAAGCAGTCGCTAGTTCTCTCGCTCGTTATTGTCACGTTGTTGCCTTGGATATTTAACGACTGGTCAGACCAGTCGCTAACTCTAGAGTTTCATCGTACGCATGCGTAATGAGTGAAATAAAAAGGTTGCTTAGTTACCGTTGTCTGTCGTTTGTCTTTGTATCCAATATGGCGGCTACTTTTCTTGCTATCCGTACCGCCATATTGCAACGTAGACTACGACGTTTTCATGAAAGGCAGAATCTATTAGAATATACACACGATGATGCAATTTACGAGAGGTTGCGCCTAGCTGTGACAAAAAGAGCGACAAAAAGGTGGTGGAGATCCTTTACGACGACCTCAAAGCAGACGTTCTTATGCATTTCCAGCCACTAAAAATTGGAGAGTTAGTGCTTTCGTGACACTTTTACGCAAGAGTTCCACTTCCGGCAGACGGTTTCGAGACTACGGTGAGTAACGAGAGAACTAACGACCGAACTTTACGACTGAACTTAGCGATGAGTTAACGACTGCTTCGTGAAACACCCCTCGAAAATCGCTAAGTTTGCTCGTGAGCGAGGTAGTTCAGTAGTTAGTTGTTCTAACTAACTACTGCTTTGTGAAACCGGCCCCTGTATATTTGCCAACTTAACTGTCTATTTTTCCTTTATATGGTGCATTTTATCAAGTCATTGGAATGTTAGAAAAAATAGTGTGTTGTTTGTCAAACAGTCAGGTGTTGGAAAGGTTATTTTTTTAAAAATCCAGATAAGTTTTCTCTTACTCTTCCTCTCTAGGCCTTGCTCTGTACAATGGTGTGATACTGGATGTCAGGTTTCCCAATGCCTTGTATAAAAAACTGCAGGCCCTGCCACTGAGCCTGGCAGACCTGATGGATGCAGACCCTGCTCTTGGCCATGGTTTAATGGAGCTGCTGAACTACGAGGGAGATGATATAGAAGACGTGTTCTGTCAATCATTCCAGGTATGTTATCTCTGTGGTATTTTCTGGTTGGTCATGATTTTTTTTCCCAACTGCTTCGGATTTTGAGTTGTTGCTTTGGATGATGCAAATTAATTCATGATTTAGTTGTTTGTACTTGTATTTTGTGTGATTAAACCATGTATTGATATCTTGTTAAATATTGCTGCAGGTATCCGTCCAGTCTTATGACCTCACCACAGAAGTAGACTTAGTTCCCAATGGAGCTGACATTCCAGTTACACAGAAGGTATTTATGACATTATATAAAATTTATGCACCCATTAACTGAGAAAATATTTGACCTGGGGAAAAGCATTTGTTGACACAAATTTGCATAGGTGGGAAATACAGTTGACATTGGTCTTTGTGCAGAAAGAGTATTCACAATGTTTAAAATCTTACTGTTTTCGTAGAGTAATGTTTCTCACCTTAACAAAAGCTGTTTTATACAAAACCTGACATTGATTCTTGAATTAGAACCTAATGTAATTCAATATTTCAGAATAAACACCACTTTGTGAGAAGATATGTGGATTATTTACTGACTGAGAGCATTGCCAAACAATTTGAAGTAAGTTTATATGTCCATCTAAACTAGCTGCTGCATTGAATTGTTTCTTCCATTCTTTGGATAAAAAACAAACCAAGTAAATAAAAAATTGGAACCATTTCAATGGTAACGTTATCAAAATAACTTTCTGTTTGTTTTACTATCTCTAGCCAAAATAAATCGTAATTAGAATAAGGTAATAGTTAATATGGTACAGAAGGGCATCAAATTTTCAAAATACAGGAGCAAGATAGTCACTGCAAGAAAATGCTTTCATGCAAAAGTTCCCACCACCCCAACCCTGGTCACAGGATCCTCTTTGTGTGTGGTTATTTTATGATATCTTACAGGCTTTCAGCAGGGGTTTCCACTCTGTGTGTAGGAAGGAGTCCCTAGCACTGTTCAGTCCTGATGAAATAGAGTTGCTTGTGTGTGGAAGTACAGAGCTTGTAAGTACTGCATGAGTTTTTTAAGATGTTAAATGAAGATATCAGAAAAAATGCAGCCTTATTCTGTGATTGTATAATAAGGGGAAGATGAATTTGTAGTTTTTTGTCCCAGGTTTTTGTTAAGCTTGCATTCAACCTTGAGATGTTGTTGACTGCAGCATGAATAAGTTACCTTATAAATCACATTTTGCCTTCATTCTTCAGGATTTTGAAGCATTGGAGAAATCTGCAGCATATGATGACGGATACTATGTGAGTCACAGGACAGTCAGGGCATTCTGGGAAGTAGTGCACCAGATGACCCATGATCAGAAAAGGCAGCTATTACACTTTATCACAGGGAGTGATAGAGTCCCACTCAAGGGACTGTCCCATTTGCCAATAGTCATACAGCGTAATGGCGGAGACTGTGACAGGTAATGGTGGCATAACACCCAGTTATAGATTTTAAAGATTTGTATCCTGTACCAGTTTCTTACAGTGACAATGACAGTGTTAGGTAGAATTAACAATAATCAGTATAGATAAAACATGTTTTTGTTCCGATATTTTCAAAGGTATTACATAAAATGATAAATTGATCTGATCAAGCAAACTTCAGTGATTGCATCACCAAACCAGAGAGATAATGATTAATACAACTATGGTATTTCAATTTTAGTATATCTCAGTTTTATGACTATATAATATTATGTATAATATTATGTGATTAAATGAAATACTTACAGTAACTTAGACTTGGCCTTGATCCCCCTGGCCTGACCTTGTCCTAATTTATTTTTCTAGGTTGCCCACTGCAATGACTTGTTTCAATCGTCTTTTGCTTCCATCTTACGCCACCAAAGAGAAGCTACAAAGTAAACTGATGGTTGCCATAGAGCACGGAAAGGGGTTTGGATTGACTTGATTGACAACTTACGGGTCACTTTTTATCAGGCAGCAACACTTTGTCTCAGATCCAGCTGACTTTGTGATCAGGGGAAACAATTGTGTGTTTTATAGTGCATGTACTTGTTGCCTGCTTGTATAAATAACTATGGAACAAGACAAGAATGACATTTTTTCATTGGTTTGTTTGTTTTAATAGTAACTATTAATTACTGTGTGCAAGGTTCTCTTGCCAGTATGAAGTGTAGGGACAGGGGTGAGATTAATTATACATTACTCATTATATCATTATAAATATGTTGTTTTTATTCTAATGTACACAAAGCAAAAGTTATGCATATGTATATATATTATTTATGCACTTGGTCACCAGCTTATGGTTGATGTGAATCTCACAAAAGAGCTTGACTTTGTTATTCAATTTATTTATTGCAGTGTTAAGGTTTAAGTCATTTTTGTTAAAAAGCTTGTAAAAAAGTGATTTTATAAGAAATTTGCAACAGTTTATTTTATTTTTTCATTTTTATATACAGACACTGTGTGCATTTGTATTTTTTCTGACCATAAACCCCAGTGACATGTCTGTAGGTTGTTCACCATATAAGTGCCAAACTGTATTTTTTTTTTTTTTACTTTCAATTTACAGAGTGGCTTTGTTTGGCCAAAATATAGGTTCATTTCAAAAATCATGATTTTTTTTTCAGCTGTTTACCCCATTTTAAAAGTGCCAAACTTTACTCTAAATTCATGAGGAAACTTAATTTAGTGCAGCTTGAAAATCTGCACAAACAGAATATTATTTAAGTTACCCTTTTTTGGCAACATTTGCCCCATAAATTCCAACTTTAGTTTTACCTCAAATTTGCTAGATCTGAACCTTTCAGCTAGGACTTTTTTTTTGCCATTAGTGTCTGCGTATTTCCCAGCTTTGCTGTCTTGTTAAATGAAGCCATCATTTGAATCAGCTGAATGTTTTTAATTGTACTTTTTGATATGATATAAATCATTGATGAAAATATTGCTTCACAGTGTGACAACCAGAACAAATTAAACAGTTCCAAAGTTTCTTAAGGCCAGTCAAATGTGATAAGGTGTTTGAGGAATGTAGTCATTGTAAGTGAGGTTGGTACACCAAATCCATTTGAAAGATATGATTCTGAACAGGTGTAGCAGTTAAATTTTAAGGTCAGTTGGTATTTTTTTTTTATTATTTGTTATATGTATATATATTTTTGGAGGAGGATGTTAAGTCCACAGTATGGGATATTTTTTAACATAGAAACGACTGGATTAAGTTTTTTCCTAGGTTATTAAAAATTTTGCCACTTACAAACGAATGGCAGATGAATTTTTTTCTTAATTTTCAAAGTTAAATTTGTGTAATAGAAAAATGATGATTTCCTCAAAATCTGGGGCAGCTACATACTTTAATTACTTATCGCTTTTTCTTGCCTTAATTTTTGTTGACCTTCATTGTAATTGAAAAAATGCACTTAAATTAACTTGCCAAACATTTTTCTCTTTAATAAGAATGAAAGTAGTGTGTAGTAATTGAAGAATTATGCATAATGAATATTATGAACAATACTTAATATTATTCTATATAAAGATGATTAAATACAAAATTGCACTATTTTTATACATAAATATTACGTCAAACATCAGTCTGGAATCTCACAAGAAATAATACTGTTTTTATTTAGAATTGCTTTAAAGTGTTTTTTAATGCAAATCACGCATGTTTTATATTCTGCGTGTTGACAAAAGAACCACACTGTACGCATTATGTCATCATAAAACATCTGAAAAATGTACTAAATCCTTATTTTGTTTTTGTTTATACGCTTACGTTGGTAAAACACTGCACGTGTGTCTAGATATTTCAATTAAGTAGTTTTTATCCACATTTTCGGAGGCGAATAGAAAGGGTGGCCCCATATCGCGACATTTTTCTTTGTTCGAATAGTCTGCAGCGATTATGCCCTCCTGTAAATGTGTTGTATCCAATGCAGCGTTCTCTGTCAAAGCATCGCGTTGCACAAGTACTGTTATCCAAGGAGTACTGAACTGTGTAGTATATGCCAAGATTTTGACCCACTTCTTCTAAGTAACAAGAACCTGAAAAATATATGGCATAATCAAATGTACGATATACAAAATCATTTCAGCAGTAATAAACGAAATATCATCATGAAAACATCGTCACTGATTAAGATATACGTGTGAACGTGATCCACGGAAGATGATCTATTGAAGCAAAAATATTTGAAAACCATTGTGCGAAAAGAAAAAAAGCAAAGCTGCGTGTGAAATACGTTTTACTTGAGGGTTGTCTTCTAATTTTAAAAATGTAAAAATAATCTCCTAACTTATGAAAACGATATACTCTCTCACGACGTACTCAGGGCCTCATCCGTGCAGTATCTTCTGTAGGATATTGCAGAGGGCTCAACGTAGGGACTAAAGCCAAAGTGAAGGCAGTACCCATGGCCATAACCGTAGTCGCTATAATGTATTGTTGCGGTGCAGTGGAACGTGTTCTCCGCAAGACAAAATGCCTGACAGTCCGCCACGGTATACCCTTTGAAAGACAACAAACGAGTCATTGCGTAAAATATTTTCCTTTAAAAGACTGACTATGTTCTTTCTGTGACCTGCTTGTCTAGATTATCCAGTATCAACACAAGTTATCAACAGTTTTAGGTGTAATGAAATAATTAAAACGACCAGAGAATATGGCAAGATGGAAGACTGAAGATAGAGAAAATTACTTTTTTCTTACCAGTGCCACTAATATCATATTTAGCTAGGGAATTAGAACCATCGGTTGTGACCATATGATCATATGTATCGAAGGCAGAACAGTTTCCAGCAGCGGCACCAGCTGCATTGGTGGCAGTAGTGGAATAAGCTGAAGTGGTTGTAGTATCTGGTTGAGCACTGGTTGTGGTAACAACTGCTTCAGACCCGGCTGTTGTGACATCAACTGGTTCAGCCCTGGCTGTTGTGGCAATAACCGGCTGAACCCCGGCTGTTGTTGCTACCACTGGTTCAGCCCCGGCTGTTGTGGCTACAACTGGTTGAGCCCTGGCTGTTGTGGCTACAACTGCTTGAGCCCCAGCTGTTGTGGAAATATCTAGAGTGAAAGGGTAAGTTATTGCCCAAGGATTGTTTGCTTATACGAAAAAAATTAACTATACATTGTTTTGGCCTCTAAATTTATACTGACAGTTGCGTGTTTAACTTATCCTAAATCATAAGAAGGGGTTAGATGCATTTAAATGTTAAATCAACAGGTTCTTTATATTTCAGAAATACGGAATAAACTAGGCCTATACCAAAAGCACATATTCTATACTATATACTTTACTTTTTGCCATTTCATATCATTTGCTTTGGTTGGGGTGAGGGACATTTGATAAAATATCCTGTTTTTGAAAATAATAAAATGTAAATCATCTAGTTTACGGTATTCAATAGAAAAGTTACCTTGTGCCGTGTTCCCTTCGGTGACTGCAGATAATGCGGAGATTTTGCAAGCCGCCGTGGAATAAATTGCATACTTTCTATGATACTTTCTGCAAGCTCCTCCCGCAAGCACATCGACGCTGTAAAGTTTGCACTTGCTGCCTGAATTTTTGTATGAAAACGACTGACAGCTAAAAAAAATGGAAATGCAAAATGATAACAACAAATTGTGTGAAAGGCATACAATATGTTACAGGCAAACTATATTAAAAGAAAAAAACTCGAAATTTCAGAATTATTTTCTGTAGATCTTTTAGCACCCTATTTAAATCTGTTCAAAAGGATCTATGCGCTTGTAAGTATTGAATTTCTCACTTTTGCCGTCTTTAGTAAAACTCATTTGCCCCCATTTCCATTACAAAAGTGACTTGAAAGCTAAAAATTTGAACTTAAAAATTTATTAATAGAAACCTGTGGATAGTTTTGGTATTTCTTTACCTTGGTGGTAAAGGCTATGTAGGCCTATGGTATTTCTTTTACAAATAACAAATAGGCCTAAAATGCATTTCTTTTTTGGAAGTCGCACTAGTAAAATAAATAAGCAAGATTATCAAGTGAAGAAACAACAGTGAAACTGGTCAAAGCTCACAGACACACCTTAATTCCAACGCCAAGTAAACCTAGAAAAGCAAACGATTATTTGGTGAGTGCTTTCATTTCCCTTTCTCAGTGACATTATTCAGGGGCCATTCCACGATAGATGAGGTAAAGAACACACGTTCCTTTATGCAATCAGAAACATCATATCTAAATTCTATTTTTGTGTTGATCTGCCAAATGAATGAAAGATATGTGCAAATCTGTCGATAGGGATGAAAGGATGCAAGGTACCCGTGAAGCGTTTGTTGTGAGTGAACAAATTTATCCACCGCATCACTGAAATAAGCTATAATTAAGACTATCGATCGCTGCAAAACGTGGATAAAAGTCATCACCAAAGGCTTAATGGTAAGTTATTATCTGTTTATCATGTTTATGTTAAATTATTTCCTTCTCACTTCACTGTGCTTTGGTCTCTGCAACGTCAATATCCCACTTTAGTCCCTGTAACTTATATGGTAAATTGCCAACATTAACAGATCAACTGAATACGATAAAATGATGTATAAGCGCGTTTTACATACATAAACACAATGAGTAAGTTATGATGTACCAGTTCACGTAAGTAGACCTAAAGGCATAGAAGATAGTGAATTATTCAAGCAATATGTACAAGCAATATTAAAGCACCATGAAACTGATTCAAGTTGTATTTTTGACACCTCTTAATTTAATGCTCAGTTAACTTTTTTAAAATCTATTCATTCAAAAATCAGCAAAAACTTTTAAGATGACAACTTGATATGAGCTAAGAATGAAAGAGTATTTCATTTTGACTTAATTCATTCTCATTTTTTTCGATGTCAACAATATGTCATTATGGTGATAAAAGATTGACGGGGTGCCATCCATCCACGAGTGGTAGACTACGGGGAGAGTTGTTTTTTAACGTTTATTTACCCATCATTCCAAATGAGATGCATTCTCTTGAAAAACTGAAGGATCTTTTCCAGAAAAGTTATCGTTTAGCGCCAGAAGTTTTCCGTTACCAGCAAACCTACCATTCACATGGATGTGTTTGTATAGCTTAGGCCAGGTCTTACAAGATTTTAATACTAGATTTTAATGAATAGCTTCTCATTGTGTTGCAGAGGATCCTTCGGCTTCGAAATTTGAATTATATAGCACACGAGTTGCATGAGCTTAGCACTCAAGAGTAACTGCAAAATGTGATGCTCTTTCAGTGAGTCTTCTACTGCTTGTATCTGCGATTGGATGCATGTATAAAGAAGTTACCAAACAATAAAATCATCTAAATGTCTAATACAATATATGCAGCATCGTCGTTTCGCTTTTGATTTCGCTTATATGATTATCTTTACTTTACATGTTTTTAATATTTTTCATATTTAGGGTTGTTTTTATTGGATCTTAAAACTCATTTTAGAATAAGTATGAATTAAGTCAAATCCTTTAAAGGGATAACAACCGTTCGTACGATATCCATATTTCACAATAAATACATTGTAAATAACTCATAGAAATACAATGAATTCTATTTTACCCCCAAAACGGCGGTTAACACAATTGTTTTCTAATTTCTGCTTGCCATCACATCACGCGACCTCCATAGATGGCTACACTCTGTAATAATCTCTTTAGAGATTATAACAAAAAACCAAACATTTTAGTAAAAAAAAACAGACTTATTTTGAATGTGGGAATGGATTCATTTACCATTGGTAAGTATGGGAAAATTGTTCTTTACCCCAGGAAAATTCATTTTTTGGCCAAAATGAACAGTTGTCATCTCTTTAAGCGATAAAGCGGTAATTGCATAACATAGTCGTTTATTCCTTTACGACAGCTTGTAAGCACTTCTTGGTCTGTACACGAATGACTGGTCAGATATATCTCTCATGTAAGTGTTAATAAGTGAAAAAAAGAGCAAGTCAAATTTGCCATACTTTATGACAAAATAAAACAAAGAAAAAACTTATTACACCAAATTGATTTGGTTTCATCTACAAAGAATGAAGCTCGTCCATAAAATCTGCGCGCAATATCCTCTCCCAAAAAAGACAAATACCCAAAATGTATGTTAAAATGCATGCAAAAGTCAACTTGCCTTTCGTCTTGTCCACACCTTTGCATGCAGTACATAACAGTTGCATCGTTGATCACTGTTAGCAATTGGTTACTGTGTCCATCCGCGGTGCAGTCTTGTAGCTTACAGAACTGTCGACACCCATGTACTACTGTGCCAGTGAGCAATACAACGGCAGAGAGGACTAAAATATGGGAATTACATACACATAAGACCCACATACATTTACTTAGGTGTCAAACTGATATGTTTTAAAATTATACTTCTATCTGCCAATGTGATGGACATCAAAAACAAAATGAATGAGAGATTTAAGTCTAATACAAAGAAGAAGAAAAATGATAAATGAACATTAACTGTTTCTAGATAAGATCACGTATGCATGAGACGCACATGGCTTGTTTCATCGAAAGGGGGTTAATCCTATTATAACAACGATTTCTTAAAAGTAAACTTGCATGTTAAAATCAAATCTGTGCAACGTTCTTGCATAACACTTACCCAACAGCGGAGCGCTGAGACGCATTTTAGACACAGTGTAATCACAGTCAAGATCAAAACTGATGTTTTTTCCTTCGGCGCCCGAGTTTTAGACACCACACGAGTAACTGGATGCAAATTTCCTTTTCCTTGAGACAAAACAATATGAATTGATCATAACTCCCTAAGCCCCACTAGTGGCCACCGCCTCGTCCACTAATGGTCATCTTCCTGTGCTTTTTATCGATCTAGTCAAGGACCTAACACAAATAAACAGACGGTCAACGGAGTGTATGATTCCTGCCTTCTGCCCTTCAGGTGTGCATGCAATCACTACGTAAATTGTGGAGTTGTTTATTGCGTTTTATAACTACCACGCGACTTGTTAGTTTAATCTATTTATCAGACTATCATTGAAATTTGTCTCGTTTATTGATTGTCGTTGACTGAATGGCCATGAAAATAATTGCATGAATGAACACTTTTTTAAATTGGTAGTTATCTATGTGTACATTTTGCAGTAAGAAAATATACTCTCTGCTGGACGTTATATATAGCATAGTGCGAAAGTACAAACAATACATGGCTATTTATTCTATAAAGTAGAAGGTCAGTAAAATAATTCCAACCCGAAGAATAACGCATAATTAACAAGTTATAAATAATATTTTATCATTACATTTATTTAAGATAGTAAGATACAGAGTCGTACTGGTTTTTATAAATATTATGTTAAAAGTTGTATTAAATCTAACATTGCATAAAACTATTTCATTAAGAGCTCTTTGAAGTGTGGTCTCTTTCCAAAAATAATCCAATGTTGACAAAATAGTCGCACTGTATACACATCCTTATCTCAACACATCTAAAAAAAACTAAATCTTTATGTATGTAACTTGTACAGTATAATCTTATTCGAGTTGCAAAGTGAAAGTAATCAGTATCGTCTAATTTTTCCACTCTCCGAGAGAACCTAGAAAGTGAAATTGATTAGAGTATGTGGAGTTTAAACGGTTGAATTCTGGTTGATTTTTAGTGGCCGTTATAACTGAAGTGTTGGATATTACTTATTTTTCATTCACTTAGGACCAAGACCCGTGATTTGGTGGGATCAAGGTCGAGAGCAGGCCACTTTGTGCAAGGAGTGTGTAGATGCGTTTGAGTATCTTGTCTTTGCTTATACGTTGGCGTATCTTCACGCATTTTTTCAACTGTGGAAGTTTTTATCCACATTTGCGTACGCGAATAGAGAGAGTGGCCTCCGATCGAGAATTTTTTCTTTGTTCGAAAATCCGGCAGAGATTGTACGTTGTAAATGTGCTGTATCCAACGCAGCGTTCTTTGTTAAGGCACTGTGAGGCACAAGAACTGTTACCCACCGTGTACTGAAGTGTGTAATATGCGGAAAGATTTTGACCCAATTCTTCTAAGTAACAGGAACCTGAAAAGAAATTATGTATGGCAATGTCAGAGTTTGTCAGATTATATCTGAACACTGATTAAAATAATTACATTTTCAAGCAAGATTATTTGAAAACCATCAAAAAAAAAAAAAAAAAAAAGCACGCTAAATACGTTTATTTTATAAAGAATGTAAAACTAAATATCCATCTAAAACAACGAAAACAGTTGCTTCTCAATAACAACGAAGTATCTTAACAGACGTACTTAGAGCCTCATCCGTGCAGTATTTTCTATAGGAAATTACATAATTCTCTGTGTAGGGAACGTAACCAAATAGTTGGCAATAGCCGAGGCCATAGCCATAGTCGCTAAAGTGATTCGCTGCGGTGCAGTAGAAGGTGTTCTCCACGAGACAAAACGCCTGACAGTCCTCCACGGTATGCCCTTTAGAGAAAAAACCAACAAAGCGTTGCATTTAAATACACAAAACAAAAGACGCAGGTGTGCAAAATACAATTGTCTTTAAAAAAACTGACAGTGCTTTTTTTATCCAAGTTGTAGCAAGTAATCTACATATTCAATAATATTTACGGCAGATTATCCAACATCAAGGCAAACCAAACACATAGCACGCCAGTAATAACATTTTGGTGTAATATGATTTAAGGTTTAAGAATATGGTAAAATAGAAAACTGCCGATAGAAAAAAATTAAACTTCACTTACCAATGCCACCAGGATCATGTTTGGCAAGGGATGTAGAGCCATCGTATGTGATATGGTTGTCATACCTGATGAAGGCAGAACAGTTTCCAGCAGAGACATCAGCTACAATGGTGGCAGTAGTGGGACAAGCTGAAGTAGTAGTAGCATCTGGTTGAGCTCCGGCTGTTGTGGTAACAATTGGTTGACCCCCGGCTGTTGTGGCGACAACTGGTTGAGGACCGGCTGTTGTGGCGACAACTGGTTGAGGACCAGCTGTTGTGGCGACAACTGGTTGACCCCCGGCCGTTGTGGCGACAACTGGTTGAGGACCGGCTGTTGTGTCGACAACTGGTTGAGGACCGGCTGTTGTGGCGACAACTGGTTGACCCCCGGCTGTTGTGGCGACAACTGGTTGACCCCCGGCCGTTGTGGTGACAACTGGTAGAGCCCAGGCTGTTGTGGCAACAACTGGTTGAGTCCCTGCTTTTGTGGCATCAACTGGTTGAGTCCCTGCTTTTGTGGTGACAACTGGTTGAGCCCCGGCTGTTGTGGCAATGACCGGTTGAGCTCCGGCTGTTGTGGCATCAACTGGTTGAGGTCCGGCTGTTGTGGAAATATCTAGAGTAAAAGAGTGAAATTTGTTCCCCCAGGATTGTTTTCTCAAACAAAAGAAATCGAAACTACATTGGTCTGAATTAGATAGATATATAAACAGTTGCACGTTTTACGTATTCTAAATCATAAGGAAGGGGGAGGCTCATTTTGTAAAATACCCTGTTTTTGAAAAGAACAAAATGCAAAATCCTTTGGCTGTTGGTTTTCAACAGGCCAGTACTCCGTAGCAAAGTAAAACAAACACATGGCCTCGCACATCATCAATGCAGTTAAGACGTCGATTACGTCAAAGCCAATTCAAAAATACGCATCATAATTTTTATCAAAATATTCAAATACTATAAAATTGTGATGTTTGCAACGTTTATAATGTTCCTACGCAAATTAATTAACTTTTTTTGGTAAATAACTCCTTGTCTAGTGCACTTTGATTATATCAAGTTGCGTTTGTTTTGTCGGAATCCCAAACCCTCCTGGAACCTACAACTAACCATTTTACATTTACGTAATATGTAAACATTCACCTTGTGCCGTGTGTCCTTTCGTGACTGGAGATACTGCGGAGGTTTTGCAAGCCGCCGTAGAATAAATTGCATATTGTGTATTATATTTTCTGCAAGTTCCTCCCGCAAGCACATCGACGTTGTAAAGTTTGCATTTGCTGGCTGATTGTTTATATGAAAACGACTGACAGCTAAAAATGCAAAAGCAAAATGATAATGAAAATTAAATAAAAGACATACAGTACGAGTTATGGCCTATAGCTAAGAATTTCTGAAAAATTTAGCATTATTTTCTGTGGGCCTTTCAGCAAGTTATAGAGTCTACCTTATTCAAAACCGTTAAGAAAAATTCCGATTTATTGATTCGTTTATAAGTTACAAATTTCATTTTATCCGTCATAAAAGAAATTCATTAGCCCCAACTTCCATTACGTAAATAAATTAAAAGCTAAAAGATTGGACTTAAATGGCTTTATAGATAGAAACCTTTGAATAGTTTTGGGGTTTCTTTACCTTGGTGGTTACGAAAAAAGCGATGGTATTTCTTTTATAAATGTAAAAAATTGCAATTACAACCAAACCTCTTGTCTCTTTTGTAAGAAAGTCGCATAAGTAAAAATATTAACAAGATTCACAAGTTTAGTAACGACAGATTTTGGTCAAATTTCACATTGTGTTCTTCCTATTTAGTGACACATATCTTTATTCAAATTCCTTATAAACTTAGAAATATGTAAACGATTATTTTCTTAATATAGTCTACTACTGACATTTAAAAAAAGTTTAAGGTTATTTAATGAATAAAAAAGCAATTTTTAAATCCCGTTTCATTTTTATTTAAGAGTGAGTTTTACAATATGACCTAAACGTCTCACCAGACTCAAAATCTACGTCACAAAAGAATTTTGTCAGAAATGTGAAGATTTGCCATAATCATGCACAAAGCAAAACAATTGATATTGATATTGCACCCATAAGATGTGTGCAATACTAGGAAAATGCAATGTAATTCGCACTGACAAAACAATATCAAGTTTTCTTTTCCTCGGTGATATTATACAAGGGCCATTACGCGATAGTTGAGGTAAAGAACACGTTTCTTTATACAAACGGAGAACTCGTCTCTAAATTCGATATATGCGTCGACAATATGTGTTGATCTGTTAAATGATACAGTGAATTAAAGTTTGTTCATGTCTGTCGATAGGGATGCAAGTTATTTTCATTCTATTTCAAAAACAAATTGGTGTTTGTGGAGATGCAAGACACCAGGTGAAGCGTATGTGACGAGTGATCAAACTCAGCCACCGCATCAATCTAATGTGCACTGAAATGTACTATAATAGAGAATATCGATTGCTGCAAAACACAGATAAAAGTTTGCGCAAAAAGCTTCATGGGACAGTAAGTTATTATCTGTTTATCCTGTTCATTTTAAATTACTTCCTTCCTTCTGTGTTTTGGCCTCTGTTACTACAATGTGCTTTTAGAAACTTTAACCAATATGGAAGATTACCAACACAAACAGATCAATTGAATGTGATAAAATGATGCATAAGCTCGATTTGCATGAATAACGCAAGAGTCAAATGTAACGAAACTACCAGGGAGACCATGCAAAGAACTGATTTTATATCCAGTAGTGTTTAAGTCAGGGTTTTAATTCATTTGTTTGTTATACGTAATAAACAGTGAAATTTATTCAAGCTTTTTTATAAGTTAAAAGTTAATGTAGACTGGGGTAAAAGAAAATTGGCAATCGGTTTCTTTGACATCGAACAAGCAAACATTATGGACCTCGAGAATGTTGGTCTTAAACTATAAGTCTCCCATCATCATTAAAAGATTTGGGGGAACGT